GTATTTTTCTTCAAGAAAGAATCCCGAAAGATTTTTTTGCTCATCAGCCCTAAACTAAACTAGAGAAAAGCTATGTTGTGATGGAAGAAAAGCCCTAAAAACTACGTTACGTTGAGTACGCACCAATCCGGCGCCGGCGGAGGAGGAGGGCGGGCGGCGGCGCGGCGGACGGCGGCGGTGGCGGAGTTGGTTGCGCCACCCAATCACCGGGTACCTGAGCAGGAGCGAACAAAAATCGTTGGAGAGATAAGAAGAGCAGTTCGGGAAAAAGCCAAGCCTAGCTGTGTTTTTTTCCTCTGTGCTTTCGCCTGATGAGGTATTATGATTAGGTAGGTAGGTAGCCAGGTACCTTGCATTAGAGGGCGGGCCGGAATGCCTGTACTGGAGGGTCGAGGAGCGCTGCCATTAGTTGTGTAGAGGGAGAATGGATGGGCGCGGAGCTGTTTCCGGAACGGGAGGAGGAGTGAGAAGGTTATGTCATCTCCAATATCGCTTGGGAAGTTCCAGAACTTGCTGTCCGGAACTGATGGGCAGTAGCAGGTCGCCGTCGCTCCCGTTCGGTCGAGCTGGCGACGAGAGACAATGGCAAACAGAAGGGCCTTGCGCGGCAGTTGCACCGAGAGCTTCGGAGTTTTCACACATGTAATTGAGCATCGTTTCCTTTTTTTTTTTTTTTTTTGCATCATCCACTGTGCAGATCCCAAGGTGGGCTCTCTCTCTGGAGTTACAAGGGCCAAGCCTTGCTCTTTGTGGAAGCGCTTCACATGTCACCGTCGTCATTGATTTTTTATTTTTGCATCAGTTTCTTTTTTTAAACATTCTTGAAGGATTTCGGAAGAAAAAGGAAACAAAAACTGCATCATCATTACCAAATTATTCTCTCGTCGGGAAGAGAAGCATGCATGTCATCCAAGCACGCTAGGGGGATGGGCCGCTCCCGTGCCCTATTTCGCAGCTTCTTTTGAGTTTTCAATGCCCGTGCTGCATTTGTCCACCGAAGAGGAACGGGATTAATCCGGCATCCAGTTCAGAGTTTTCCAAGGGCGAAGGTAGAACGATGCTTGTGCTGGAGGAAGAGCCCAAGACACTCCACTGCTACAATGAATGGTCATCAACAAGCCTTCTAGACCGCGGTCGGTGGAACCGATCCATCAAGACACTAGCAGTGGATAATGTACCCTTTTGCTGGAGAACACGGTGCTCATGTACTCGACCTACAGGGGCGGGTTGTTACTGATTTGTTACTGGCTACCGGCTTACTGGTGGCGCCGTAGGGCCCGGTGGCCTGTCAGGGCCTGTCAGGGCCTGAGGGCCTATCGGGGCCTGTCGGGGCCTGTTTCCAGTTTCCAGGGCTCTGCAGCGGACTGTGCAGAGCGAAAGAGTCACACAACATTCCGTTGTTCGGACAGGACACGGTCTTGCTGCATAATTCTTGGTCATACTAACTATGTAGGGATTGTGCTCTCGGGCACCATTCACTCACGGGCCTTTGGGCTGAGCACCAAAGAACAAACTACCTCATTGCCTCATTGGGAACTGCGAATTGTCCCAGAATCTGCCGAGACATTGGTCCGCTGCCGCCGCCCAGCAGTCCTGTACAAAAAATGATCGAAAGCCGCATACAAATACTCATATTTTGAATAGTTAAAAAAAAAAGGAAGGCAATAATATGCACGTAAAGACACACTATACAGACGTAGGGAAAGGAGGGGGAATGGCCGGCCAGAGTCTCGAGGCGGTATTACACACGGCGCAACTGTAACGTCGTCGTCGGCGTTGGCAACTGCCGAAGACTGACTGGCGGGCAACTCAATCAAACAAGTCACTTCTTCCCGAGACTTGTGAGGCCAAGGCAGCTTTGCATACATGTCGCGTCGCACACGCTGGTGTTGGTATCACGAACAAGACGCGATTACTCCCTGGCCTTCCTTCTAGTCACAAATTCAACAGCCCTCTTCTTCTAATTATAAGTTTTTAGAGAAGCTACTATCTATTCGTAGTCTGACTTGTTACGAGTTGGCTTGCCGGCAGCATCGTCGTCATGTCTCTGGCGCCTGCGGTCGTTGTCATCGGGTACATGTCGTCGCCGGTGCGAACTTTGCGCCCAACCGAGCTGCATGCTAGCAACCAGGCCGGCGCTCATATGATGATGACCCGAGAAGGGGAATGCATAGGATATACAAGATACAAGACAGCCTATACCAAATCCGTCGAGCTGTATCTTTTGCGTTGTCGTGACAATCGCAATACTTGCCAAATACTGATACTTCTTCTGTGTCGCTTCGAACCCTTATCCAATGCGCGTCTTCCAGTTCCAAATACGGAACGCGTCAAATTCCCATCAATAGCGAAAGCTCTCCGGTCAGGTTACTGTTCCTCGCCGTCGCCCCCTTTTTTTTTCTTGCCTCTCGTGAGAAGGTCGGGATGGCGCGCGGACGTAGCACAATCTCGTCCAACGAACGCTGCAAGCCCGCGCTCACAATCGTGTGCTTCCGAGACACGTGGGCTGAGTCACTGTGCATTCACCGAGTCCTGGCGATGCCCGTCGCATGTTTGCGCGAGCCCCTTTGACGTGGCGGACACGGAGCGACGATGCTGTGCAAGTTTGCGGCGCGTACCCTGTAGCCGAGACAAAGCCGGGTGCTTGCAGACTCCGGGATACCGCTAGTCTAGAGGTCGAATGGACTTTGTGTAGCTCAGGGGGCGAGCAAAGGATGCTTCGTGTCGGTGTGTTAATATCTAAGCTGCTGGACTGTTGTGCGACGAGCAATATCCTGTAATCCTCATTCGCTCGACAGCCACATTGGCGGCCCTTGAACCGGCTCGTGACTCACAAGACATTGACGCTAATCTTCAGATTCATCGGGCTCTCAGGAGTATGAAGAAAGATCATGAATACCATATATCCATGTATTACAGCCAGAGGCCCCAATGAACAAATACCGCCCGGCTACTAGCAGCACATCAGGTGCACAGATATTGATAATGAGCTTGGTAAAAGAGATCCAAAGATTAAACATCAAGATATAAATGCTTCAATTGAAACCTCCTGACTTTGAAAATGAAAGGTCGCCGTACTGCCATGTTCTCACACCCATGCCGTAAACGAAGAAGTCATAAATGCACAACGCTGAAGAAAACAACTCCGTTTTTCTGCGAATATTTGAAATATAAGATACAAACCATCGTAGCGTCGATTAGTTAGTTTAACGGTTATTGTAGCGGACGTGTCAATTCTCATTGTCTACACAGGTCTGGACGGAAGCCCGTTGCCTAACATGACATAAAAACCCCAAATAACTATCAATTGTCTAGCTATCCAAATAGCCAAGTAGCCGGTTATCTACAACAAGTATTCCTAAAATACTCTTCATTCTTCCTCGCCTTTGGTCTCCTCCACCCCCTCCTATACTTCTTCACCCCCTTGCGACACACACTCACATACACACGCACACCTGCCCAGTCTTCATTTTTTGGAGGGTCATTCATGTGCGTGTGCATGTGTATAGAAGGCTTCCTGAGCACTGGCGCCGGCGCAAGCTCACCTCGCCGTGGCAAGCCCATCACGACAGAGTTTACTACGAAGGATGAGCCACGGGCTCAAGAAGATAGAGCAGTCTCGCTGGCCAGCCGCTTCAATCGGCGTTGTTCACGCTTCTCGTCGACTTTTGCGTGCAGCCAATCTTTAAGCTTGCGCCTATCTTTCGCAGGAATGATCTCAGGATCATAGTCCGACACGGTGATCCAAGTGCCGCCTTCTGGGTGCACGGAACCATTCACAGATTCGACAAAATGATCAAGGGCGGTGAGATTGGGTAGGTTCAAGGGCGACAAAAAGTGGCATTGTCCGCAACAGCCGCTGTCAGTGTGTCGCGGTTGGAAATGCAGGCGTCATAAAGTTGACGCCAGTGCCGGACCTTGAATCCTCGGGGCTGATCTAGATGTCTCATTTTGCTTATAGTGCTTTTCTTAGAGGTAAGTCGCTAGCGAGAAACGAGCTGTTAAAAATCCGGTTGTGAAAATCCGGTTGTGAGATATCCGTTGGGAGAAATCTGGCTGCGTGGAACAAGAGACGAGGAATGTGTAAGGACAAGGCTAGTATTCAGTGGTAGTAGAGCGGTTATATGATAGAATAGAGTTTATACTATTCGGTGTTGCCCAGCGTGTCACGACGAGGGATCGACTCGCCATTATAGAGGTAAGCTCTCTAATGAGATTTTAAGAATGTTTGTAAGCATCTGATTCAGTACCACGAACGCGGGTGAGTGCTGCGCAAGACGCCGTCGTCGCCCCATGACACCCCATTGCCGTCGTCGAGATGTGGCCTCACCTTTTTCGAACAACATTCCTATAATAGATCTCGTAAAACTAGTATAAGAACTTTGCATAGGTGGATATTTACAGGCCATGAGACTGCCTGAATTGTGTAGGTGGTGTATTGGCCGCACGGAACGGGGAGATGCAAGGCAGACACTGTAGTAGAGCGGCGCAGCAATACCAATTCACTTGAGTAAAACCTCAAGCTTTTAAAGACGTATAACGAATCCCCTGCAATCCACAAGCTAGGGACAAAAGAAGGTTTCGATCATCAGTCGTCAGTTAGTTCGCGCTTGTTGTGGCAGGGCTGCATCCACAGTGTCCACCAGCTGGATCGTAAGGCGACCAACCACATCAAATTGCGATAGCTTCGTCTCTTGGACCCTCAGATTGCGGAGTTCAATCATCAAAAGCTTCTGTCTTCCCAATCTGCCTTGGAACGCTACATTCATGACCAGCAACCCAGCCTCAAGCCTACGCAATGCAGACAGGCGAGGGTAACGGCCTTGGCCGACTATCATGATAAGACAACTCCAAGTGTGTCTTGAGCTCCTCTGTCCGAGTCAAGTATATAAACCGACGCCCCTCGCTCACTGGTGTCGGTTCTGCAACGCCATCATTCACTCACTTCACTGCATCTTCCTTTACCCAATTGCACTATGCATCTTCCTACTACCATCGCCATGGCCCATGTTGCCGCCGCCGCTCTCTTCCGTCCCGCCGAGTGGGAGCGCCAGTCGCAAGTCCTCATGGCCTGGCCCTCGGCGCAGAACGACGCGTACCAAGGCGCCGCGCACGACCTCAAGCGCGCCACCGAGGACGTGTCCATGATCGCCGAGGCCGTCTCCTCCTTTGAGCCCGTCACTCTCCTCGTCACCCCGGACCGGATCTCTGAAGCCGAGGAGCGCCTCGGCCACAACCCGACCAACATCAGCATCCAGCCCGTGGACAACTATCCCAAGCTGGACCTCTGGATGCGCGACATGGCGCCGACGTTCGTCCTCGACACCGACGGCGGCGCGCGGGAGCTCGCCGGCGTCGACTTCAACTTCAACGGCTGGGGGGAAAAGTACCCCGTGGGCCAGTGCCTCTCGCTCGCTGCTATTAACCTGGCCGCCATGGGGCTTCCCCGCGTGTGCTCCCCGCTCGTCGCCGAGGGCGGCTCCCTTGAGGTCGACGGCGAGGGCACCGTGATGCTCACGGAAAGCTCCGTGCTCAACGACAACCGCAACCCAGGATGGTCCCGCGCGGACGTCGAGGCCGAGCTGCGGCGCACCCTCGGCGTCACCGTGGTCCTCTGGGTGCCCGGCCGCAAGGGGCTCGAGGTCACCGACGGCCACATCGACGGGCTCGCGCGCTTCGTGGCGCCGGGACACGTCCTCCTCAGCCGCCCGAGCGAGCTCGACGACGGGGTGTGGACCAAGATCTACGAGGAGGCTCGCGATATCCTACACGACGCCACCGACGCCAAGGGCCGCCGGCTGCAGGTCACCGAGGTTGCGGAGGCGGACGTGCGCTCCATGGGTCTTGGTGAGGAGGCGCTCGCGGATATCGAGTCGGGCAGGGAGGACGCGCCCGCTCTGACGTACGTCAACTACCTGCTTGTGAATGGCGGCGTCATCTTTCCTCAGTTTGGAGATGAGAAGGCGGACGCGGCGGCCTTGAAGACCATTCAAGGCCTGTACAAGAACCGTGTCGTGGAAACAGTCTTGGCGCGCGAGCTTCCCTTCCTTGGCGGAGGTATTCACTGCTCGACTCAAGAAGTTCCTTACTTTCTGTAGGTGCCTTTGATCCAAGAAAATGCCATCTTTTGGCGTGCCCAAGGCGGCTCGGCAGCCTGCGTCATCAGGGAAACTGCTCGGAGGAGAGGCTGGCTCCCCTGAGGGCACTCAAAAACCCTTCTTTTCTTGCTCTACTGTATTAATGAATATCATTGTGTCTATAATACTGTTTTGCTGTTATTACAAGATCGACGTGACACAAGTTGCTCTTGACGAGAAGCATTTCCTCAAGTATGCTGAAGAGGCCAATTCTACGGTCCATGTCCTCAACGGCGTGGGCTTGAATCCCCCCTCCTGTTTATTATCCAACTATTATCTAACACCAACAGGAATGAACCTCATGCCTGCCTGGCACAGTTCCTGACGACCCTTGTTTATGGATCAGGGGGAGGACAAAAAGCGTGAACACCGTCGCGTAAGGCAGCTGGGGTCTTCTGCCAGCATAGGCGGCGGTTGACTCTGAGTGGATGGGTGTACCTGTCATGAGCAGGGAAATCCTAATGATTAAAAGGTTGAGGCCTCTTTTAAAGGACTTCTCTGAGTCATTTGTCTGGTATTTCGTTTTTCTAAATATTGTGAAAATAGTGACTGCGTGACTGTAGTCACCCTTGGTCTTCTTGTCTTGACCCTTCTAATTTCTTCTCTTTATTTGTAAAGCTTGCTAGCAAGGAAAGGGCTATACAACTCTCCTTAGACTGAATTTTACAGCCCCTTTTGCTTTCCAACAGACGTTGTAAACAAAGAGAAAAAAGTTGAGAAGCACAACATAGGAAGACTGGTGGTTACGGCTATACGGGGTAGGGCCTGGCGACAGCCATTTTCAATTTCTTCCCCCTTCTTTAGGTAGATGGTGCTTGCGAGATAGAGCGCAGTGGGCAGCCACGCGGCCACGCCTAAGAAAGGGAGAGAGAGATCAGGAAAGCCAATCTGAAAGCGTGGGATCGTCCTGCGACTTTAAAGCCTTCTTTCAAAACATGCGACACCAACTCCATGCAAAATTCAACCTGAAAATATTAGTTCTTCCCAACCGTGACCTTTTGCGGGAGCGTATGAACGGCCTGCTGCCGCATCGCTACCCGGGTATCGTAAACCTTTCTGTCAATCGGGCGGAAGTCAAAGACCCCGTCCAGCTCGTTGCGCAGCGCCATCAGCACGTCCTGCGCCTTTCGAATCTCGTCGGGCTTGTTGTCCTGCAGCACGTGCGTCTTGACCTGCAAGATCCAACGCCCTTGCACGTCAACGGGCGTGAGGCTGTCCCAGGCCGGCAAGTGCGTGGCCGGGAGCGACAGGAACCCTTCGCGCTGCTCGAGGGGCGCGAATCGTTGGATGCGGTTGAAGATGTATTGCTTGCAGAGGCAGAACTCGACCTCGTCCCTGAAGAACCGATACGTCTCCTCTATCACCTCTCCCTTGAAGCTGTGTGCCATTGTCAGTGAGATGAAAGCGTATTTCTTGGGGAATGGTGCGTTTTGCATACCGGTGGTGGTTGTCTTCTAGGATCGATGGCAATGAACGCTGCTCCCACAATTCGACGATTTTGCGCTGCGTTAGAAGCGGCTTTCCGTGAGGAGGATCAGGAAAGTCGGTCCAGCGCAGGATGCCCGGCGTCGCGTTCGTGTCTAGGGGCGGCTGCGTCGGCTCCGACCCAAAGTCCCTGTCCTTGAGGACATCATAGCGGGCTTGTACTACGAAAGCTTGGCGAGTGAGATTTTGGTGAAGCTCCCGCCACAGCGGCGCGACGTTTTTGCGTATGGCCTTCTCGATGGAGCGTTGGTTGGACAGCCCGGCGGGCCGTGAAGGTCCCTGGTAGTAGAGTACGCGCACGATCGACTCCCACGCCTTCATGGAGCAGAGACCCTCGAGAATGGAGCAGGCTGGTACGAGGTCTGCATCCTCCACCATGCTAGTCATGCAAACTTCATACATTGTGTTTCAGGTCACCCGAGACCCTGTGAACTTGACGTAATGGCAGACGTTGCGCCGATGAGCCCTCAGCGCTGGGGAAAGTATTGTCTGCAAGCAGAGAGAGGATGATGACTCGTAAAAATAAAAATAAAATTACGGCTTGATCAAGGAAGATGCACCGGTTAGTGTATCGATGAGTTGACCGTGGATAGGAAGAAGACTGGAAAATGGAAAATGGTATGAAGGAGCATAAAATGAGTTAGTACAACAAACAACCAGCATTGAAGTCGCCTGAAGCAGCTTCACGAATGCCCCACGTGATCTCGTGTCAAAGTGCGACGCATTGGCGCGGTTCCCACCTTCACGGCTCGCTCGCACAGTCAAATGAACTTCAAGCGCTCAATAAATTGGCGATCGGTGGCCTGTCTTTCGTGTCAAGTGTCTCCGAGTACTCGGGTTCGTCGTTTTGAAATGTCTTCCAAGGTGGAAGTGGAAAAGCGTAAAGCTACAGAACCCATATCACCACCACCAACGAAGCGATCGCTCGCAAGTGGAACAACTAGTAAGACAAGCCCAAAGGCAGAGGGATTTAGCTAATTACGGCATCACGTAGAGAGCGCGATATCCAATTTCTTTACGCCAACCTCGCAAAAACCGAAAGATCGAACATCATGGTCCGAACGCAAAGACGACCCCACCAAGCCGGCGACGCTGCTTGTCGGCAAATACACACCAGATGGAGAGAGCAAGGAGACACAAAAACGGCGGAAAATTGCGGCTTTTGATCTGGACTCTACCTTGATTGACACGAGCTCTGGAAGAAAGCATGCCAAAGACGCCTCGGACTGGCGGTGGTGGGATGCGCAAGTACCCGGGAAGTTAAAGGAGCTCTACGAGGACGGCTATCAGGTGGCCATTTTGTCAAACCAGGGTGGTATTACGCTGCACGCTGATCCCAAGCAAAAGTCTGCGCCCAAGAATCCCTCGAAGCGATTAGACGAGTTCAAGGAGAAGGGGTCATCCATATTGCGATTCCTTGACTTGCCCATTACGGTATATGCGGCCACGGCAAAGGATAACTTTAGAAAGCCTCGGAGGGGCATGTGGGACGAAATTCTTCGTGATATGGGAGTGGAAGCCAAGGATATTGACCTGGAACAGAGCTTCTTTGTGGGAGATGCTGGGGGTCGCGGAGCCACCGTAGTCAACGGCGCGGCGATTGTCAAGGACTTTAGCTGCTCGGATCGAAACCTCGCCCACAATGTTGGCGTCTCGTTCAAGACGCCAGAGGAATACTTCCTGGGACAAGAGCCGCGCAAGTGGGAGCGCGACCTGGACCTGGTCCACTACCCTCTACCGAGCGAGGACGGCGAGGCCACGGCGTTCACGAAGAAGAATGCCCAGGAAATGGTGATATTTTGCGGGCGACCTGGGGCGGGAAAGAGTACCTTTTACTGGAAGTTCCTGGAGCCCCTGGGCTACGAGCGCGTAAACCAGGATACTCTCAAGACGAGGGAGAAATGTATCCAGGTCGCCAAGGCACATCTCGAAGACGGGCGCTCAGTTGCAGTGGGTAAGTGATCGACCGGATACTTTGACTGTCGTTTTGGACATCCGCGCAGCTACTGACGAGGCCATGGTGGGCAGATAATACGAATGCCGACCCGAGCACGCGCAAACTCTGGATCGACCTGGCCCAATCACTCAAGGTGCCGATCCGCTGCGTGTCGTTGTCGACGCCGGCGGCCGTGTGCCGCCACAATGACGCCGTCCGGTCGCTGAACAAGTCGCTGAACCCAGAGGAGAGAGAGGTCCTGCCGGAGATTGCATTTACCGGGTTTCAGAGTCGATACAAGCCACCGCAGGAGAGTGAGGGATTTGAAGACATAACGGAGGTCGAGTTCAGGTTCCGGGGTACCAAGGAGGACTATGCGATTTGGGGAAGGTATTGGCTGTGAGGGAGCTGGGCACTGCCCGGGTGGCGAGAGCCTCCATCGTCTGAGAGCCGGATGATGTTCATTCGGAGAGTTGCGCATTCATGCAGACAAGCCAACAACAACAACACGCCAAGTTGCAGCCACGGTCATGCCTGCTGGGACCGGTTTTCTGGCGTGGCGCCTCTTCGGCCGACGACCCTCTCGAGCTTCGGCGCGGCTGTAACTCGTAAGCCGAAGTTATTAGCGAGATAGAAAAGTCTAAGAATGACAGGAGGTGCAGGGATATGACGCCTTGTACATCTAGCCCCCTTGGCAAACACAAAGTGTGGCATGTTGTTGATGGGCGTGGCGTTCTCCAACGCGCTGTGGGTGATGCGGAGTTGGCTTATTGGGGTCCCCGTGGGGTTTGCTGACCACAGGCTGTTTGCCGAAAACTCAACTGCAAATAGCTGCCATTCAATATGATGGCCTGTTGCGAGCCCTAGGACCCACAGGGAAGACTAAAGGCGTGCCGATTAGAGCCTCGAGAGCTTCGCTTGATACTTTGTCAATCCAACGAAGGTTTTGCGTGGCACAGGCAGCTTACCTACTAAGAGTTGTAATAACCGCTATTATTACGGGGAGTATTGATACAATTACTATTATATTTCTTGCTATTATCTATTATTACTGCTTCTTTCTATCATCCGCATATTCATAAGGAGTGGAAGGCTTCCCTGGTATCCATCTGTTTTGCGGGTTGGCATCTACAGACGCCACACTCTAAGCACTGCCTACTTAACCGTATGAAAGAACAATGTATCATTTCTTGAAAACACTGTCCAAGCCATATCTCATTCTCGTTCGTCTCGCCCAATTTGCCACATTTTTTCTTTTTAATTGCGTTGATCGAAATGTGGTTGGCAACCTGCTTCATAACCCCCCCACCCCCTCACAGGGTCATGAGCTCCCTTCGCCAAGAAGGCGAACGGCGAGGGCGCGGCGCCCTTGGCTTGCCCAGCCGGCACCGGCCAGAGAGGGCAGAAAGCCTAGCCGGCTGGGCGTTGTCGATGGAGGCTTGCTCTCATCTCTTGGAAAGCTGGGCATGTAAATAGTCGTCACTTACGTAGGTTTCGTCTTAGTAGAGGATTCGTCTTAGCAGAGGTTTCTTCTTAGCAGAGGTTTCTTCTTAGAAGAGGAAGCAAATACGAGGCCAAGATGAGTTTTTGTGATGGCATGTACACCTAATTACCCCGCGTTCCCTAGGTAGGACTCGCAACGTTCGGCAGTCCGCCGAGAGGTGGCATCGTGGCGGGATGGGTATGGGGAAGATGACAGGGAAGGGCCTGGCGGCAACGTGGGTTGCGACGCTGCTCCGGTTTCTTTTCTGGTGTTTGGCCCTCTTTTTGCCCCGGATGACGCCAAGAAGCGCATAAAATTCTTGCCTTCATCTGAGGTCCCTCGATGTCGTATCCAGAGGAGGAACCTTTGTGTCGAGAAGGGCCGACGCGCTGCCTTGTGGTGGTGGTGCGCGGGCGAAGAAACAGAGCAATGATCTGCCACACCGAGTGGCGGCGACGGAGCTAGAAGCAACTCCAAACCAGCTAACAAGGAACAAGCAGAAGAATTTAAACTTCGATTGCCCTATTTCACCCGTTGTGGCTTGGAAAGCCTGGGTTAGGTAGCGCAGCAAATCTGAGGCTGGGCGACGTTTGCTCGTTCACAGTGGAGGGTTTCAATAGCCGAGCCCTCTTTTTCCTCTAGGCTGGGGTTGTGAGATGCGGCGTCGGCTTTTGTCCTGTTAGTTCTGGCGAGGCTCCGGCGCCCCCAACTTGCATTGTGTTTAGTTACGGAGTGCGGAGGGTGGTAGCTGGAGGAAATTAACCGTTTTTTACAAGCCCAATTTCTTGTCCATGAAACTGCGGTCAATGTTCGAATGGAGTCACTGATCATCCTGATGCGCTCGCCGAACGAAATTGCACTTGGGCCTACGGAAACGGGACCCCGTCCAGTGAGGGCTCGTGGAATTGCATTACGACTCATGCGCAGTTCATCCCGCCATTCATCCCCACAAGCAAATTCCAGCTGGGGCTGGCAAGTTGGGAGAACGTGCGACGCGCTCCACTGAGGGTGCAGTGGGTTGATTTGGAGAAGATGGGCTCCAAGACTGAGAATCATCCATCAACGGCACCGCGACCCGTCGGAGCACCCGAGAGGCGGCAGAAGTGCGCGCGCTTGCTTAATTTGCGCATGTGTGGTATTCCTCAGCTCGACGGTATTGTCATTTCTGACTCGTCTTTAGCACGGCAATGAGCACGATCAACGCTCCACGGAAGACTATTTCCGCCACGTTGGTAGGCCTGAGGGAGTATAGTCAAATACTTGTGTGGCCACCCACCGGCAGGCATCCCACTGGTGGCTTCATTATGGGAGATTTCTGAGTAGGACGAAATAGCCACCAAGGCTTAGTTACACGGCGGGGACGTGGGGATTGTGGCTTTATTCCCCAACTTTCTCATGAGGGGGATGTGGGAGAGTTGCCTAGTCGAGAGCTAACAAGCTGGGTGGTTTATTACTTTGGCTCCCCTCCTTCTACCAGTAGGGTGCAGGCTTTGCTGCTTAGCCGGCGGATCTTATTCCTCTCAGGCTACTGGGATACACCTACTGACGCAGGTTATGCCCATAAAGAGAGCCGTACCCATCCATGTCTTTTTGGTGCGGCGTGATCCAGAAGTAAAGAACTTGTATAAAGAAGGCCACTCCCCCAACCGTCGAGCCTGCCCCGCGGCTGACATTCCTCTTGTCGCACTCGTGTACCTTGCTGGTTTTCTTACTGTTGCTCCATACACTTTCAACGAAGCACGTCCAAGCAAGCTGCGAGTTACGTACGATACACGGATCACATACCAAGAACGAGCGACGCGACAACAAACCCAGGCATCATGGCTGGCGGCGTCAAGAAACCCGTCAACATCTTCCGCCTGAAGAACCTCGGCGAGCCCGCGGGCGTCTTCAACTGGCGCCTGTGGTTCGCCGTGGTCTCTTTTGGCCTGCTCGGCGCGGCGCGCGGCATCGACGAGGGCCTCATCTCGGGGGCCTTCAACTCGGCCGACTTCCAGCGGGCCATCCACTACAGCACCTACACTACCGTCCAAAAGGCCAACATCAAGGCCAACGTGTCGTCGATGGTGCAGCTCGGCTCCGTCGCGGGCGCCATGATGTAAGTTTTGCATGTCTGTCTGCCCCCCTTGCAAACTCCTTCTCGCCTTGAAAACTGGGCTGCGGGATGGGAAATCGTCTAGGCGAAACATTGGCATCGTCCCGTCCCATCTCCCCCGCCATTTTTTTTCTCCTTTGCCAAGAACGCCGACCCGTCATCCCACCATGACCCATGCGCCGCCCTGGCCGCTAGAACGGCGATCATGCTACGCTGCCAGCTCCGCAACGTTGAAATGCTCACCATGTGCTAACTACTTCTTTTTGCTTTTCCTGCCCAGTGCATTCATCGTCTGCGATCGGATCGGCCGTATTCAGGCCACTCGCTTCCTCTGTATGCTCTGGATTCTCGGCATCGTCGTCTTCATGATTGGCGGCGTCAACGGCAACCTCGGCGCTATTTACGCTGGGCGCTTTATTGCTGGTCTTGGTGTCGGACAGACGCCTGTCGTCGGGTACGTGAATTGAACCCGCAAGCTCGCAGACAGTCAACTACATTTCTAACCTTGTCAACAGCCCCGTATACATTGCGGAAATTGCCCCCGCGTCCGTTCGTGGCTTGTGTACCTGCTTCTTCACTGGCGCCGTCTACATTGGCATCGTCCTGGCCTACTTTACCAACTATGGCTCCTCCATCCACATCTCCAATCACAGTCATAATCAGTGGCTGGTTCCTACGAGCCTCCATATCATGATGGCCGGCATCATCTTCATCCTCATGTTCTTCCAGTACGAGTCGCCTCGCTTCCTCGTCAAGCAGGGACGCCCCGACAAGGCCGCCGAGGTCCTTTCGCACATCCGCCAGCAAGCTCCCGACAGCGACTACGTAGTTGGTGAGACGTCCATGATCCAGGCTGCGCTCGACCATGAGATGGAGGCAACTCGCGGCGTCGGATTCTTCGGCATGGTCAAGGAATTGTTCCTCGTCAAGAGCAACCTGTATCGCATGTATCTCGCAGCCATGGTGCAATTATTGTCCCAATGGAGCGGTGCGGGAAGCATCACCCTCTATGCAGTGGATCTTTTCAAGATCATTGGCATCACTGGAAAGCAAGAAGGGATGCTCGTCACCGCCGTATTCGGAGTTGTGAAGCTGATCGCTGCGTTGGCCTGTGCCCTGTTCCTCGTCGATGTGATTGGACGCAAGATGTCGCTTCTCATCGGCATTACCCTGCAATCCATTTCCATGATTTATGTCGCCAGCTTCCTTACCTCTGTCCCTCAGCTCGGTGTAGTCGAGGGTTTCAAGCTTCCTCAGAAGGATCTAGGCAGCAGTCGCGGCGCCATCGCGATGATATACGTGGTAAGTCACTCCATCCCGATGTTCCGATAAAAGCTATACCTGGCCAGATCCACCCCTCGAAAACAAATGCTAACGGGACGATTTCAGTCTGGATTTGCCTGGGCCATGGGCTGGAACTCTATGCAGTATCTCTTGACTGCAGAACTGTTCCCGCTCCGCGTGCGCTCATTTGCTACGTCGATTTCCATGACCCTGCACTTCGCCAACCAGTACGGCAACACCCGGGCTGTTCCCAACATGCTTCTCCCGACCAGCAACGGAGGCATCTCTCCCTCTGGCACTTTCTGGTGCTTCGCGGCCATCACCATCCTTGGCGGGATATGGGTGCTCTTCTCCGTCCCGGAAACGAGCGGTCGTTCTCTCGAGAGCATGGACCGCCTCTTCGACCTCCCCTGGTACAAGATTGGTCTGTACGGAAACAAGGATGCTGAGCTCCAGGACCAGGCGTACGATGAGAAGGAGCAGGCCGCGCACGAGATGCACGGAATGGGCCAGCATGTCGAGACGGCCAACCAGAAGCCTCGCACGATTGATGTTTGAGAAGATGGATTATTTCTTATACGAATGACTTGATACCTAAAAGATAGCTTATGTTTGGCAATTCAATGACTTTTTTGCAAGACAAACGTTTGCGCGATTATCATGTGGTGATAGTAGGCTACCCTCTCCGTGTAAACTAACATGTCAGCCAACGTACAGACAATTAGGTTCAAAAAAAATCTGGATAATGTATTGTGGGATTTAACGGAGATCTGAAGTGATTTGGAAGAAAAATAACAAATACGGTAACTACGATCAAGCAAGCGGGCGATGTGTGCGAGCTCGCGCTGCCTCGACAAGAGGGACAGCTGACAGCCGTCTGCACAATTTTGAACTTGCCAGATTCAAGCAACTTTCGAACGAGCCTGCCTGTGCCTTTCCCTCGAACTGTGTTTCCATGTCATTTCTTTCCCATTCACGCGTTCTTAACAACACAAAACGCTACAATGGCCCGGTCGCATAGTTTCGGAGCTGGTGGTCTCGCAGCCGCGTTGTTTTCCTTTGCTTTGCTACAATATCTTCCGCTCTGCACCACGAATACAATGATCATCGGACTCTTCCTGAACCTTGATCCTTTTGCCGACTCCAAGACTGGGACGAATCACCCAAGTACACTCCACCCTCCTCACTCTCCTCACCCTCCTCGTCTTCCAACACGGGCGCCGGCGGCGGGACCACCTTGGGCGGCTGATACTTGCGCCTGGTCGGTCGACTATCCTTAGTCCCGATGTACTGGCTCAGGAGCATCTCGAGCGTGCCGTCGTCCAGTGCCTCTAGCCTGCCCCCCTGCCTCTCCCACGCCGCGATGGAGTCAAACGTCAGCGGGGCCGCCGTCCGCGGCCGCTCGGCCCCGAAGGACAGGTTGCTGAGCGCCTCGGTCTGGGCGTCGACCTCGCTGATGTCCCGCGAGTTGGTCACATGGGACAGGCGCGACGGCGTGTACGGCGAGCGGCTGGAGGAGGAGAGACTTTTGACGCCGCCGGCGGGCGATCAGCGATCGGAGCCGCCGGACCGCTCCGGCTGGGTGGAGCGTGAGCGCGAGCGAGAAGGCGGCGTCTCGCTTTGGCTTTTCTTTTTGTGCGAGTCTTTGGTCATGGTGGTCGTATGGTGAGTGATAAAGAGGGAGAGGGATGATGAGGTTTTGAAGATCCATGCATTGACGAGTTCCCGCGAGGCTGGCTGGGCTGAGCTGCTGCTGCTGCTGCTGCTGCTGCTGCTGTCACCCGCCAGCCCCCCTGGTATATGTATAAGGCAAAAGGCGGCTGTTTGTGTGACGCGGGAGCGCTGGCTGCAGAGAAATTAACAGCGCAGGTCATTGCAGGTGGGTTTCACCCAGTCGGGCTTGTCAAAGCAATGTGGTTGAGCAAGCCTTGGTTTGCTCAATGATGCAGGCAGAAAGCAGGGCGGCGTGACTGATTGGACGACAAGCTACGCCGTGGCACAATGCGACATGAAGGAGGCGCTCGGTCGGTCTGCACCTGATGGCTGCCTTGACCAAGGCGGAGAGCGATGACGCTGTCTCAAATCGTTGGCCTTCCTATTATTAGACCTCGTCAAGCTATGATGCACGACCACACAACCTCGGGGCTCTGCTTCACCCTCACTCAGTCACTGACTGCACTGGAAGCCAGCATGCTCGTGCATGTTTTCGCAGTGCCACGACGTCAGCTCGTCACCGCCTGAGCCCCGGGTCATATGAACGTCGGACACGGTAAAGTTACTGCACCCTCCTGCGGCGACGCTGCACTGGAACCAGCCCACGTGGTCCACGCTGTCCTTGGCCCAGCCGCTGATGCCCCGGGCCGTAAAGTCTCGCATCGAAAACTTTGAGCTCTGGCAGTCGCGGCCCAGTCCGCCCTCGTAGTTTTCGCACTGCCAGGCGAAGAGCGGATACTTGCGGACGCCGCGCAGCTTGACGTCCTCGAGGACGATGCCGGACATGAAGCCGAGGCCGCCGCCGCCGCCATTGGGCGGGAAGCCCTTGGAGTTGCCGCCCCAGGTCTTGAGGTAGATCGCGTACGTGGTGTCGAAGAGGGTGACGTTCCTGGCGAGGAAGCTGGTGACGTGCTCGTGGCGGTCCTTGTACTGCCCGACCGAGCCGATGGCGAGGCCCTGGCCGCCGTAAATCTCCGTGTCGAGCACGCGGACGTTGGTAGAGTTGCCCTTGAGCGCCACCGCATCGTCGCCGCTCTTGATGCGCCACCGTCGCAGCGTGATGTCGTCTGACCAGATGGTGTCGATGCCGTCCGTGTTGAGCGTGCTCCAGCGGCTGGTCGAGGTGTTGTTGACGTAGATGTCGGCAAACTCGACGTGCTGGGAGTGGGTGACGGCCATGGTCCACATCTGGCTCTGGACGAAGCGCATGCCGGCGACGCGCGAGTTGGTCAGCCGGCGGAAGTTGACCATCATGGGCCGGCGCGGGAGGTTGCCGAGGCCGCGAGCCCAGTCGTACCAGACCTGGCCGTTGCCGTCGAGCGTGCCGAGGCCGTGTCCGTCGAGGGAGACGCGGTCGCCGCCAAAGTACCAGACGGTCGTCTGGTTCTGGAAGCCGACGGGCATGGAGACGGACCGCCAGTAGTCGACGTCGGGGCTCCAGAGGAAGCGGCCGTAGTGGTGGATCTCGACGTCGTCCATGTCGACGGTGGTCATGTTGCTCTCGATGTGGTAGACGGGGCCGGGGAACACGACGACGCTGCGCTTGCGGCAGTCGTAGTTGAGGGCGCGCATGATAGCAGGGGCGTCGTCGCCACCGGCGAGGTCGGGAAGCACGAAGCAGACGGGCCTCTTGGTCTCGTCGCCGATCCGCTGCCAGTATGCCTCGTTGCTGGCATGATCGGGGATGCGCAGAGCCTCGTCCGCGCTGCTGCTGACAGCAACGAGTGAGACCAAGGCCGTGAGAGCTGCAAGGAAACGCATTTTTCGCTACTTCTTGACAAACAAATGAAGGAAATACAATGTGCGTCTCTGCTTATGGAAATAAACAGAATGAGGTTGAAAGAGAACCGAAACTGGACACACAAAAGAATCCCGCTTCCTACTAACTAGCGAGACAGTGATGCGGCAGCTTACACGAGTTGGCGGGCGCAGACTGCTTTTTGGCGAAAGTCTGAACGTATCCTGGTGGCGGACAGCCTTTGTCTACTTGAATAAATTTGCTAGGCTTAGACCTGGCCGCGAATTTAGATGCACGATGACTTGTCGCCATGTTGCCACACCCTGAATGGGTTACATGAAAGTTGGTGCTAGATGGGACGGAGGATGACAACCTTTTTGTCCAAGGACTAGATCCACGCAAAGTCCCGACCTCCTCGTCACCTGCGTCGATGACTGCCTCGGACAATCCGTATAATTGTGACGCATCATGGCTCTCCAAGACAAGTTTCACCATGTATTGCTTCGGCAAAGTAGCGATAGTATCATGGAAGCTCCTTGAGTAATCTCCCGTGGTGATGTTGAAGTACCTGTGATGAGAAATTATGATTGAATGAAAGGTCATCATCCAACTACAACATGAGGGACTCTACCCGTAACAGCTACGGCTGTCGCCGCCTGAGGTTTCCTCATTTGCGCCAACTAACCTACAGCTTTGGACCCCTTGTTATTATCATCATTGCGCTGGGCTTATTGCGCCTGTTATTTCATCCATCCGAAGACAAGTTCGGCCAGTGGCGCCATGCATATACATACATACATTCACATAGTTACCAGATACCAGACTAAAATTAGACCGCAGCTATTGCCTCAGCAAACAATCGGGCGTTCAGCTTGCGCCTCAGCATACAGAAGGGCGTTCAGCTGGGCCCCCAGGACTTTTATTCTGCGCATCCCATTGATTGGTTCACAATTTCTGGGGACTCTGTTACTTGAAGATATAACTCGGGTGTGTCCCCTCGATTAAAAATATAGAATACATGGAACTTTATAGTTACATTCCCTATCATCCAATAAGTCGAGCCAGTATCAAAGAAAATACACACACCCATATATATACAAATGAAACCCATCATCGCATTCGCCCAGCACGGCGGTTACTTTATCAGTGGGCCAGGATATCGGCGCATGTGAGTATCTGTCCTGACTAATGCTTTCGGTTCCTCTAATGAGTTGACATTAATCAATATTTAGACATAACCTGCCGGATTGGTTCAAAGAAACCATGAGCAAAGCCCTTGAAGTCTACTGTGTGGCATTTGGTCCTGGAGATGCCGCGGTGGTTACGTACCTTGATGCCCAGACTGGGTGTGTACAGTTGAGTATGTTCTATAAAGAACCCTCAAACACCGTCGCTGGTTTAACCCGTGCATATAGGGATCAAAAACATTGCCTCAATGCGCGGCCTTGCCGAGTACCTTCTTGACCGCAATCCTCACACAGAATATAAGCGACATCTGCGCCATCTCCAAGTTTCGTTTAGCGGACGGGGTGGTTCATACTGGGCTAGTGATGGACAAACTAGCATATACCGTGAGCTTCCAGAGCAGCTGGAGCTAGACTTGCGCATGCTGCAAACAGAGAGAGGAGCTTGGCGCGACAGCACCCGATGCGTTGTACTAGGTGCAGGGGGGAACTACGTACTCCTTACCGGACGTGGTGCCTCTTCGTGCCAACTTGGAAGTTATCCTGGTGTATTCCATACTATGAACGCAGTTGATTCAGCTCCAACGGGTATTGGGAGTATCTGGGTTCGTACAACCTTTTTACGAGTCACTGGTCAGAGGCCATGACGATCTAATTGAACTCTGCTAACTACACCAACATCAGGGCATTCATCTTGACTCTTTCCGAGGGTCTTCCGTGGTTCAATGTTCGGACGGCAGCCTTCACGGATTCGATCTCAGTCCAGAGGCAAGGAGAGACATTGCGCAGATAAACCGCCAAGTCCACGCCGCCCAAGCTGCCTATTGCATGGCCCAGGAGCAGCTCAGGCAGGATCTCTTCCAAGCACAGGTCATGCAACAGGCCATGTTTGTCCAGGAGGAGGCTGCCTTGAAGCACATGTTTCGCAAGCAGCTCGAAAACCAGCAGTGGTGTGCAGAGATGAGCGCGCGCGCTGGTGGAGTGAAATGGGTAGAGGGAGATGGATATGGGAGACCGAAGTAGACGTTTGTGATGGTGCAAGAACACGAACGAAGTCTAGTAAGACTTGGATTAAGTGGTTGTGTACGAGGAATGGACAAAAGATGATGGCGTTGGGCTGTCGGCGTATGTACAGTAGGTGCCTGCAACCAGCACGCCCCGGGGGGGGGGGTCGTCGTCATCGGCACGCAGGACCAGGAGAGTTGGCCACGCAAGCCCACTAACTAATAAGAACTCAGTGTCAACCAGTTTCCTTCCTGCCACTCAGGTTCTCTTCTTCAATTCGTACAGTATGCGCTATCAAATCGGCAGAACCCAGTTGTCGGGACATGCGCCCTGACATCTACCTTGCAGCCGATCTCGCTGTGTAAACCCCGCGACAGTTCAGAATTTCTTGGTCGCCGCCTAATAATGCTGCCCAACAGGCATTTACTGGTGACTATCGTCTCGACAGAAGGCCTCGTTTCATGTCGCTTCACTCTCACCCGTGCATTGCCCTTGTCCAGCCCTGGCTCCATTCTCGCCAGCGTTCAACACGCCATCCATGTACGCCCTTGGCTTGCACGACCATTTGATATTCTATCGCTAACCAGACTAGTGAATGAAAATTCAAGTAAAATTAAACCGGTGTGCTTTTCTCCGGTTGGATGGTGTCCAACGGCTCCCAAATCATGGGCCATACCGTTATCCCCGGGCCCCCCTTCATCTGCAAGCCCATCGCATCACACTTTCCCTTGCCGAGCACCACAGTCCCGAGCTCCTTGAACCCTACCGTTGCATAGACGCGCCTGCTCGCCTCTGTACTGGCCTCTATCCATGCCGGCACCTGCTCCTTCTGAGCGACATCCAGGACCTGTCTGAGCACCCTGCTGGCCAGCCCCTGTCCTCTGCCCTCGGGCACCGTAGCGACGAGGAAGACGTAGTAGAACCTGCGCTTGCCGAGCGCGGCTTCCTTGACCGCGCCGACGTACCGCGGGAACTCGTAGAGCATCTTGACGGTGCCGGAGACGCCCAGCTTGGCGAACACGGGCAGCCCGCCGGAGGGGACGAAGTGGACGGGGTTGGCGACGTCCTTGCCGGGCGGCAGGACGACGGCGGCGCTCTGCCAGTCCGCGGTCTCGTATATGGTGCCGTGGTTGGCGACGGCGGCCGTGACTAGGAACTGGAACACGGTGTCCAGGTAGGATAGCCGCTCGTCGTCGGACAACTTGTTCAAGATGTAGGTGAAGCAAGGGTCCTCGCCAAACTGCGGGGCGAGCGTTGCAACCGCCTGTGAAGTTCGGGCTGATTATTACGAGGTAGATAGTTAGAGTGCATGCATCCATCGCGTCATCTTTGCAATTTTAGCGTACGTACCGCGGCCTTGCAGTGCCCCCTCTGTGAGATGCGTAGACGCCATCGCAGGCTCGCCGGGTGTTGCGTTGTCGTGAAGACAAGTCGAGTTGGAGAGCACCTCGAAGGTCTTGTTGGCATTGGGCTTCTCAGAGCCTCGCGTGCTTTTTATAGGTTTTGATCCATGCACGGCTTTTATTGTGAGCGGCAAGAAATAGGACCCGAAACCGCTGGTGAGCCAAGCTGTTGGCAGCCCTGTACGCCATCTCCGGTGCACCGTAAGGCTTGTTCCCCTATGCGGATAGTGTATAGTAGCCTCAACTATGGTCATCATCGAACTACAGGGGCTCCTGGCCCCTGAAACTTGGCCATCCGCGATAGCCGGAGTTGGGGAGACTGGTAGATCCTGTAGTGGAGTGGCCTGATGATTGCATTTTACCGATCCTTCTACCGATCCTTCTTAAGACCAACTATGCTTGTTTTCTTTCTTCTTTTTGTATGCTCTAATTTATATCTTGTATTTTTTGATATTTATCAATCTTATTTCGCACTGGCCACCCTTCAGTAACAGTGCCAAGCCGCTGTGGCTTTTGCCACCGAATTGATGCCTCGTAACCCATCCCGTTTAGGCCAACACAGTAACAGTTATCAGGATCGAGTAAAACTTGATCGGACGATAGTAGATCACTTTAAAAATAAGGTTTTCTTCACGATTAAACTGGCGTCGATGGTTATGAGTTGGCGACTAACAGAGCATATCTGTCATGCTGGATATGCCCACTGCGCTGCCTCACCAGAACGCGCCGTCCAACTCGGTGTCGCTCTTGCCCAGAGCCATAGTCACTCGCAGCTTTCTGCAAGGTTCTAAAGATGCAACTAAAATATTTAAAAAAAAAATTTATACTATATGTAACCTGGCTTTATGATACAACTATACGCATTGCCATTACTAGCAGATCCAGAACCAAATCCTTTCAAAGATATTTCGTGGAACAGGCGGTACGTCCTTGGCTGTGATCTCTTCGACTTCTTCAAGCCCACTGAAGACATTCAGCTCAGTGACGGGCATGATCCATGGCTTGTTCCTTCCATTCTGCCAACGGTGCGCAATATAAAGGCCGATGAAGATTGGGAAGGAGGCGTAGGATGTTACAAACTTGGCGATGTTGAATTGGTGTGGAAAAAAGACGGCGAACCCGTTGGTGATGCACATGAGGCTGAGCATGAAGAGGGTGCAATATGTCGAGTACGGTTGAAAGGGGCTTTTGAAGGGGAGCCTATCCTCGATGCCGTTGAGTCGCACCGCGGCGCGAAATCTCTGAGATGATTATCAGCACAGTTGACGGCCAAGTCTCGGGTATACTTACCAGGTATGTGACGAGAATAATGTTCCAGTTTATCATGCCGCTGACGGTGATGATGGTTGTCAGCCATACAAAGACATCGGCCCCTTTGCTGGAGAGATTCAGATAGCCCAAAAGACTGAGCACGGAGGAAGCCAGGACAGCCAGATGCGGCACTCCCCATCGATTGCATCGACGGAATATTTTCGGCGCCTTGCCGTTGCAGGCCATCCCGTAGAGCATCCTGGATGCTGAGTACAGCTGCGCGTTGCCCGCCGACCACGCCGCCGTGAGCGCCACCGCATTCAGCACGTGGTCCAGCACCGGGATCGCCGCGTTGTGGATGCCGATGACGAACGGGCTCGCCGACGCGTTGCTGGCCCCGAGCAGCCGCACGTCGTTGTGCGGCACGATGGCGCCAATCACCAGCGCACCCCCGACGTAGAAGAGTAGCAGCCGCCAGATGTAGCGGCGCGCGGCCTTTGGTATGTTGCGCCGTGGCGCCTGGCACTCGCCGGCGGCGGTGGCGATGAGCTCCGGCGAGAGGATGTAGGAGAAGCCGGCGCGAATCAGCGCGTCCCAGACGGCGAGGAACCGGCCGGCGCTGCCGGAGAGGAGGTAGGGCTTGAAGGCGCCGGGGTGGCTCCAGTACCGGAAGCCGATGCGGTCGTGGGTGGGCGCGCCGCCGAAGAAGATGACGAGGCCGATTAGGAGCAGGGCGAGGATGGCGACGATCTTGATGGAGGCGAACCAGAACTCGACTTCGCCGTAGTACTTGACAGCAACAAGGTTGAGCAGAACGCACACTGCCGGGGGATGTTAGAGGTGGCATACTGCTGGGCGTATGTCGTGATACGTACCGACGATGATTATGGTGATCCATGCAGCGGGAGGGACGGCTGTTGTCCAGTACTCCATGATGACCGCCGACGCAGTCGCCTCTGCTGGGGGGATCATGGAGTAGGCAAACCTGCAGCAACGTGTTATTGAAGTCGCGACAACGCGGGTTACTTGTCGTACCAGTAGTTCCACCCTATTCGAGAATTGTTAGACAGATTGAAGGCAAAACATTATCATCAGACATCAAAAAGACATACCAAAAGCAAAAGCCAAGCTAGGATCTACGAAACGCTGGACCAGGTACGGGATTGTCATTCCTCTGATGGGCATATAACTCGCAACCTCAGCCAGATCCATGGTCAAGATCCATACCACAGCCGACATGATGATATAAGACATGAGAAGAGGAGCTGCTCTATTGTTAACAGGCAAAGGTCGTCACAGAGCCTTGGAAGACATACCTGGTCCAGTCTCGGCGAGAACGCCTCCAGAGCCTATAAACAGGCCTGTGCCAACCGTGCCACCTGCGTTCAAGTCAGTCTACCTCACGCAGCTCGCCATGCAGCACCATGTAGTTGGATGATGGAGCTTACCAATTGCAATCAGCTGAATGTGTCGGCTCTTCAGCCCACGCTGCACGTTTCCATCCTCGGCCGTCCGCTGAAAGTCGTCGCGACGCTTGGGTTCCGTGTTGGACACGTGCTGCACCGCCAGCTCCGGGTCACGCTCGATCGTTTCCGTTGCTTCCTTCATCATCCTAGCGACAATGTCTGAGAACGAGTATGTCTAGGAGGAAGAAATCTAGCCGGGACCGCAAAACAAGGCGAGATCTAAAGTAGGTGCCATTGTGCAAACTCTCGCAGGGCTAGCGGCGCGCCGTCGCGTCGACGACAGAGCCTGGAACATGCGCTAGAAGGGACGCGTGCCTTGGAAAGCGTGGGATGGTCTGGTGTAGAGACGTAATTAGAATGGTATATTCGTGGGTAGGCATCGTGGAAATGGGATTTAGCAGTCGGCGCGACTGGGCCGGTGTCGCAGCACAGATGGACACGAACCTGGGGAAGCCACCTCAGGTATCGCCGAGATTGCGGGGAGCCTTGTTTAGGACGGGATTTGTACGTAATTTGGCTTCGTTTTACGCAGATCGGATGGTGTGGCTAGTCCAATTCAAGACTATATTTTTGTTAGCATGAGGAAGGATTGATGCCAATCCTCACCAGTGCACCCATGGGGGGGAGAGAACTTCACTCGGCAAGATTAGGAGAGGAACACACACCACAGTTCGATAATTAACATGGCCTCTTATAATAGATGTAGTAGGTGTAAAAGTATTGATAAATATGATAATGGCGATAACAGCCACAAAAAGGGGAGCAATTCCCCATATCTCTTGTCGCTCATCGCCAGCCTTCCAGCCAGCTCGACACACCTTCCGCGACTATCTTGCACACCTAGTTCAACATGTTCCTCAGCTCAACCTCTTCGTGTAGTTCCTGCTCAATCTTGCCAACGTCCAATACCTCTCGTCCCTTGCGGACGTCCTCGACATTTCGCACCGTCGAATGCGCGCCGCCCTCAAAGAGTGCGTCAATCTCCTCGAGCGTCTTGCCCTTGGTCTCGACCCAGTACACAGCCTAGGAAACTTAGCTTTGCATCCGCAACGATAATGGTTCAAACTTACAATCAAGATTAGCGTGATGATGTCCCATGACCCGTTGATCATGTACATTTTCCATCCAATGTTGTTCAGACCAATGGGCATCACAAAGACAAGCAGCAGTCTACAACAACAGTTAGCCACACGACCATGAAAATGAACGAGATACCTACGCTAGGCCGTTCAGAACAAAGCTTGACAATGCATTTCCGTTGGCTCTTGTCGGGTAGTCCATCACTTCGGGCGGGTATAGAGTGAGGAGCGGCGTCCAGGCGATCGAGTAGAAGCCTTGGAAGAGGAACATGACTGCGACGTCGCCGTAGACCAGGGCCTGCGATGCGCCGGTCTTGTCGTCAGCGTAGATCTTGGACAGTCCACCGATGATGAACAGGCAGACGATGAGCAGAGATTGAGAAAGGAGCGCGGTCGGCTTCCGGCCCCAGACGTCGGCAAGCTGCGTTCCGACAAGGCAACAGGCCAGGCAGAAGATGTTCAAGACAACATTCTAGTTGAATATTCATTTTAGCCTATGGCCAGTAATCATATAAACTTCTGTCAAACTTACTGCTTTCAGTTGGTCATCGGCACTGTCAATGCCCGCCGTGGTCAGCTCATCACCCAGATAGTAGCTCGCGATGATGTTGCCGGCGATGCAGGAGAACGGCCCCGCGGAGCCTCCGATCAGCACGCGCTTCCGCGCCGCCGGCGTCTTGAAGATCTCCTTGGGGCTCATCGTGCGCCCCTCCTTCTTCTCCCAGTCGAGCGTGTCGACGATCTGCTTGTAGACGGCCACCGCGACCGGGTCCTGCAGGTCGCCGTTGGCGTTGGTCAGCGCGACGACCAGCCGCGCGTCCTCATACCGCTCCCGCGCGACGAGCCAGCGCGGGGACTCGGGGATGAAGGGCAGGAACAGCAGGCAGATGACGGAGAAGATGGCCTGGAAGAAGGAGGGCGCCCGCCAGGCCCAGGTGGACTGCCACTTGCTGGTGCCGAGGGTGATGCCGGCGGCGATGAGCGCTCCGATGTAGTAGCAGTTGTTGAGAAGCTGAGCTTGTCAGTGTACGTTTCAGTCTTTTCTTGCTGCCTGCCTTTTGTGGTACTCACGCCTAGACCCCAGGTCCTCCAGCGACTGGGAAACGTCTCGCTAAGGTAGACGACGCCAGCGATGCCTGAGATTTGACTTCCTGCGCCGAGGATTATGCGCGCGACGACGAACATGGCAATGTTCTGAGCTGCGCCTTGTAGAATAATACCGACGAGCGTCACCACTGTGCCCCAGAAGATGGCAGGGCGACGGCCGAGGCGGTCGGCGATGACACCGGCAAAGATGGGGCCGAAGAAGCCGCCGATAAAGGTAGATGCCGTGTTCAGACCTTTGGTGGCAGGAGTGAGGTTGAAGTAATCGGTGTAAGATGGTAGGATATTGAGGCCATTCAGCATGGAGCCGTCGTAGCCTCCTGTGGTGGACTGGACGATGGAGCACAGCAGGAGGAGGACGGACAGAAGTGCCGTCGACTCCGGGACCCAGGCGGGCATCCACGTCCCAGTCGATACAGATCGCAGCATGTTGAAGATTGGTAAAGAATAGTTTGAGTTTTTAGGTCTTTACTGCTAGGAAAGGGAATGAAGAGTCGTTCTTATTGTAGCCTGAAAGCCGTTTACAGGCCGGCTCGCCTTCCCCGCATTCCAGCAGCCGATGCCATGTCACACTGTCCATCTCCGGTCTCTGGAGCAGACCGGTTGAACGGAAGATACAGAGAAGTCTCGAATTTCCAGCCTGGGAATAACTCGAAATGACATCCGACGGATATCCAGCCACTCGGTGCCGAACAGCCGTTATTTCCATTCTTTACGGAGAAGCTGAGCGACGAGGCGGCGAGGCTTGGGAGAACCCCCCACGGATTCATGGCCTTTCGACAGACGAGGTCTCGGGTGCCCTATCCGAAGTGCAACGTAGCACTTGTAAAAAGTGATAAAGATACGCTTAAACAATCCGGTACCGGCAGTTGAGCAAGCGCGCAAATTTTACATAACCAGGGGCTTGCTGTTTATGGCGATAAGCCGGACGTGAAGTTCATCTCCACACCAAGGATCCCCCGCAAGCCAGCACCCCGCATCATCCACCTGCAAATATCCGTCGGTGGGGGGACAAACTGTCAACTTCACATCAGCTACGGGAGCCAGAGGTGCATTTATTGACTAGACGGAAGCTCTCGTTTCTTGAGAGGAAAACAAAGTAGTTGACAAGGAGGCTGTGACAGCAAGCACATCCAACACAAGCCCGAACCCCATCAGCAACTGCCTCACTGCAAACTACCTACCCTATACCATTCAATATGGCTCGCAAGCCCGTCATTGCTGTAGCTGGTCTCGCTTGCGAGACATCCACCTTTAGCCCATCTCGGACTGCCGCCCCGGCATTCCACCCCCAACGAGGAGATGAAATCGTCCAGCGGTACGCATTTCTCCATGACGACCAGCCCGTCGGCCGCGACGCCGTCTGGAAGGGCGCCCTGATCGGCCACGCGCTCCCCGGCGGCACGGTGACCCGCGAAGCCTACGAGAACCTCTCCCAGGAGATCGTCCAGCGCCTGCAGGCCATCATCGCGGAGCAGCCGATCGACGGCCTCTGGTTCGACATCCACGGCGCCATGTGCGTCGAGGACCTCGATGACGCCGAGGCCGACCTGCTGCGCCGCGTCCGCGCCGTCATCGGCCCGGACGTCCTCGTCTCGGCCTCGATGGACCTGCACGGCAACGTCTCGCGCGAGCTCGCGCACATGTGCGACCTCATCACCTGCTACCGCATGGCCCCGCACGAGGACACCATGGAGACCAAGGAGCGCGCCTGCCGCAACCTCATCGCCGCCCTCCACCCCGCCTCGCCGGGCCGCCGCCCGCTCAAAGCCTGGGTGCCCGTCCCGATCCTGCTCCCCGGCGAGCAGACCTCGACGCGCATGGAGCCCGCCAAGCACATCTACGCGGCCGTGCCCGAGGTCGAGGCGGTGGAGGGCGTGCTCGACGCGGCCATCTGGGTCGGCTACGCGTGGGCCGACGAGCCGCGCAACCGCGCCGTCGTCGTCGTCACCGGCTGGGACGCGGCCGCCGTCTCGCGCGGCGCGGAGAAGCTGGCGAACTTGTTCTGGGACGCGCGCGCCGACTTTGCGTTCGTCGCGCCGACGGGCACCCTGGACGAGTGCCTGGACGCGGCGGTCAAGTCGCCGGCCAAGGACCGCCCGTACTTCATCTCCGACTCGGGGGACAACCCGACGGCGGGGGGCTCGGGCGACGTGACCTGGGGCCTGACGCGGCTGCTGGCCCGGCCCGAGTTCCGCGCGGTGGACTCGGGGTACGCGGTCATCTACGCGAGCGTGCCCGGGCCGGAGGCGGTGGAGACGGCGGTGGCGGCGGGCGTGGGCGCCAAGGTGACGGTGACGGCGGGCGCCAAGGTGGACGACCTGCACGCGCCGCCGGTGACGATGACGGGGAGGGTGCACGCGATAAGGCATGGGGACCGGGATGCGGAGACGGAGGTGGTGATTAGGGTCGGGTGCGTGCACGCGATCCTGACGAGGCTGCGCAAGCCGTATCATAAGGAGCGCGACTTTACGGGGCTGGGGCTGGACCCAAGGTCGGCGGACATTGTCATTGTCAAGATTGGGTACCTGGAGCCGGAGCTGTACGACATGGCGAAGGGCTGGATGCTGGGGCTGACGCCGGGAGGCGTGGACCAGGACCTGGAGAGGCTGGGGCACAAGAGGATACGGAGACCGATGTGGCCGTTTGACAAGGAGTTTGAGCATGTCCCGAACCTGAGTGCGCGATGGATTCCAAAGTCCAATGAGCCGCTCTCAGGTGTAGATGAGTAAGGGTGCAGGGCAGCAGGTTAACCAAGGAAAGTTTGTTAGAACTCGCAAAAAGGGTGTATTGGTATGAGACCAAGAATGAAATTGACTCAACTGAAAATAGATAGTAAAGAGAGCCAGTCAACAATGACCTTGCGCACCTGAGTCCCAACAAACACCTCGATCCTTCCTTGACTACACGGCAGTATCTAGCCAGACGACAAAATATCTAGACCCTTCCCCAACCAAACGGCATGTAGCCAAGCCCCCTCGGGCCATCCGCAAAGTCGGGACCTCCTCCCGCAAACACAAACGCCGGCCGAGGCTGCGCTCCCGCCGTGCTGCTCCCCACCTCCACCGCCGCCGCATCCACGTTGCGCGTCAGCACAAAGTACTCGATCAGAGGGTCCACGGGCGTTCCGCGAATCGGCCGCTCGCCGAGCCTGTGGCCCCGCGCGCCGGTCCCGGCGACCAGGCAGACGCGACAGGTGCGCGCGGGCAGGCGGTCGCGGTGGTAGGCGGACCGCGCGAGGTGGAGCCGGATGCCGCGACAGATGTCGCCCGGGTTGGTGCGGGCGCGCAGGCAAAAGGCGCTGGCGGTCATGAAGAGCTCGACGTTGAGGCAGCGGTCGCAGAGGCCGAGGCTGAGGGTGGCCTCGCACATGATGGGGGGTGGGAGAGTGTGTTCTGTTTGTTGCTGGGGCGTGGTTTGGGGAAAGAGTTTGTAGATGGGGGTGAAAGTAAATGTTGCGTAGAATTAGATGGGCGAGCTGGGTCGTAGACTGGGTGGCCTGCGAATGATCCTTCTTCCGTGTTGAAGGATGGGTCGGATTTTATAATTCGAGTTGGGAACAAGAAGCGACTAAAGTGGCCATGTCATTCTTTGGCCCTTGAGGTCTACAATAGATGGGTTCTTTGGAGTTTAGGACAAGTCGACTCACAGCTATCCTGGACCACACGACTCACAGCTGGCCAGGACAAAGCACTGCCATGGCATCACGTCGACAAAGCACTGCACGTGGATGAAAGAACTCGCGCACACATGGTCTGCAAGATCAAAGAAGCAGTTATAGTGAAAGAGTGGAATTCGAGAAGTAATCATCAACAGTCCTGTGATTCCTTGATTCAGGGCCTTGCTCACCGCCGGCCCAAGGCAATTTCCAATCCCAGCGGCTTCCTCAAGAAGCCCTCCCGCGTCTCCATCGGCCCTTGCCTGACCCTCGCCGAGTAGCGCCGCACCCAGGTGGCCGCGATCAGCTTCATCTCCATCTCGGCCACGTTCCTCCCCACGCACGCGCGGGGCCCGTGGCTGAACGGGATGAACGCCGTCTTCTGCCTGGCAGTGAGGCCGTCCTCCCAGCGCTCCGGCCGAAATTCTTCCGCGTCCGGGCCCCAGATCTCCACGGAGTGGTGCATCGTGTACGTCGGCACGCTGAGCACTGTGCCGGCGGGGAAGAAGCGCCCGAGGATGGTGATGCCGGGCGAGCCGGGCGGGATCTGCCGCGGCAGGCCGATGCCCGAGGTGGAGTGGTGGCGGAGCGTCTCGTTGATGACGTTGTTGAGGTACGGCAGGTCCCGGACCATGTCGTGCGAGGGCACGGCCAGGTCGCCCGGCATGGCCGCGTCCAGCTCCGCCTGGAGCTTGGCAAAGACGCGCGGGTTACGGCAGAGGTAGTTCATCAGGGCGCAGGAAGAGTTGGACGTGGTGTCGCTGCCGGCGATGAGCTGCGTCAGCGCCTCGGCCGTGAGCTCCTCCCGGCCGAGCGGCTCGCCCTTCTCGTCCCTGCCCTCCTGGAGACGGGCGAGGAGATCCTTGCGCTCAATATCCGGCGGGTTGTCCAGGCGGCTCTTGACGCGGGCGATGGCGATGCCGGCCAGGTTCTGCACCGCGGCGAGGCCGTTGCTGAAGAAGGGGTCCGGCAGCCAGCGCGCGTAGGGCTTGAGCTGCGGCAGGCAGCCAAGCGTGGCGCTGACCTCGCCGCGGCGGTTGAGGATCTCGATGGCGGAGGCGTAGATGGGCGGGCTCGCGGGCGACTCACGGACCTCGGTCAGGTCGATACCGGTGGCGAGCATGCCAAAGGGCGCGCCGAAGGCGAGGTCGCCGATGATATCGAAGGCGAGGTAGTTGAACCAGGGCAGGCAGTCGATGTGGGCTTCCGCAGCGCCGTGCTCGTCGCGCTGGTCGCTCTCGGCGATGAGCTTGTCCATCTGCTGGACGAAGAGCTCGAGGCAGGCCTTGATGTACGGCTCGAACTGGCCGACGGACTTGGGAGAGAAGGTATGGGAGACGAGCTTTCTCTTGCGGGTGTGCTCTGCCCTGTCGCGGGTGTTGAAGAGACCGCGGCGGATGGAGACAAAGGCGTCATAGAATTCACTTTAATGGTTAGAGGTACGGTACGGGATCAAGTGTGAGAGGGGGTTTAGCTCACGATTTCAAGAAACCGTTGCCGTGGCCGTAGATGCCGGCAATGGCCGTCTCGTCGGCTATGCTGACGTGGTTGGGCTGGATGCGAACGACCGGTCCCAGTTTGTGATGCATCTCATCCATGACCTTGTATCGATTCCCGCGGCGGCAGACACCGAGAAGCCAGAGATTTGAAAACTGCGCGGGCCACGGTGCGGGAATGCCGCGGAGGTCCTTGTTTGTGACTGCGTAGGCGTAGAGGTAAGAGGCAATCACCACGCCCAAGGCGGCGGGTATGGCCCACCAGGAAAATAGAAGCCCGATCACGACCATTGCTGCTGTATTTCGGCACAAGCAGACAGTCGATAATGAGCAGCAGGGGATTTTCTGGCAAGGAGATGAGAACGATGAGGATTGTGCAAGAGGTAGGTTGCTTTTTTTGGTCGGGTGGATCTGGGTGGCTGCGCTATTGAAGAAACGGCAGCAAACGGGTTTGGTGATGAGACCAAGTCGCAAGCAGCTGACGTTAGGCAGGGATGAGGGGGAGATGGCTATTGAATTTATACAAGTTCGATGCAGGAGCAGCAGTTTCTATATGTATATACAGCCAGCCATTGACAATAACCCGTACCCCGCAAAAGCCATCTCCCGAGCCGTCACCCGTTGTCCGAAAGTGCGGCCGGATCCTGTGTCGGCAAGCAAGAACTGGGGAAGCTCGGAGCTGCGGCTATGCTTGTTTGAGTCTGGGGGATCGAAGCTACGGGCGTCATGGGTCCAATCAAAGCGAGGCCATTATTTAGCAGGTGAGCCTAGTTTAGCGATTCCAAGGGAACGAGGAACCGGCTCCCATTCTATCAAGCGTAGGGTAGGCAGGCCATGGCCAACTTGGGCGCTGTAATTCCTTGGATTTAGTGGCGCCCGGCTACGGAATCGGTAACTGGCGATGCGCCCAGGTTAGTAGGGGCATATATTGCTGGAAATATTCAACGCAGCAAACCATGCATGAGACACGGGACTTCCTCATAGTCGGGTCGCACCAGAACACAGCTCGCGCAAGTTTCGCCCCCCGAATCTCCGACTGATGTTGTACAGCGATAGGTATGCATGATGCTATCTAAGTTTGGACGACAAGAACATGAGGCCCGCTGGCACTATAGCACGCGACGAGTTTATTTCCGCACGAAGGATCAGTAATACCCGAGAAGCCCGCAAACTACTCCCGGGATTCCAATAATATAGCAAGCCTTTTGATAATGACACATGAGCCGATGTAGATGCCGAGTCTTGGCGCGGCCTAAGCCGGGAATAGGGCGACATGTCCCAACAAGCGGAGCGATGTTGCAGCACATTTTAAATTTGCGTATTTAAATTGCGTATTGATCTCCATAATTACCATGCTGGAACTGGGTAGCTGAAGTATCTTGCTGTAGTTTCTGCAAGAGGGAGTAAGCTGTGCAGCATGGACCTTGGCCACCTTGTTGCTGGCTTGCTTCTTGTTAGTGTAATAACCGCGGTGATTCATTCCACGACACAAGTCGCCTAAAGCAATTGAGCTTGATAGACACGCGCGATTCCGTATAGGCCTTTTTATTTTCAGAGGCCGCCTGGTACTTGTTCCTAGATACACTAGCACATATCAAACGGCCGCAACTGCTTCTACCTAAGACCATCGACCAGCAACTTGGACAGCTGCTCGACGCCCTCGCGTGTCGTCGTCTGACTAGCCATGAGGTAGATGACATTCCCCAGGACGCGCGCATGCACGTTCCACGGCCCATTCCTCCCCTCCGTCTCGCCCTCCGCCAACGCCGCGCGCAGCCCGAGCGCCGCATCACTGCTATACCCCGCGCCGCCCTCCTCGTCCCGGAGGTGCACCGCCAGCACGCTCCCCAGCGCCCAGACGCCCTCCACGCGCGCCGTCATGCGCGACAAGTCCTCCACCAAGCCCCGCGGCCAGACCGACCACACCTCTTCGGTCCCCTTCTTCGCCTCCGTCCAGCCTTGGTTCTTGGCCCAGTCCCACGCCCCGCGGCGCTCCATCCGCCGCATCGCTTTGAGGGATTCGATGCCGACCTGGCAGCCGATCGGGTGCGCCGTGTAGCTGTGCCCGTGCAGCAGCGCGTCCACCTTCTCGGGGCTGCGGAAGGTGCGGAAGATGTCCTCCGAGGCCATGGTGGTGCTGAGCGGCACGAGCCCGCCGGTCAGCAGCTTGGCGTTGACGGTGACGTCGGGCTCCACGCCGAGGAACGTGGAGGGCGTGAAGCGTCCGAGGCGGTACAGGCCGGTGAAGACCTCGTCGAAGAGCACGGGGAGGCCGCTCCATTCCTTGCCGGACTCGGGGCGCGGCTGCACGCCCGCCTCGGAGGTGAAGAGGTGCGGCGAGCGGCGGATGACCTTGACGAGAGTCCGTTGGAAGAGGGGGTCACTGTTGGTCTTCATGTTAGAATTGACGCGGGCGAGACGAGGTGCAGGAAGGGGGTTTCGACTTACACAAAGGCCATGCCGCCGGCGCCGAGAACGATGGGCTCCATGATCAGCGCGCCAAACTTGCGTCCCTGCGCCTTCAAAGCCTCGAGTTTCTCAATGATGAACTTTTCGTAAATTTCGTGTTCACCTGCCTCCTCCCGCCCTTCGACGTCAAAGATGTGCCGCAGCGACTCGTACTCCCGCGACCTCCCCAGCTCCGCCTCCAAGCCCTCCGGCGCGCCGACCCGCCACGTTCCCTCCCTGCAGAGGATTGTCGGGTAGTCGAACCAGTAGCCCTTGCCCTCGTACCACTCAATGTTCTCGTTGTAGACGCACGGCTCCGCGCAGTCCATCGCGCCGATGGTGTCGCCGTGGTAGCCGCCGCGGAGCCCGAGCACGCCGAGCTTCTCGTCGGCGCCCCAGCCGTAGCGGACGCGCGCGGCGCGCAGCCCCATCTTGACGGCGACTTCGGTTCCGGTGCTGCCGTTGTCCGAGTAGAAGACGCGCGTGAGGCGCGAGTTGTTGGTGCCGCGCAGGAGGTCCTCGGCGAGGGTCAGGGCCGGCTCGTGGATGGCGCCGGCGAACATGACGTGGCCGTAGCGGCCGGCGGCGTAGGCGGCGGCCATGGTGAGCTCCGAGTTGGCGTGGCCGAGACCCTGAGTCCACCACGAGGCGGAGCCGTCGAAGGAGGCTTGAAGAGCGCCTTGGTCTTGGGTCTTGCCGCTGTTGTATGTTTGGAAGTAATCGCCATGCGCCGAATCAATCGTCATGATATCCTTGGCGGGGAGCAGACCATGCTGGGTAAACGGATACCAGATGGTCTCATGGGCTTTGGTGGCCATGCTTTCTAGCCTGGCGAGTCTCTTGGTGTGGTTCGAATCGAGATGCTGGAGTACAGTTCCGACGACGTTCTCTTCGGTCCGTTGCTCGTAATATTCCTTCATAGCTTCGACATCACGAGCCTCATTCTCGAGGCGCGCTGGAGGCTCCTGCAAGCTCATGACCGGGATGTTGTACTTTTGCGAGAAATAGTCGGCTAGGTAGAGATAGTTTTGGTACTTTTTATCCTGGAACAGCATGATCGATTGCACGTCGTATCCGCGGATGCGCAGGGCTTCAAACGATGCGATGGTCTGGGAGATGCCGCCGAGCTTTGCGTCGCCGACGAGGACGACGGGCGCTCGCAGCGGCGTGTACAGGTCGGCCTGGGTGGTGCCGGAAGGGCCGGGTGAGTGCACGCCGCCGGCCGTCTCCATGAAGAGCCAGCCCTTGCCGGCCTTGGCGCGCTCCGAAGCATGCTCGCGACACCGAGCTAGAACGGAGTGATCAGAGGGAATTGGCTGGTTGGATAATGGAGATGATTAGTGTCGGCGCGGGCTATGAGAGACGGGGGCATAATACCTCGCCAGAGGCCAGAGCCGCAGTGTGGGGGCTCACGGGGATTCCGTATTGGATTAATGTGTGATGGTTGATGCCAGTGGTAAATGTTTTGATATGGCTGTGCAGGTTGTTCGTATCAATTGATTAGGAAAGTGAGACGGGCATGCATTGCTTCTACAGCACGCATTAGTGGCGTCGTCAGAGGGAACGAGTTCAATCAAGGCAAGACTAACACTGATCATCTGCCTCGTTCAGTGGCCCCGTCGAAACTGGCTTCAGAAAAGAGACATTTTCGTCTTTCCAATTGTGTTTTGCGCTCTTGCAGAGCAGCGTGGTGAAGACAGTCTTGCCGACCTCGGTGTTCGCGCCGAAGACCTGGTAGACGCGTAGCGACCGCCACAGCAGGGCGGCCAGAGGCGACTCCATTGTGTCGCGTGTCTTTGACCAAGCAAGCCCTGGCTGGAACCGAGGGGGAGGAAACACTTGGCCTTGACACTGCTTGTTGAGTTGCTGTTGTGGTGGTGGTGGTGTTGTCGTTGGAAGCTCAAGTCTTCAGTCGTGACACAACCGGGGTTGGGTCTCGGCTCAAGCCCTGGCCTGGGTTTACTGGGTTCAAAGTATGACAGACAACCAAATCGAGCTACTAAATTATTAGAGGCTTCTTCAAGTCTGGTCAAGCCAATGTTTCCCCATTTGTTGGGCGGGTCAGCGACAAGCCCCAGCGGAACCACAGGCCAACTCATGACTACCAGAAACTCCCTCACCCAAGGCCACAAGTGCCGATCCTTATCGTGTTAAGCCGAGATGCCATCTGGTATACCTCTACCGAGTACCTCTGAGTGACTTTCGGGCTCCCAGAGCCGGTACACCCCTGGATCTCTAGCTAACTGTAGCTCGCCCTGCCCCATAACGCTGTGACAATACCGCGCGGTGCTTTGAAGCATGTGGTTGAAGACCAGGAGGCGCCACAGAAGGCCCCTACAAAGTGTATCTGGGCCCCCCGAAAACGGGGACTCTGGGCTAGGTAAACCCCGTAGCAAAATGTCAATTGACTCCAGAAAGTCCATATTGATGTAATAGACCTTCTTTTCCCCTTCCCCCGTAGCTCTCTTGTCCCAATTCGCTGCCATGACGCCCGGCAGCCACCGCATGGACGGTACCTTTGCCCGGCTGCTCGACCGGCGCGAGACCCAGGGCCGTCGGCGGCGCCTGACCCTCCCCCCTCCCGGCGCCGTCGACTTTTCCTCCAACTCGTACCTATCCCTCTCCGAGAGCCCCGAGCTGCGGACGCGCTACCTCGCGCTCCTCCAGCACGACGGCGGCGACCACCGGTTCTCGCTTGGCTCCGGGGGCTCCCGGCTGCTCGACGGCAACACGGCGCTGGCCGAGGCGCTCGAGGAGCGGGTGGCCGCGTTCCACGGCGCGCCCGCGGGCCTGCTCTTCAACTCGGGCTTCGACGCCAACGCGGGCCTGCTGGGCTGCGCGCCGCAGCCGGGCGACGTGGTCGTCTACGACGAGCTGGTCCACGCGAGCGTCCACGACGGCATGCGGCTCGGGCGCGCGGCGCACCGGGCGCTGCCGTTCACGCACAACACGGTTGCCGGCTCGGGTGGCAATAGCTTGAGCGCCGTGCTGGAGCGCCTGTGCAGCGGCCCGGACGGCGACGACTTTCGCAGAGGGCGCAGGAACGTGTTCGTCGCCGTGGAGGGCGTGTACAGCATGGATGGTGACGTCGCGCCGCTGCGGGAGATTGTTGCGTGCGTGGGCGAGAAGCTGCCGCAAGGCAACGGCCACGTCATCGTCGACGAGGCGCACTCGACGGGCATCATCGGGCAGCGCGGCCGCGGGCTCGTCTGCCATCTCGGCCTCCAAGACCAGGTCTGGGCCCGAGTCCACACCTTTGGCAAGGCCATGGGCTGCGCGGGTGGTGAGTTTTTGTCCCATCAACAAGCCAACTACACATCACTAACGACCAACTACCTTGCTTTTGACAGCCATTGTCCTGTGTTCGCCGACGACCCGGTCCTACCTCATCAACTACGCCCGAAGCTTCATCTACACCACGGCGCTCGGCTACCCCTCGCTGGCCGCCATCCAGACGACCTACGAACACCTCGCGGGCGGCTTCGCCGACGGCCGCCTTGGGAGCCTGCGGGCGCTCATCCGCCGCGCGCACGGCAACCTCGCCGGCCTGTGTCGGCGGCACGCGGTGCCGTCACACATCTTGCGGATCAACGCGGCGGTGCCGGAGTCACCAATCTTCCCGCTGTTCACCGCGTCCGCCCGCGAGCTGGCGGCGCACTGCCAGCGGCACGGCTTCCTGCTGCGGGCGATCGTGGCGCCGACGGTGCCGAGGGGGACAGATCGTGTGCGGCTGTGCCTGCACGCGGGCAACACGGCAGACGAGGTCGACGGGCTGTGCAGAGTCATTGAGAAATGGGCATGCGATAAAATGGGCATGGAATCTCCCGTCGTCCAGGAGGTAGAAGAAGCTAGCATAGTCAAAAGTGAAATTAGTCGTCTTTGACGAGAAGAACCATGATGAGCACAAAAAACAGTCTCCTTGTATTGAAATTTCTTTCCTTTTTTATCCCTCAAAAGCTACCCAGTTGCTTGGCCACGTCGGCCTTGACGCCCTCCTCCGGGGGAGACTTGTCGAAGCTCTTCATCGGCTCCAGCCCCCAGCGGCCGAACATGGCGCTGTCCTCGTCCCAGCCGTTGCACTCCGTCGTCAGCATCTTCTCGCCCGTGAAGATGGCGTTCGCGCCCGCCATGAAGCACAGCGCCTGCTTCTCCTCCGCCATCGTCTTGCGCCCCGCCGCGATGCGGATGATGGTCGCCGGCATCACGATCCTCGCCGTCGCCACCGTCCGCAACACGCTCGTAAACGCCACCGGCTCGCGGTCCCCCAGCGGCGTGCCCTTGATCGGCACCAGCGCGTTCACGGGAAAGCTCTCCGGGTGGCTCGGCAGCGTCGCCACCGTCTCCAGCAGGCCCACGCGGTCCTCGGAGCTCTCCCCCAGGCCGAGGATGCCGCCGGAGCACACGTTGACGCCCGCGTCGCGGACGTGCGCGAGCGTCTGCAGCCGCTCGTCGTAGGAGCGCGTGGAGATGACGCTCGGGTAGAACTCGCGGCTGGTGTCGACGTTGTGGTTGTAGGCGGTGAGGCCCGCGTCGGCGAGCTGCCGCGCCTGCGCGCCGTCGATCATGCCGAGGGTCACGCAGGCTTCCATGCCGAGGGCGCGCACGCCGCGGACCATGGCGGCGATGTTCTTGAGGCTGTTCTTGCGCCCGCGCATGTCCCGCCAGGCGGCGCCCATGCAGAACCGCGTGCTGCCGTTGTCGCGGGCGGTGCGCGCGGCGGCCAGCACCGACTCGACGGTCTCGACCTTTTTGGCCTCGAGGCCGGTGCCCTTTTGGTAGCGCGTCGACTGCGCGCAGTACGAGCAGTCCTCGGTGCACCCGCCCGTCTTGATGTTCATGAGCGTGCACAGCTGCACCTCGCCGGGCTTGTGAAATTTGCGGTGGACGACGCTCTGAAGGGGGTGTGAGAAGGTGAAAAGGGAAAGCCAGATATGGTTTCAGAGCGGCATCAAACGCCCCGGTTCCTCAGCAATTGTCAACTTACAGCTTGGTGCGCCAGCTCCAGCAGCGGCTGGTAGTAGATGGCGGCGATTTCCTGCCTCGTCCAGTTGTTTCGCACGTGGTCCGCCGCGACCGCGTCTCGGAAAATCTTCTTCTTGGCCTCTTCCAGGAGCTTGTCGCGCTGCTCCGTCACCGGCGGCGGCGGTGCTGGCGGCTCAAACTTGAGCGGCGAGGCGTCCACGACGGAGCTGTTCCAGCGTAAAAGTGCCGCACCGCCGCCGTGTCGGAAGCCGGCCGCCCGGACGGCTGTGCGGTATGCCATGACGGGAGTGGTCATTGTGCTAATAAGCTGCCTTCTCTCTCTCTCTGAAAAGGAAAAACAGGCAGAGAGAAAGGGACGGACGGTTCAATGCTTTGTTGGGGAGGAGGGTCGGTCGTTGCAGTCAGTGTAAGAAGCGGATTCGGTACTAGACGCTTGGCTTACATTTACCAGGCCGCGAGTTGGTCCGGCAATACCCATCCAGCTGGGACACAGATAGTTATGGAGGACCTCCTCCTCCCGTTCCTGCTTCCCAACTAACCCCTCATCTAGATTTGGCGTGGGCGGGACCCCCTCGTTGTCAACATGTCCGCTCTCGCTGGTTGCGTGCAGAACGCGTCCCATATTATTATCCTCGGGCCCCCATGTTGAGTTAATGGCGCACCGCCTATCCATACGAGCTACAGGCACCATCTGGCCCATTGTCAGCTGCTTGGCCTCGATCTTGCAGGGGACAACGGTTGGGCGGAAAATGGGGGGTTGAGATTTGGGGGGGGGGGGCCTTGAAAGGTACTTGAGAGGTACATCAGCCAGAGCCGAGCGGGTTTCCTCTTGTTGAGCTGCCTGTGACTCTGGCTTGGCCTTCCTGGGCAAGTTTCAATTCTCGTTACCAATCTCGTGCCAGTCACAAGTCTTCTTGGCTGATAAGAGGCCCACTGCTCATCTTGGACTATTTCGTTGGCGCCCACATCCACATTGGTTTCTACCAGTCACAGCACAGGGCTGTCTCTGTCTTGCCGCCGAAGTCGTTGGTCTGACTGGGACGTGGTAAGAGGTTGTCATTCTTGATGGGTAATACCGCCACGGAGTTGTCTTTCTGACTGTAGAGGGACTGGGAGGATTGATTACCGCATGGTTAGACTGTTACTGATAGACTGGAGGGAGACTCTGGGCCTGAAACAGATGCTAACCGGATGGCACGTTGAGATCCGGCTAGCTTGCATCTGATTAGATGTTAGGACTGACCCCAACGGTCTGTGCTGAAACTAACATCTGTCAAGGCACATTGTGCTAATCAGTGTCATAGCCGTGTTGTTATGGTTCGCATCGGGTTGTTGCTATTACCCAAGCTTACTCTGCCAAGTTTTATTTTTATTTTTATTTTTTTTATTTTTATTTTTTTTTTCAAATCTTTTTAGTTTTATCCTTTTTGGTAACATCGAGTCCTATTTAGATAAAGTACCTCCTTGAACAGGCTGGCCGTGAAACGGCGTATGTGAGGCAAATAAAATAGTGAAGCGTCGAGATGTATAATTAGCAGCCGCGGGCTGTTGGCCATAATGAGACTGAAGTAAATCAAATCAATCATACAGAATCAACCAATGCAAAAGCCTCCCGTTATTATCGCACCAGAAACCAGCTTCAACTACAGATTATTTGTCTTGTATTGACAAACCTTGTTTCAAACTCTCCATCACTCAGCTACCCCAGACCTGCCACTTCCAACCCACCAATAATAATGCGGCCGCTACAATAGAACGCCAGCCACCGTAGAAGAGCCGTTGACGACTTCATTGAGTCTCATCTATAAATACATTCCTGCTTGGACTCCATTGCTTTGGCGGAAATTCATCCCCTGAACTTGGCACGTGCTCTTTCTCGCCTCCCGCTGTATTGACCGCCATGTACGTCATGTTTGACCGCTAGTTGGGCAGGATAGCCCGTTGACAGGGACGGACCGCTCATTGTTCGATTCAATCTATTCCTGCGCGACGCAAAGACAGAGCAGGCCACATTTCGGCCTGATGGCGCAACAAGGGAAATTGGCCGTGATGTAATAAGGACAAAGCGCTAAGGCGCAGTTGCGTCACTGGGCACAGCAGCTGCACAGCACAGAAGCAGCTGGCCTGCCTGGATGCATTGATTGCGATGCGGGGTTGCAGATCCCGCGCCTGGGACAGCCTCAATGCCCTTGTCTTGCCTCTTTTATATTTTTTATGCAGTCTTTTTTTCGTATTTACTCGTGCATTGCAACATCGGATTTTGTTTCTCCATCCTTGAAATTCTAATCCTCACCTTCTACCAGGATTCGCGACGCACGCTTACACCAGAAGAACCATCCAAATCCCCAACAACGCTGTGACTCTGGGATTCCCCCTCCCCCCCTTCCCCCCGCCAAAAACCATGTCTCAGTCTACAGAGTAAATAGCCTACAATCCCTACATACGTCATAAATCGCGGCCCAACCTAGGCCTAGGCGCATGGGCGACGAGATGAGATGAAGATGCAAAAGGGAAAAAAGAGTTCAAGATGAAGCTAATAATGTCTCCGCGACTTCGATAGCTTGGCTGAGCTCGCCGGCCATCTGCTGAAGAACGGTCCTCGCAAGGTCGTCCCCGCGCTCCGGCGCATCCGCGTCGTCTACAACCGCACCGTCATCGTCGACTCGACCAAGGGCTCCCTGGTCTGGGAGCACGACTACTACCCGCAACTGTACTTCCCCGCGACCGAGGTCCAAAACTGCACCTTGAGGAACAAGCAGTCCGTCAAGGGCGACGGCATCAACCGCGCCAGCGTCACCGAGCTACACGTCGCGGCCGACAAGGCCCGGCGCAGACCGGCAGCCGTCACGGACCGCGTGGTGCGCTTCGCAGACGATCGCAGCCTCGGCGCACTGACGGGCCTAGTGCGACTCGAGTTCAAGGCCATGGGTGCGTATCAAGACTTGGTATAGCAATGCCCCTCCAGCTGCCTGCTCTTGCTGACCTTCCCGGGGCTCGTAGACCAGTGGCTGGAGGAGGACGTTCCCATCTACGTCCACCCCAAGGACCCCTCGAAGCGCATAGAAGCGCTGCCTTCTAGCCGCACCATCGAAGTGCGTGTCGACGGCCACACGGTGGCCCGATCTGGCTTCGCCGTGCACCTCCACGAGCCGCGCCTGCCGACGCGCTATTACCTGCCCATCGGCTGCATCGACCAGACGGTGCTGCGCCGCAGCACCCTCGTCACCAAGTGTCCGTATAAGGGCGACGCCGACTACTACGACGTCGTGATTGACGGCGTCGAGTACCCCAACCTCGTCTGGTATTACCGCTACCCGGCCGTCGAGTGCGCTTCGCTCGCCGGTATGGCGTGCTTCTACAACGAAAACGTCGACGTTCTGCTCGACGGCGAGCTGTTGGAGCGTCCGACTCGATAGACACGGGCGTTCGTCCTATGTTGGAAGAGATCGCGCGTTTTCGAACAGCCAATTGCTGATGATGGTGGATGAGAGAAGGCAATCAAGCAAAAAGTTTGCATTTGAAACCCGCTTGCAGTTTGCGAGCAAGAATGTAACTCCATATCTAGGATGCAACGTTAAACGGCCTTTTTGTTTCGCAGTGTCGAGTCTGGTATTGACAGTGGTACGAATAGATACAACCCATCCTGATGGGTCGTGACCTTCATGATATCAGGCAGGCAAGAAAAAACGATATCACAGAGCCTTTATCTGGGCTGCGATGGGTATTGAAGTAGCACAACCCGCATTATATATGTGAGGCTGATGTGGCGTAGAGGGTACCAATGACCACCGGAATGTTCTTGCAGGAAGTACCGCATATAATTGCCAGAAGATTTATCTCGTTCAAGGGGCTTCCAAGGTCGACTTGACCATAGCACGTGTTGTATCCAAAGTCTCAGCCCTGACGCTAGAGAATGCAAATGCACCAGTTTATATGTATCCTGGTTGACTTTTCTTCTTTTTTTTGCCAGTATTCAGGGCTGCGAGAAAAGCAAAGGGTACATGGGCAGATGCAACACAGTTTCAGGTTCCAGCGTCGGGATGGTATTGCGAGATAAAGAGATACAGCGTCAACACTGGCATGTAAGTCCTACGCAGCAACGAGAGAAATTGCAGTTGCACGCGAGGGGCCGTGTGGACACTGTACGAATAGGCACGGCAGATGTCGTGCGGCGTAGCACCTGCAGCCGCATGGACAACAAGGAGGAGCTGCGCGCACGGGACTGGGGCGAAGGAATTGACGTAGCCTGACGCGAGCGGCATGTTAATTCCCATGCGGCTGCGATGGGGCTTGCATTTCAGCCCTTCAGCAGCAGAGAACTATTCGGCCGCCACAGACAGCGGTCAGGGAAGAGGTGCGTGGTTTGGGTTTGAGGGCGGAATGAATATATAGTATTGAGGAGCCCAGGTCCCAGGATCACGGCAGTGCCGCGCCGTGGCGTTGCAGGCGTGGCAGGGCTGTGGAAAGTTGTTGCTAGCTGCATGCAAGCAGCTTGGTTGTAGCTCGCAAGATGAAATTCATGGTGTCTTAATAGCGCTGAGGTGGCAGTTTGCGAGACAGTTGGCTGGGCCTGTGGCGGATACAATAGGCCATGAGCTGAGGCGGCTGAGGCTGAGGCTTATTGGACTCAATCAGAATCGTTATCTTCCTTCTGGCCAGTCATTGATTATTGCGGAAGGAAAGAAAATGGTGTCGGCGATGGCGTGAGCGGGCTCGGATGCGTAGTACTGGCAGTGGTGTGGTTGTGGCTCTTGTCAGTACGCTCCATACGGTGATGATATTTACGCATGTGGGATGACAATGGTGATGCTTCATCTCATGCCAGTGTTGACCAATATTTCATGTTCTTTCTTTGATGGCGGTGATGAGGACGATAAATGTCTTAGATATTAGTTAGGACTTTCGCCAGCCATGACATGTCTCGGTCTCGAGGAGACAAGGCAAGCGCCAATCACTGCATATCGGAGCGGCATCATGTACCGGAGGATGCGCAGTTTTGGATGGTATTCATGTCATCTTTTCTCGTATCACTGCAGCAGCGTCTTGGCGAGCTGTCCAGATTCGTTTGTTCGAGGCTGTGAGGGTGCATGAGACTAGCGCAACGCGGTGGAACGAGACTGCCGTCTGGGCCGGGTTGCTTTTTTTGAACATCTCTGTTCAGCATCGCATTTTCCCTTGCTTATGTCCGCTTGCTTTTTTGCATCTGGCAGCTATTCGCGGGCCGCTGCAGAGCTGCAGAGGAGTACGTACGAGGGAATCTGCATGGAGGACGACGGCCAGGGGTCGGACGAGGAAATATGGACAGTTGGCCCTGCAGGCTGCCGATGCTGTTGTGTTATTGTCGGTGTCACAAACGACGGACGGTCCGGGGTGTGCTTGGGCGATGCCGCTCGACTAGTGATTTGGGCTGATGTCTGCGCAAGAAGCGGACGGAAAGAGGCCGATGGTGATGATTCGAGAGTTGAAAACACGAGGCGTCGAGCTGAGAGCAGAGCAAAGACAAATGTGCCTGCCTTGGGAGGCCTGGAGCTTGCCTGGATGGAGACAATGGGCGCCAAACAATGGCAGACAGGGCCAAACAGGGCGAATAGAGGGTCACTGGGCCCCCAATGGCTGCGCCACTAGCGCTGAAGAGCCACTAAATACCGAGACAATGTCCACCAACTCACTGTGGCTACAGCGCCAACCTGCCTAACTGGTTGGAAGGCTGCCCTGAGGCGGCGCCTATGCCAAGGGCCCGAGCAATAGTGCCTTTTCATTGTGGTAATGAAAATTCATGCCAGAGAGCCCAAAGTTATCTATTATTAACGTTGTGATTCTGGACCTGTAACTATACACACGTATGCTCAGCTGAAAACATGTATTGGTCTGGCAACAAGCCATCAGCCGCCACCGCAACTTCATCCACCCCCGAGAATCATCGCTGACTTTAGTACTCACCTGCCATCCGAGCCTCGCCAGGAACAGGAAAGCAGGAGAAAATTAACCCTACAAAACAATAGAACAATCCCCGACAGATAACATATTAGCGTTGCAACTAGCAGTCTTGGGAGCCCACTGCTTCCATTGGCGAGCTTATTATTAGACCGCCGCTATAACCAGGAGTTGGAGGGCACATGCGGTGTTCCAGCGTTAGTACTGTTCGGGCGGGTGGTTCGTGGAATAATAATCGGGCGCTAAAACTGCCTCCTGGGCAATCAGGCACAGGCTTGCTGGGCTGTGAACATTCAACCGTAACGCTGGTAATTGAATATCAAGTGGGTTGATATTCTAGTCAGATTCACGACTTCCGCGAATAAACAAATAGATAAATACAACATGTAGTATCAGGTAGCATCTATAAAACTCCTGTCATCTCCTCTCAGCTGCCCCTGATGCGCTAAGTTGATTCGTCGTCCATGCGCCGCGGCGGGGACTTCGCGACTCGCCCTCGTAAAATCCATGGCAGCTGCAACGGCCCGCTGCACTGCACTGACTTGACTGACTGCACTGTCCATCAGTGGCTCTGCTGAGGAGCCCTATCCTGTTAATTTTTCTAGTTAATTTCTATTTTTCCTTTTTTTTTTTTTCCCATTCTTTTCTCATTCTTTTCTTGACTGGGCCCACAATCTACCTCAATCATCATCCACCACCATCACAACCATCACCAACAATCACAATCCCCCCCCGCCATGTACCCAATTTCCCGACGAAGTCTTCGTCGCCAGCCCAATGCTACCCACCATCATCGGCCGCCCGGCATGCCCGCCGAGAGACAACGCACCGCCCCGCTGGGTGCCCTGGTACGTACCTGTCTAGCTGGCTGGGCCCTCTGTTTGACGCCTCGAGCAGCACAGACAGGCTGGCTGCCAGCCCCGTCCAGCAAGACATGGGATACATGGGATTACCCTGTCACCACCATTGAAGCCGCTGTCTGCTTGGACCAGCTATTGCTGGTACGAGGCCCCCACCACCCTTCCCACGTTTTCTTGGCTCACTCTGCTAACTTTGCGGTTCTGAAGTCTCCTCGATGGGGCCGCCCATCAACCACGGACCATGGTCTCTGGCCTACCCACCGCCGAGCGCTCGACCGGCCGGATCGCATATTAGTATGCTCTCCCCTGTGCCGCAATCCCGGGCCCTGCCTCACTCGGTTCCCAATTGATACTCTCGTTTGTCTTCGTTTTCGTCGTGGTCAATTGACCTTCGCTGCTTGCCATTGACTGCACCGCCGTGTCTTGTCCTTCGACATAGGCGCGTCCCTTAGACTGCAGCATCGTCACCATGAGATCCCTCGGCGCATGGCTTCTTGCTGGAGCCGCTGGCCTCGCCGGCCTTGCCAACGGCCTGGCTAGCACTGATACCATTACCTGGGGTGGTGATAACTCCAGAGCTGGTTACCAGACGTAAGTTCAATGCGACGGCGTATTATTTCCACTCTCGTTTGCGCCGCAACGCACAATGGCGCATTGCTCTAATCGCAAATCTCTAGCAACCACAACATGGATCCGTCCGTCGTCGGCAGCAATCAGTTCGGCCAAGTCTTCAAAGTTCTTTTACCCGGCAACTATGGCGGTGCCGCCGAACAAATCTTTTCTCAGCCTCTCGTTTACACTCCCAAGAATGGCACCACTCAATACGTTTACTGGGCCACCACCCAAAACAATCTATACAAGATGAACGCCAAAACTGGTGAAATCGTCGCCCAGCGCAATCTTCACATTCCCTTTCTCACCGCCGACCTCGATGGATGCGTCGACATCAACCCCAACATTGGCATCACCGCCACCGGCGTCATCGACCCCGATACTGAGACCCTTTACCTCACAGCCAAGACTTATCTCGACCAAACAGTCCTCAACACGGCCCAGGGCCGTCCGGCCGGCCGTTACTACGTCCACGCCATTGATGTCAACGACCTGACCGAGCGCCCTAACTTCCCCCTCAACTTGGAAAATATCAAGGCCACCAACAACCCGGACCGTATCTTTACCGGCGGAATCCACCATCAGCGCCCTGGCCTGCTTCACGTTGGCGACTACATATATGCTGGTTTCGCATCCCACTGCGTCCAGTACAACTTCAGCGGTTGGATCATTGGCTGGCACAAGACCACCGGCAAAATTGTCGAGAGCTGGGCTACCGAAGGCGCGAATGTCCCCATCACAACCAAGGGTGGTGGTGTTTGGATGTCCGGTGGTGGTCTTGCCTCTGACAATGCTGGCTCCATCTTCTTCGCGACCGGTAACGGATACGCTTCGCAGCTCTCCACCATCCCCGTCAAGGGCTTCGAGCCCCCTACCTCCCAGGAAGAGTCTGCTGTTCACATGACCCTTCAGGCCGATGGTAGCCTCAAGATTGTCGACTTCTTCATGCCCTGGGAGAAGCAGGCCCTCGACGGTGCCGACAAGGATCTTGGCTGCTCTCCGCTCGAGCTTCTGCCTCCAGAGTTTGGCTGCGGCGACATCAAGCGCGTTGGCGTTATTACCGGCAAGAGTGGCAAGACATACTGGCTGAACATGGACAACCTCGGTGGTTATCGCAACGGTCCTGACAATCGCGATGCTGTCATCCAGGTCTACCAAAACGACAACTCGGTTTACGCTGGTGCCGGCGTCTACCCTCTGGAGGGAGGCTACGTTTACATCAACGTTATTCAGCATCCCTCCAACATCTTCAAGTACTCATGCGTCAATGGCGTTCTGACCTTTCCCAAGGTAGCTACCACGGCCGAAACCAACGCTTATATTCTCGGTGTTAGCCATGGTACCACGACCTCGCTCAATGGTCAACCTGGTACCGGTCTTTTCTGGGTTACTGACGTCCAGGGTCTCGGCCTTCGGATTTACAATGCTGTTCCTTCAGGTGGCACGATGACCATGATCAACTCGTTCAGCATTCCTGGTGTCAACAAGTTTACCCGCCCAGTTTTCGGAGATGGGCTTGTCTACATCGGAACCAACCAGGGCTACGTTTACGCATATGGTTCGCCTGTTAACGCGCCTCTCAACTGTACCTCGCCTACCGACTTCGGTAAAGCCGACATCAAGTCCAACAGCACCAGCAAGCAAGTGACTTGCACTGCCAACATCGATGTTTCCGTTACTGGTATCGACCTCAGCGACACTAGGGACTTTGCTCTCGTTACTCCTCCTGCTGTACCATTCAACGTTGCCAAGGGCAGCTCTTTCAAGGTCTCTGCTACCTTCTCGCCCAGCAAAGTTGGCCTCTTGTCCGCCGATATTGTTGTCAACACCACCAACTCAGTCACCGGATACAGTCTCAATAGCCATGCCCGCCTGACCGGCACTGGCGAGAGTACCTCTCCCCTTCTCGACGTCTCCCCCAACACCGTCACGTTTGATGCTGTCGTCGTTGGTGAAGATCCCAATGGTGTCCAGCAGCAGTTCCTCATCAACAATCTGGGTAACTCCAAGCTCACCATCCAGCAGGTTCAGTACTCTGCCAACAACGCTAGTGGACCCTCATCGACTTGGGATGGCAACGGCGATCTGGTTGTTGGACAGTTCACTGTCAAGAACATTCCTACCACTCTCGACGGTCACAATACCTCCTCTGTCACCGTCATCTTTGACTCGTCTAAGAGCGGCACCTACTCTGGCTTCCTCAAGTTTATCTCAGATGGCGGTACCAAGTCCGTTTCTCTGGCTGCTTCCGCCGGCCCTGCCGCCAAAGCGGTGCTTGAGTTCCAGACTGTTGATGGGCAAGGTTGGGTGCAATACGTCAAGGACAAGCCGTTCGACTTTGGCAACGTTACCGAGAACCGATCTCGCCCTCTCAAGTTCCGTATTACCAACGGAGCGCCCTCTGGTGGTGTCAAACTCTCGCTCACCGTCTCCAAGCCTCCCTTCGGAGTTGACGGTCTCATCAAGGCTGCCAACCAAGTAGACCTCGCCGAGGGAACCTCCCTGGCTCCGGGAGAGAGCGGTACCGCTGTCCTTACTTGTGCCGCCCCCAAGACCCAGTGGAACGTCGACCCTACGAACGGGACTGCCACCTGGACCCTCAACACGAATGACCCGGACCTGGGTAAGCAGTTTATTCAGTTCTACTGTACTGCGGTTTCTGAGCAGGCACCTCCTTTGCTTGGTAATGGCCTGGGCCAGTACCGTTATAAGGGATGTTTCCTCGAGAACAACCCTGGCCGCCAGCTTCAGACCCAGCTCTACGGTAATGACAACAACACCAACGCCATGTGTATTGCTGCCTGTGCCGCCGGCAAATACCTCTACTGTGGTACCCAATATCACCGTGAATGCTGGGCTGGCAACTATATTCCTGTTAAACAGGTAGATGAGCGCAACTGCAACTTTGACTGCTCCGGTGACTTGAACCAGATTTGCGGCGGCAATGGTGACGGTACTGCTTCCTACATTTCGCTCTTCGTTGACTCTACTGGCAAGGAGACTGGACCCCCTACCGCTCCTAGCGTGAATCCCGGTGTGAGCGGCTACACCAGCATTGGATGCTACACGGAGGCTACCAACGGTCGTGCGCTCCCCAACGGGGTTGGCATTGCCACAAAGACGGTGAAGAGCTGCGTGGATGCTTGCAAGGTTAGCAAGTACACCTACGCCGGTCTCGAATATGGAGGTGAATGTTGGTGTGGTAACGCTTTCTCTGCCGGTTCTGTTCCTGCGCCCATTTCTGATTGCAACATGGTGTGCAACGACAATGGCACCGAATTCTGTGGTGCCGGCTCCCGCTTGAATGTGTATCAGCTTGGCAGCGGTAGCACCTCATCTACTTCCTCTATTGTTTCGACAGCTGGAACATCCGCCACTGCGTCCAACGGCAATGTCACTGTTGCCTCGAGCACGACGACCACGACCACGACAACGACGACCTCGAGCAGCAGCCCTACGCCCACTGGTCCCGCCAGAAAGTCCGTTGTTAGCCAGAACTGGGCGCTTCAGGGCTGCTGGACCGAGGCCACCAACAAGCGGGCCCTGTCCGACAAAACATACGCTGATGATACGATGACCCTTGAGTCTTGTGCCGCGTTCTGCAAGGGCTACACTTACTTTGGTGTAGAGTATGGACGGGAATGCTACTGCGGTAACCAGATCAACGATGGTTCCGTTCAGGCCAAGCAGGCAGATTGCTCCTTTACCTGCCCAGGTGACGGCTCGGAGTACTGTGGCGCTGGAAACCGTCTTGAATTTTACAAGTACTCCCCGCCCAATGTGACTGACTACAATTTCCCGCCGGACAGCTCGTCGAGCACATCAAGCACCACGCCTACGACAACGTCCACCTCTAGCAGCACAACCACTGCTATCACCACAAGCACCACCAGCACCACCAGCACCACCACCAGCCCCTCGAGCACCTCCAGCCCCTCGAGCACCTCCAGCCCCTCGAGCACCTCCAGCACCTCCAGCACCTCCAGCACCACCAGCACTTCCAGCACCACCGGCCCCTCCAGCACTTTATCTAGCAGTGGCAGCTCTAGCAGTGTCACGTCTAGCAGCTCTACGTCAAGCTCGACTACTCCCAGCTCAACGACTTCTACTTCAAGTGTGACCACGTCTTCTACGTCCACGACGACTGCGAAGCCATCCACAACAACCACCACCACCACTACCAGCTCCTCGACCAGCTCCAGCACTACGACCTCCGCAAAGCCCACATCAACTACGCCTGTCATTAGCCAAGGCAACGCCAACTACACCTACTACGGCTGCTTCTCCGAGCCTAACAAGGGTCGCCTCCTTTCTAACCAGGTCTACAACAATGCGACCGACATGACGATTGAGAAGTGCTTACAAAAGTGCGACGCGGCTCAGGCCGGCTACAACTTTGCTGGTGTTGAGTATGGACAAGAGTGTTGGTGCGGCACATCGCTGCGATTGGACGGAGGCCAGTCTGCCAGTCAGCCGGGCATGAATGTCACGGGCTCTGACTGCAAATTCCTGTGCCCTGGCAACAAGACTGAATACTGTGGTGCCGGAGTCCGACTGAGTACATACGTGCTTAAGTCATGGCTCCAAAAGCAGAGCCAGCCAGTCAAGCTCAAATATTAAGAGCTAGCTCCGGCGGTGGTTGGCCAGTCTTTCGAATCTAGCCTTCATTTACACACGGCTGCCAGTCTTTGCTGAATCAGCCCCAGACCATTTTTTACTGAACGATCCATCCTCGACATTAGAGGTCCGCGATATCTTATTTAATATAGAAACGGCATTTGTGCATGGGGGAATAAACAGATAAAATATCCTGGAAGCGCGTCACGGTGGGGTATGCCTTGACTTGTACAAAAGAAATAAATATTTGCTCCCGTCGAGAAACGGGTGAAATTAATAGAGTTACATGTTATATATTATCGTCAAGTTGTTCATACATACTATCGCTAAATAGATCCCCGACAACGCTAGCCAAACCAGCGCCAAATGTCAAAATGTATCATTTCTTGTAGAGGACTAGGCCGCTAACGAAGACTCCTCCACATGAGTAGACACTTGAGATTCACTGAATAAATACGGCTGTGGTTGCTCTCGTGTCCGCGCGCGCCCATCCTCCAACTCCCGGCCGACGCGGCGGGCAAAGTTGTCCTCGTCCGTCATGGCGACGCCCTCCGAGCGGGAGCCCAGGATGGCCGCGAGCCGGGCGGCCTTGGCCCCGCCCGGGCGCTCCATGAGCTCCGCGAGCGCCGGCCCGACGGCGCGCGCGAACTGCTCGCCGTACAGCTCCTCGCCGTAGCGCAGCCCAGCGACGGCGACGGGCAGCGGTACGCGCGACAGCGCGGGGAGGTCGGAGAGCGTGAGGCCGGCGAACGCGGCGGACCAGCCGGTCGGGCGGATGGTGACGGAGCCGTCGGTGTTGGTGGTGGCGGCGCTGTAGTCGGGCGGCGCGTCGTCGTCGGCCGGGGAGGGCACGCTGTAGCCGGGGGGCGGGCGGTCGAGACAGGCGGGCGCGACGTGGAAGGAGTCGGGTAGGCAGCGGACGGAGGCGGCGAGGTGGGGGTCGTCGCCGAGGATGAGGGGGATGGCGGCGTCGATGGCGGATCGGGCGCGGAGGGCCTCGGCGAGGGAGCTTCTGACGGATTTGTAAGTAATGGGGCCGGGGACAACGACGAGGTGGAGGAAGCGCACATTTGGAGGATGGTGAGGAGCTTGGAGAGGAGGTGCTCCACGCGGTCGATGCGCTCGCTCGCGGCGAGGAGGACCGGCGCGTGGGCCGCGGCCACGTCGGAGATGCGCGCGGCGGCCGCGGCGGCGTCCCGGACCACGTCGACCAGCGAGTCGCCAGCAACGGAGACGGAGGAGATGGCCTCGGCGAGGAGTACGACGACGGCGTCGACGTCGACAAGGGCGCGCCGGTCCGGGTGCGGCAGCAGATCGGGGGCGGCCTCGACGCGGCGCAGCCACTTGTAGGCGAGCTGGACGGTGAGTTTGAGCGAGGTGAGGCTGGCGCGGAGGGCGCGCAGGCCGGCGGTGGCGCCGCGCGGGGCGACGTTGATGTCCTGCGCGTCGTGGCAGGTGCGGTGGGAGGCGGCAACGAGGCCGATGAGGGCGGTGGCGAGCGAGGGTGGGAGGGTGTCGTCGAGAGGCGGTTCCGAAGGTGGTGGTGTTCGGACGGGGGAGGGGGAGGATGTGCGACGTGGGCGGCGGCGGGAAGGGGAGGGGCCGAGGCCGTGATGAGCTTCGAGGATGATGCCGCAGGGAAGGGCAAGGGGCCCGGGAGGCGGTGACGGCAAGGGTTGACGGGAGGAGGAGGAGGGGGCGGCGTCGGAGCGGCCGCGTATGGTACGGATGAGGGCCTGCGCGGCGGCGACGGCGACGGCCATGATGCGCAGCGAGGACTGCTGCGAAGTCTCAACAAATAGGATTGTCTCGGGGAGAAGATTTGATAAAAGCTATGGGAAAGGAAACGAGTCTATTCGGGTCAAATACACTTGAGATATAACACAAAGAAAACGTGGGATGGGGTGCTGGTAGTCAAGCATATGCACGGATGAGACATGATCGTCTGCGATGGTGGTGTGGGGTGAGCGCTGACGAGTTTGGGATGTTTAGTTGAATAGATTGCATTTTTATTGTTTCTTTTCTCTTGCTCCCTTTTTGCCCAACCATTACGTGGACAGGAGGAGGAGATGCATGCGCCGCCACGGGCGCCAGTTGGGGCTTGCTTCTAGGCTTGGTCGGCCAAGACAGCTGCAGCCTCGTGGATCAAAGCACGCAGCAGAAGGATGGGTATGAGGGGCTTGCGGGAGATATGCCGTGAGGATGGCATGTCGGGCTTCTTGGAGGTCAGGGCTTTAAATCAAGTTACCAAGTACTTGGCTAAGCTGAGAGGGGGCGAGTTGCTCATCCATGTCTCACTGCACAGAAGGAAGGCCACGTGGGTTTAGCTGCAAATCCATGTATGCGGGGGAGGAAAACAAGCAAAAAGACTTGGCTCCGGGAAAGGCTTCCTTGCCCACAACCTTGTTTATTGCGTGTCGTGGCCTCCTACCTGATCCGTCAATGTCATGCTGCCCAGCCCAGTCTGACTGTACAAGCCGTGAACACACTCGTAGCACAAGTACGCGCGAAATGGACTTTGCATCTATTTGCTTCTTTCAGAGTGGGAGAACTGGGCTTCTGTTTTTGTTGGCTTTGAACATGGTCTCGGCCGTGACGACGGCGCGCCTTGGCCATGGCGAGGGTACTTTACCCGCCGCCAGCCGGTGCGCTGGGTGACTCACGCAAGGAAATCAGCATAATAAAGGACGCTCGCAACGTGGAAAGTAAGTTTCTTGTATTACGGCTCCATGGATCTATGTGAAGCTCCGCGGATATTCTGACTGTCGAGATGCATCGTATATTCAATGTCGCTTGTAACACACTGGTTTAGGGGCCGTCTCCAGGATGAAGCGTCGGGCTGCAGTCGCCATGCATGCCGCTCCAGGGTCCCTCCCTTGATCCCAATTCTCGATGGACGAGTTGAACGACTGTCTACCTCGTCAACTGTGTGTACGGGGTGTCGTCCATTCGAGCCACTTTCCCTCCCGCCTCGATCGAACTGACATACTCAATCACAAACTTAACAACGTCCGTCCATGCAGTACTCTCACCAACAGAATCCCGGCATCACTCTCTCTTTCCCTCATTAAGCGCCTCGCTTGGTCGGCAGCGGCTCCCACCACGGCCGCATCACGATCGCCCCCTCCCGGACCAGCAAGTCCGCCACCGCAACACACCACGTCGTGATGTCCGGGTGCCTCGGCCCGTCGTCCTTGTCCTTTCTCTCCTCGTCCTTTCTCTCCTCGTCCTTTCTCTCCTTTTCCTTTCTCTCCTCGTCCTTTCTCGTGTTTTCTTCCACGTACGCCGCGCACAACTGCCACGCCCCGCCGATCTCATCCCGCCGCATCGTGCCCAGCAACTTGCTCCCGGCGTACCGGGGGTGCCGGAACGGGCTCACCTCGACGTGCTCCTCGGCGTATCGCGGCGCCTCGCCCGTGCCGGCGAGGGTGAACATGGAGCCGCCGCCGTCGTGCTCGTGCTCGGCGAAGAGGGCGAGCTTCTCCCGGAAGAAGATGACCTGGTAGACCTGGCACTCTTCCATCTTGGATCGTTAGGTTTTTAGTTTTATGTGTGTGATCAAGTCAGGTTGCGCGCGGGGGCCGATGATGGGTTGAAGGACGTGCCTGATAGACGACCCCTTGCTTATTTATATCATGGCAATGCTGGCTGGTGACACGCTCTGAAAGGCGCTGTATGCGTCATGGGCATTGTTTTCTTCAGTGTCACGGCTCTGTCATTTGGGCACGCATTGTGTGTGAAGAGGTTTGGCTTGTAGCACCGCATCACTGCGCCCCTTCAGCTTCGCCCGGGCATGTCGTGGGGGAGGACAGGCTTCGCGCGTCTCGTGCTACGCAGCACCCGCTGTCGGGCTGCTTCTTTGCCTCAGGACCCTGAGAGTAGGGCATCCAGTTTCTTATGCTCATCGCCCGTCTTTGATGTTGAAAAGTGATGCTGGCCAGCATAGGGGGAGCTGCGTGGAATCATGCCGTCAACTCGCCACCAGGAAACCCTCAAGTACGGTAGGGTATTTACATAGACATGGGTGCCATGTTTACAAAATGATCCTCCTGCACATACCGCGCGAGCGAATGGTAAAGTACAAATTTGGTCAACAATTTAGCAAACTAACTAACATCTCTCAGCGATCTATCTTAGCAAACCAACCCGCACGCATCCTCCCACTCTACTCAGAGCAGCACTTAAGTACGCTCCCCCGGAACCCAAGGCCTCTTGAAGGCATCGGGATCGGCCAATTGCCTGTCTTTTCGCATCCGCTCCAGCAATTCGTCCCACGTGTCTCTGAGATTACCATCCTGAGGGACGGAGGCTTCCACTAGCTTCTGCCTGATTCCTTCCCATCTTTCAAGCCAGACTTTCTCCTCTCTGCCCAAGATGAAGTGAGTCATCGTATCTTTGATCGGCTTGCCTATGGTGCTGAAGTCGTCCTTGTTGAAGTCGTGCACTTCTTCGTCAATCTTGACTGGGCGACCAGCTTGGATGATGAACTTCTCGAATGGGCGCTCGGAAAGGGGACAGGGGTCCAGTATAACGGTCAGCGTCTCGACACCGTCTTTCGGGTTTTGATCGACGTAGACTCTGGGAGCCTGCGCCGAGAGTTCGGCGAATGGCGACGGCATCTTGAGCGTTTTGTAGAACAGAATTTGGACAGGATTTTTGGTTGGAGTCTCGGGGAGTGTGCTCTAAGTTGAAAGTGTTGATGCGGGAGCAGCAAAGAGACGGCTGGTTGGTCGACGTCTTATATAACCAGTCGTCTGGGAGAGTGTTTCTTTCATCCCGCCAGTTAATGGCAGCTGTCGTTTTTATTATCGCACATGATGCAACTTCTACAGCTTCAGTCTGGTGCACTGTCCAGCGAGTGACCAGGAGATAAGGCAACCCAGACAAGGGACATGGTCGGGCCAAGAGGAGAGGCCATGGACCGTGTGTCCTGGTGGTGTTTTGCGTCGATGGCCACAAAGCGCCTTCTCTTGTCCATTTTCCTCCGAAAGATATCAGAGACGGGTAAAAGGTTACTATAGCTAAAAAGAAGCAAGTTTGATGCCTAAACTCTGCGTCAAAGACATGGTACTACACAGCAGCACAAGGTGTTGTACACGGCGCCTGGCGTGACTGAGGATAGGACAAATCGGTTAGAACAAGCAGTCGGGCACGAACGCCTGAATAAATACTTCATAGTTCGTCTCTTCCTCGGCCCCCAAACTATCTCCCGACACTTACCGATTCCGCAACCCTTCAGTCCTCCCTGTCCTTCAACCAGCCAACCCAAGATGAAACCTACACCCATCACACAGGACATGACCGAAACGTCTACCTCCTCCTCCTCCTCGCGCTACTACAAGCTCTACATGCGCAAGAAGTTCGCCCCCGTCTTCCACATCGACGACCCTCAAGGCCGCATCCTCTTCATCTTCACCCTCTCCCGCAACGCGCCCCGCGCCATGATCCAGCGCTGGACCTACTCCGGCCTCGCCTACGCTTCCTGGGAGGACGACGCGCCCAACCCGCTCGCCCGCGAGACCACCGACGACGCCCTCTACGGCCTCGTCGAGGCCAAGCACGTGGAGGACAGGTGGTCCGAGCTGCGCCGGATCGTCAGCCTGTCGCCGGAGGACCTGGACCGGCACGACAGGGAGTGGCAGGAGTTCGTGGACGGTGAGGTGGAGGCGGAGCGCAAGAGGGGAAACAGGGGCGAAGAGGAGGCGCTGAGGACGGAGGTGATGATGAGGCACAATTTTGGGTGGCAGGGGCAGTTCTTCAAGAACTTGGCGTATGATAAGCTGGAGCTGCTGCTGAGGAAGGAGTTGCTGCGGACTTGAGGGTGTACTTGTGCAACAATAGGTGCCTGATCGTAGCTTTGACGGGCAGCAATGCAAGCGCCGGTGGGACTTTTTGCAAGTGGCGATTAGTTTATGCGTAACGGTCATGGAATTCTGACCTGAGTTGTCAATGAATGTATAGTGGTGTCCGTTACGAACTTGTTGCCCTATCGTGAGAGTATAGAGTGTATTCAGTTACTCAAAATTTTAACAATTATTGCTTTCTTTCTTTCGTCCCCTTTCTTACTAGTAGGCATTCCAGTTCGGACCGTCTCTCCATCTTTTACGTTGTCCTTTGTTACCCGTCTTCTTTAAGCGGTCGTCTCGAGGCGGCCAAGTAAGCCGGAGTTGCAAGAAACAACCACCGTATTCTAAATAGACTCTTCTTTGCACAACAATAGAAATCTGTGCAACATGGATATTAATTGATTCACCGCGTCATTTATGACCATGTGCTTCCCACACTCTTCTCGCATCGCTTTTCTAAGCCGGTGTAGGGACCTCCTTTCATGACCATACTTGGCTACTTGACTCGCACTGGGTGGCATCGGGCGCAGACCTCACTCCTATGCCAACAGAAAAAAAGCCATCGCTCATATTTCCTCAGCTTGGAAAAGCTCTACAGTATGGATAGCACACACGTCCACGCCCAAATCAGAGGCAGGGTAGGCCAGTCGTGGCAAATCAGTGCTGCAGTACTGGGCGTTGTCCGAGACAGCCAGACTACGGAAGCGAGGTCAGGCACATTACGGGAAGATACCCAGTTTCAAAGCTTGATTTCCAGAGTTGATGCTATATTTAGGAGTATTGGTGGACGCATCGCTTTATAAATGAGACTGCGCCTGGAATAGGGTGACTGTGTACTGCCACTTTAGTCTGCTCTGCTGGCTCGAATGCCACATAACAAGCACACCAATGGTGCATACGTGCACACTCCCACGTCATTGTATTTTTGTATTCCCAACATTTCTGACAATTGTTGTTTATTTCTTTCATCCCCTTGAATGGCCAACCTGGTGCATGGTCGCACAGTTACTCTATCCGACGTAGTGGATGTCGTGTCATCCACCCCTTCAGCGCTTAGGTACTGTTCAGCCATCATGACAGCATGTGAGAGCATCTGAAAATACACTATATTTAGTATATAATGACGCTTTTTATAGTATTTAATAACAGAGCATTGAAAAAATGGCCTCTCACAAGGCAGCCGAGCTGAGAGAGGCAGCCGGCGGTGTTGCCATTCCCATCGCCAATACAGCCAAGCCAAATGCTGCCTACAGACTTCATATTGAAAGCAAATAGCCATAAGAAAATAGAAGATGAAACCTCTTAGATTATTAACTGATGTAACAAAGGTCACTGGACTACTAACGCGTTTTGACCATATAAAAAGGAGCAGAACGACGCGTAAATTCGAACTCGACTTCTATATCTCCATGCCGCTTGCAACATCCACGACCACCGCAATGCCTAAACGAACCGCACAGCAGGTGCTTCACGACGAAGAAAGAGTGAAGGAAGAGAGGATGAAGGAGCTAGCTGAAAAGCTGGAAGGATTGAGCCCAGCTGAGCTGCAGGACTTCTTGCAGGATCTATACTCAAGTATGCAAGAAGACACCGAAAATCCCCACGGCGTATGGGTCAACAAAGAAAAATCCTACATCATCCTGGAGTTGTTTTATGAGGAAGGGTGCCGCCACATCAGGTACGATTACAAAACAGAGACACTGGCGGATGGTCCTAGAGCCCAGACGATTTACCGTCGGTGCCTGCCGCCCAAGCCCGGAGACCCAGTCGAATTTCTCGCCATGATTAGGCATGAGATGGTAGACTGTGTGAGCCTCATCTGCAAAGACGCCGCGAATGTGGTGAATGTCACGAACGCGCAGCAGTGCGTGGACACGGTCACCAGTTGCGTCTACGCCCTCTACGCCACTTCGGCGTCCATAACTTGTGAAGACGAGCCGTTCAAGTCCCACTGGAAAAAAACTCGAGGGTGGGAGCTCTCCTCCGCAGACGATTCTGGATGGCCGACCAATTTTGTGTAATGAGTGTCGTCAGAAAGAAGAAGAAGCCCGTCGGCAGCAACGGCCCTTCAGCTTTCCCGGAGCGCAAGACACGGAGGGGGGTGATTAATGGAGGAGGGGTTTGGGGTCAATGGAGGGGGTTCTTGACTGGATTTGCATTTTTACTTTGGAGACTGTCCGCTTCTCATTTCCTCATTCGCAGCAATAAATGCTACTCACCAGCTCATTGTTCCTGTGAAAAACCGTCTAGTGTAAGTGGTGGCCGCTTTACTGTATTGGTTCTTTTAGTAGAAGGAGAAGGACCCTTTATTCGTCTTTTTCTTCGTACTTGGTGTATATTACACCAGCTATTCCAAAGGACGATTTCTTTAAGGACCACTGTTGTCTTACTCTAGCAGACTCGGAGGACGAAGCTGAGAGGGGCGGCCAACAACCACTGCTGGCGAATTTACCACTGGGAGGAGGAACGCCGAGCTTTGTCGTATCATGACCTCGTTGACTTGAAAACTGCTTCTCGACGCTAGAAAAGTTCCCGAGCAGCGCCAAGGCCGTCTGATGGGGTCTATCTCATGCTATAACCAGTACATGCATATGGACCCGTTCAACGTGAGGAGTTCGTGATGGCAGGCTTTCTTTTCCTGGAGGCTGCGTGTATAGATCGACTGTACGGTGGTCCCATACAGCAATGTGTCGCTTTTATGTTTTGTACTCATCGTCTTCTTTCTCTTTTCATGTTTTTAAGAAATTCTCCCATCAGCAATCAATGTTCCTACTCAAGAAAGCCCAACCGCAACTTGTTCTTGTGCAGCACCATCCCCAGTGTAAGCGGCTGCCTCTTTGTCTTTTTTATTTGTTTATTTATTTTCATCTTTTTTGTAGGGCTTTTGTACTTTCCTTTCATGCGTAGCGAATGTCTGGAGCACCATTGGACGTGAAATGGGACTTCTCCGAGGACCACCGTTGGTCTGAACAGCTCCGAGGACAGCAAGGCACGTAAACCCGGAGCTCTCCTACCCAAAAATCAGAGGCCCCAGTCGATCTCCATGTCATCCGGGCCACCTTCTGAGCCAGAATCGTAGGTAATTTCGTCCACTTCGTATTTCTGCGTCTCGATCGTCGGCGCGCGCTCGCTGTTGACAGGCTTGCTTGGAGGCTCGCTGACGCCAGGCTTGACGACAGGTTTGACGACAGGCTCTGCCATGATTGACTCATCCGCATGTTCTTCAACCTGCTCCTCCTGTATCTCCCCTTCCTCTGGCTGCTCTTGCACCTCGTCCTCCTCATAGTCTACTTCATACTCCTCCTCCTCCTGCTCATGTCCCTGCTCCTCTTCCAGTTGGTCCTCTTCGATCTGCATTTCTTCCGACTGCTCTTCTTCCGACCGCTCTTCTTCCAGCTGCTCATCTTCTGTCTTCCCTTCTTCTGTCTTCTTTTCTTCTGTCTTCTTTTCTTCTGTCTGCTCCTCGTCCTGCTGCTGTGGCACATCCTCCGCCCCCTCCTCCACCTCCATCTCTTCCTCGTCGAGCGCCCCAAACGAGACCAGCTCCGTCTTACTATCGCCCTGCCAAAAGACCAGCTGCTTCTCGAGGAGCAGCTCCGTCACAGCACTCGCCCGGTTGCCTTTGCTCTCTGCATGCGCGGCCGGCGCCTCGCTCGTGCAGACGCGCCGGACGTGCTCGCGGTCCATCTGGAAGAACCAGCCAACCACCGTGGTGTTTCCCTCCACCGGCAGCTCCTGCACGGCCAGCTCCTTCACCTCCTCGGGCTCGGCGGCGTCGGCGCGGCGGTAGATGAAGAGTAGGATGGGAGCGTCAGGCCATTCCATCGCCAGGGCGTCTTCGCCGTCGTGCTTGGTGCGCCGCAAGGGCTGATACATCGGGTACTCGAGCGGTTCCGGGTCTTCCATGGTTGTTGTTTTCTTCAAGTTGACGGTGTGAGAAAGTCGGAATGTGAAAAGGATGAAATAGGGATTGATTTGGTGCTTTGTTATGGAGTTGGGGTTGTGCGCTGATTCTTTGCCAGAATTTTATTTCCCCTATGCGTCGTGTTGTGATACAAAGTGGTACAACGGGATGAACAATTTCAGAATGTCAAGGTGCATTTTTTTTAACAGCGTGATTATTTCGCTTTGTCTATGAAAATGTGGTAATCCAATACATAATGGTCAAATTGGCACACGGTCTGAATGTAAATAGCTTCTCCTTCCATTCCGCGTTGGCTCACGTCCTCGCTCCCGTGACGGACGCGACTCAGTGATGCCATGGGCGCGCGACGGGCGATAAGAGCCTCCGGATACCAGTCTTCCGGGTAAATTTCCTGTCATCTTTCTGGGTAAAAAGTTTTGCGAAAGATCCGTCGGTTTGCAGAATCTTTATCATGGCTGAGACTCATAAGCGCGCCTTTCAAGGTAGCTCCAGGCGCCTCCAGACCTGCTTCAACCCAGCCCAAAAATTCACCACCCTTCATGACCTCTCTCCCACCCACGTCAGCCAACTTGACGTAGCCCTCGGGCTTCTTGTCATCGAGGTTCAGGTTTCCTTCATATTTCACCCATTAAGTCCCTTCGCCGTCTTGAACGAAAACCTTGATGCCCACCTCATTGTAAGTGATCATGTTGATCCCGTACTGAATAGCCAGTGCCATTCTTCTCTGGTACTCGACCCCGTACACTTGGCACAGCAACTGCTCGAGCTCAGCTGAAGATTATAAGTGACGTTAGAACTCTTCCATTAAGCGAATGATTAATTTTGGTAGGGAGGTAGGTTACCAGGCGTCGGTCCAGGCGTCGGTCCAATATAGCCCTCCGTTTCGACCTCCCGCGCCAATATCGAACTTGAACACGTCTGTGAATGATGGGGAAGTTGGTTTTTGTTTTGGGTTTTGCAGGTTGAAAATAATTTATGCTCGGTTCTCAGCTTTTCATCTTCAATATGGAAGCGTGCTCCTCTTTCTACTTGAACAGTAGGCCGCAAGCACCGACGCCATCAGCACACGTCCCTGGTCTGTGCCGCCTTTCCTTCCTTATCATGACGTTTTACATGAGGAGGTAACTCTACAATTACCGCCGTCTCCTTTAATTACAAGCCCTCACTGCATACGAAAGCACAGCCCAACATTGGCCTTGATAACCGACGAGCCTCCCCCCCCCCTTCTTCCGACTGGCGAATCGCGCTGTGCGTCGTTGTGGCCTGTTTCTAAGTAACGGGAAAAGGTTCCAGGACAGCTTTGGCCTATAACATTCAACGAGACACAGATACCACTCCCATGAAATCTTCCGCTATGGCCTACGCTTCCTCTAGAGTCTGCACTGGGGCAAGCCCCCAAGCCCCAGACTGGTACATCGACTCTTTTCACACGAGAACATTGCAATCTATAGCTGAAGTTTTGTCCCAATTCTTCTTCTATCATCCATTTCATTCTCTTCCTTCCCATACCCTTGCTGTTTTCGCAGACATGGGCACAGATGGAATAGTCGAAAGAGGCTACGTTTTCAACAGCGCCGCGTGAGATGTCCAGTTCGCACGCAGGTAAACGCTCACGTCGCCCAATAGTATAAACTTAGCAATTCCGAAGTACAAAATTGAAAAAGCCTCCATTGCACTATAAGTAGGATCTCAATATGCAAAACACCATACATACAAACAACCTTCCCAAGAAAAGACGCACTCGCCCACACCTCGTTCAAAGACAAAAACAATCAAGCAGTCAATTTCCACAGAAAATCCATGCCAAGATGAAATCCAGCTTCTCTGTGACAACTCTCAGGCAGTAATCTGCACGCTAGTCTCTTGAAAATCCTCGTTAAACTAGGAGAAGCAACAAAAGAGAGCCCTGAGCCAGGAACGTTCCTTCTCTGGGTCGGCCAACTTTGGATCGGCCAACTCGTAATGGGGCATAAGGAAATCCCCAGGGCCCGCGGTACTCGCAAGCCGAGGGTCAAAGTCCAAGAACACCCGGGCCAAGTGAAGCCTTTTGATCACGGCTGCCTCCCACTCCTTCACAAGGGATGGATCATCTGATGCTGTGCGACAAGTATTTTCAACATGTCCCGCATGCTGGAGCTCGAGGAAGCCGCGGGAAGTTCCCCCCAAGTTTTGGACCTTCCCTTGAAGGTCAAAATATTTCTCCCCATCAAAACAAAACGGCCCAAGATACACTTGGACAGATTCGGTGTACCCTTTAAAGTCATGTCGAGCTTTGTCTCCATCACTAGCCTTAGAGACAAAGAAGGCTGGCCCTATGTCGAACTCGGTAAAGTACAACCGTACCAACTGGTCGGTGTTGGCTTGCGTAGACATAATTTCGACTGTTGATAGTTGCGATTTCGTGAGATTCGATAAAGGATTGTTTGTTGATGTTGGTCCAAGAAACCCTTCTCTTTTCGCCCCCCCCCCCCCCGACAATCGAGTACAACCTCTCTCTTGACCTTCTTTGCGACGGCAAAACTCATCACACGCGAGAAAGCAACGGCCGGCGCTTCGCCGGCGCATCGCGCTGTGCTACTTGCTGCCACTCAAGCAGCTAAGCTTTGGTCTGAAAGAGGGCGTGGCGTCGTGCGTAAGAAGAAGAAAAGAAGAAGCCAGTGCATACAAAGGGCCCTTCAGCACGTCGCTTCATTGTACGCCTCTACCGCTCTTGTCACCCTGGACTGGCCGGCGGTAGCTCTGACAGCTTGTGTATGTGATTTCGTGTGACTGAACTCGTCACCCCAGCCAGGCGCCGCCCAGACAACACGCTGCACATACCATGTCGCGCAGTTTTCTACTTCCTCAGAAGTTGGAACGGTCAAAAGATTGATAAAACAAAAGGCATACTTTCGCTAAACTATCAGTTTCCGATCTTTCCTAGTCGGCATTCTTCTTCCCTTCTTTTTGCGGTTCCCTTGTAAATGCCACACATAAAAACTCCAATATAACTAACATGCGAGCTAGACAAGACAAGTTGCTCCAGCATGCGAAAAAAAGAACAAGAATACGCAAAATTAATATGACCCCTCTCTCGATGAATCATGACCTTGGATAATTTTAAAACGCAAGAATTATCACCCCTGCCGCCAGTCGCTGATGCAGCATGTGCAATTGGCATGTCAACTTTTGTGCAACCCCATTCGAATGCCATGATAACGCCGCCGCCGTGCTGGTTTGCCGCCCAGAAAAACAACTATATGCAATGCTTTGAAACATTAAATCAAACGCTTTCAGATTCTCATGCGCGATCGAGTAGACCGCTGTGGTTTCGCCGGCGTCCCGTTGGACACCATGCCAAAGTGTTCGGCCAGCCGCGCGGTTCGCGCCTTGTCCGCCGTCGTCTTGGCCCGTGTCACCGGCTTTGCGATGCCGCTCATCTGCACCGTCTTGGGCTTAGATGGCTTAGCCTTCTTTGACTTCTCCTTCTCCTCTTTCCGGGAGTCCTCCTGGTACATCGCTAGAGGGTTACTCCAGTTGACACACTTGCGCCCGTCCTTGTCAGTCCAAGATTCGCGCTCCGCGGGCTCTGGCTCCGGTACGGCCTGTGCCTCTTCCGACTGCTTAGCGAGGAATTGGGCAGGGTACTCGGCGTTGCCCTTGTTCTTGCGCGTGTTCATCCGAGTCTGGTTCGTCAGGTCCTGCTGCACGCTGCGAACCGCAGAATTCAGCGTCGGGCCACTCGTCCGCCCAATCTTGATCGGTGTGGGTATGGCCGACTTGGCGGACGGCAGACGTGTCTGATTTCGCAGCCGAGAGGAGCGTCGAGATGTGCTGTCTGACCCAGTGTCATCCTCCTCATCAGCAATAGCTGATTCGGTTGTTGGCTGAACATCCAGGGTCTCAGTCTGCTCCTCCTCGACTTCGCCTGCTCTCGGAGCCTTGTTGACGGAATTCTTGGCGTAGCGTCGCATCGTCTTGGGCGATGCGGCCAAGGTCCTCTTGAGTGGTGACTCATGCTGATCATGGTCCTTCTCATGTTTCCGCTTGTTCTTGGTCGGGCTTTCAGTATTGGGACTCTTAGCACCCAGTGGCTGGCGCTTACCCTGCACACCAACTGGAGACCCGGCCTCAGTAGTCGAAGGACGCTTTGGTCGTGAGCGTCTAATAAACTCCCGCATGTAGTCGCGTCCAGGGCTATCGTAGTCGTGGGATGAGGCCGTGACAGTTTCCACAATCTCTGTTGTAACTGTAGGGGGGCTCTCCGGAATAGACTCTTCTCCCTGCACACTTGCTTCCACTGTACTCGGACTTCTGCTGTTAACAGGAGTGAATGACAGATTCAGCGTCGGGCTAGGGCTTAGTTTCTGTTCGCTCGGTGAGGCAGAAGTAGAAGCCAAAGTGGCCGGGCTCGGGCTTTGTGCAATAACACTAGGCTCAGCATCGGAAACTTCCTTGTGCTCTTCAATAGAAATAACAGGAGAATCAATAATGGGCAAGCTTTGAGAAACGTCCGGTCCATCGACTGGGCCATTCGCGGACATTGAAACCGGGGCGTTCTGAACTGCTGCTTTCTCGAGTTCGGCCGGGATCTGAACAGAGCGCTTTTCCTCAACGCCTTCGCGAGACTCAATCTCGACGGAGGGAGAGAAAAGCTTCGGTTCAGCGAGCTCTTTATGGCTTTCCATTTCAGAGCCGCTTTCAACGATGCTCGGGAGTGCTGCACCCAAGACAGGGGACACGCCATAAGATACCGCCATGGTTCCGAAAATATCGGAGTTCTGGCGCATGTCAATGTTGACCACCTCATTGGCAGAGCGCCGTCTGCCAATGGACGACTTGTTGTCCCAACTCCGACGAGGCCGTTGTGACCGAGCTATCCTAGGCGATGCAGACTTTACTGCAGTAGACGCCTGAGGTTGAGCAGCCTTCTTGACCGGGGAAAACAGACTGCTTGACCCGGTAAATGCCCGCTCAATCTCGGGCATCAGCTTCACATGGGAGATTGTTTGTCTGCAATTCACCGGCGAGCCTTTTGATGGACTAAATGTCTGATCAGCCTTGAACACAAGCTTTTGCGGCGACATCGTCTGTCTGCGATTTTGCGCCTTTAGACAGCCACGGAGAAGAGGCTCGCTTTGACGTCGAGAGCTCTTCTTCTTCAAGCTTGCGACAATTCGTGGCGTCGCTTCTGTATCATTCAGCCACGTAACGGAGTTGAACGCTGGGGAGGCCGTGCCAAAGTCAAAGTTGCCTGGCTTCTGTGGTGTACCAGCTTGCAACCGAACCGGCTGCTTTGCGGGGCTCTCCGCGAACAATGTCGACACGAACGCAATCGGACTTGGCACATCAGCGGTTATGTACGAGATGTCGCTAAAGATGCGCGGCGTCATAGGCTCTGCAGCAGCGGGTCGCCGAGGCGTTTCCATAACAGGAAGCATGGGCTTCTCCAGAGATGGCTGGCGGCTTGACCCAATGCTATGGTGAGCCGGACAAGGCGTGGCAAGGACTTTTGTAGGCGAGAAAGAGGACGCTGCACCGCTGGGTCGAAGGGCGGAAAGGCGCTGCATACCGGCAAATGCAGTGCCAAAAGGCGCAGCCCTGGGAAGTGTTGACGGGGTTGCGAAACCACCGCGCAAGCTTCGGTTTTCGCCTAATGGCGTTGCAGGAGGAGGTGACGCGGGCTTGATCGGCGACGGCTCAATCTTCGGCGTGGCCGCGGGCAGCAGTTTGACTGCCGGTTCACTGATGCGCGGTCCCTCGTTTTTTATGGGCGGGCTCTTATGTCGAGGGCTTCTCTTCGTTGGGGACTTGGCGTCGGACATGCAAGGAGGCGGCTCCATAACAGCGGCTGGGGTGACGGGCTCTTGATGCGGTGTGAAGAGCGCAATAGGCGACAAGGCAGAGCTCGTAGCTTTTCGGCGAGGCAGGGGGCTTAATCGTCGCGCGGGCACGCGGAATTCAGGCGAGACTCTGGGCAGTTGCGAGATTTCTGTATATGTGCGAAGCTTGTTTCCGGCGCCGGGCACTGTCCTCGCTCGTCGCTTGACAGGGATCGTCTGGACGTAGTGGCCGGCTCGCCGCTGTCGCGTTTCAGCTCGCGTCGTACACGTTGAGTAGATCCTCAGGCAATGGGCGACATCAGATATTGCGCGCATCTTGATGCCCATCATCTCCAAGCTCGACAGGGGCTGCCCCGTCATCCAGCACTCCTCGTCGGACCCTCGGTAGGAATTCAGGCGACGGACGACGCGGCGCGTTGGCATGCCATCTTCGGCCAGCACATTTATGTCAATATTGTTTGGTGACACAAGCTGCGTTATTGTCGGTGCGTCCGTGTCACACGGTAGCGGAAAGCCAACGCGCTTCATGATTATGCCAGAGAAGTTGCGAGCCACCAGGGACGGCCACTCGACGCGTGACCAGGCACGGAGCTGTGTTTGTACGCGAGGACCCTCGAAATGATTTGACCATGTTCTTGGCGCCTGGTTAGTATATGTGCAATAGAGGCGCGGGGGTGAGCATACTGAGCTGAAGGGTCCGAGCCGTTTATCGTTGTCGAAGACGTGGTCGCGTCTTCCAACGGGAAGAAGGAGTCGGGCACGCTATACGATATTCTAAAAATAATTAGCTGCGACTTCCAATTATCTTTACTCCGCGAAAAAGATACCTTTCTATTCCAAAGGCCCTGAAGTCACCGCATCGCGACGCATTGGTATCCATATTGTGAGGGGGGGAGCTTCGCGGCTCAAGACGCGGTTGGCGTATGCAAAAAAGCGACGAGATCGTGAAGCGTTCGTGAGAAATTCGAGTAATGTAGACTGGGGTATTATAAACAAAGTATGTGTAGTATCGCTAAAGGGGAAAATCACGTCCGCCGCGAGGGAGAAAAAAAAGACTGTCGAGACTTGTAGAAGCGAAAGCCGTTCTCATCGGACGCGGACGCGTGGGTTATGTCTAATTCTAGGACAGCGGGAGCTTGGGTGGAGCTTTTTGTGCGAGCCGTTCATTTGTTTACAATCTACTCCATTTGTGTTGCATAGAGTCTGCGCTAGTCTTGATGTGGAAGTTTGTTTCCTTGTGCATCCGACAACCAGTTTGCTGACTCATCTAATTTTTGTGAGAGCTGGCAACGGTGCCAAAGATGGTGCGGCTTGCGACTTGCCCCTCCATAGCCTGGGCTGGCGGGCGACAGACAAGCAACGTCATCTACCCAGGCTGCCACATTTGCCATCCCAGCTTCAGAAACACGAGCCAGTCTACAAACTCAAACCCAGATATTTCCAGAATTACGACTCCCTCCGCCGCTTCCACTACGCCGATCCAAATCACCCCTCAGCCCATTCCACCATGAATCGCCTATTCGGCTCCAAGCCCGCGGGGCCGAAACCGACGCTCAACGGCGCCATCTCCAACATTGACGCGCGCATCGCCTCGGTCGACACCAAGCTCAAGGCCATCAACGGGGAGCTCTCCGCCTACCAGGAGAAGCTGTCCCGCATGCGCGAGGGCCCCGGGAAGCAGGCCATCAAGCAGAAGGCGCTCAAGGTGCTGCAGCGGCGCAAGGCGTACGAGGCCGAGAAGGACAAGCTTGAGGGCCAGGTTTGGAACATGGAGCAGGCGCAGAGCATGCAGGACAACCTCAAGAACGTCATGACGCAGGTCGACGCCATGAAGACGACCAACAAGGAGCTGCGCCGCCAGTACGGAAAGATCGACGTCGACAAGATCGAGAGCATGCAGGACGAGATGGCCGACCTGCTCGACATGGGCAACGAGATCCAGGACAGCCTCGCCCGCAGCTACGACATCCCCGACGAGGTCGACGAGGCCGAGCTGGACGCAGAGCTCGAGGCGCTCGGCATGGAGCAGGAGCTCGAGCAGGAGATGGCCGGCGGCGTCCCAGGCTTCCTCCAGGATGAGGTGGTGCCCGAGTTTGTGGACGAGCCGCCGCAGACAGAAGACAAGGTTAAACAGGTGGCCGGCTAATCGCTCGCTCAGTTTCCGCAGCTTTGAGCCTTGGGAGTTTTTAAGTCATATTAGCGATTCATATCTTGGTTTTACAATATCACAGCATTTAATCTGTACAGCTGCGGCATCTTAGAGTTAGGCGCACCTATTCGGGACGATTACGATTGATTGCTTGTTTAGGTTACAATTATTCAATGCGGTTTTCATTTAGACAAATGCATGGTTGATTTTATCCCTGCCCTGTCTTTGCCATCGATACTACATCTCCCCTCTTCTAAACTACCTGCACGTTGGACAAATGCACAAACGCCGTTTCACACGCAGTTTCCAAACAACATAAACAGCGTTGCAGACAATTTCCTCGCCGTGTCCTCATTTCCAGATTAAATGTTAGAATGCTTGTCATGATATACTTTCCCTGTATCCGGTTACGCCTGATACCTTGCGCAAAAATCAAGGGAGAAAAGGAACCCGAGGGCGCACCGCTCAAAAGATTTAGTCGACGGTGGCAAAGAAGCGTGAGGCCTCCTGCAACTCCCTATCGCTATTACAAAAGTCCCATCCCACAATGATCTGCGACTGTGTACAGCAAATGATCTTGCGTGCATCAAACTGCAGCTTGAAAACACGGGCGGGCGCGTTTTCGGCCGGTGTAAGATGCGGGTGGTGATGATGGTGATGTCTATGATGATGATGTGTCGGAGTCCCAGCCTGCGCCGCTTGGAATGGTACTGCTGCTGCTGGGACTGGGGCGTGGGCTCGGCTTGCAGTCGAGGGAGCCGCGTGCACGCTCTGTCGAGCTTGCTGCTGCGATTGCTGAGATGATTGCGCCGCGGTAGATGATTCTCCGGCCGGCGAAGTTGTGCCAGCCCTCCTACTAGCACTGCTACTTGATGATCCAGCAGCGGCTGCGGTTGATGAGGTCAGTGACGCAGTCATAGGCTCGCGCCGCAGTCGCTGTATTCGACCATGCTGAATATTAGACAGCGCATTCGTCACTGCTTGTCGAAGCTGAAGTCGCAAATGTGGCGAGACCTCTCTTTCGATAGCAGACTGCAGATACGTGTGGAACCCAAGCATGGCTGGATAGTTGGCCAGAGCATGTTCGAGTGCCGCAACTCCTGCAGGAACGACTTGGTCGATGTATGCCATGTAGAGGCCCGCGATGCGTTGATTGCCAGGAGAAGAGTCAGAAAGCTGCTGGGGCGGCTGGACCACGCCGTGGTGAACGACGGCGGTCGGGGGATGAATCGGAAGATTCGACTGCGGGGTACGCATAGTATCTTGCATCGCTGACAGGCCTTGGGCATGCTGGCTTTGGGCGAGTTCCGCGGCCTCTTCTTGTCGTAGGTGATGTGCTGGTCTCCACACGCCTTCCTTGTCTCGTCGCCAGATTATAATACTCTGATCGTACGAGCCTGACACAATCCGGCCGTATTTGCGGCCACCACCGCCGCCAGGGGGCACCTTCGCGCCGAAAACCTGTATGTCTTCGGGTTTGGAGCTGCCAGCGTTAGCACGTCGACTACGACGAGCAGAGCGGCGGTCGCCCTCGGAGCCCAATTCTCCAGCTTCCATCGCTTTAAAGTATTCAGCGTCCACGAGCCGTGCTTCGGCTTCGTCCTCAATTTTGCTGTATGGCAAGTCTCCAAAACCAGCCTGGACCGTTCTAACTAAGTTGGCATGTCCTCTAAGAGATGCAACCTTGAGGCCGGTAGGCGCATCAAAAATGCAAACCTCATAGTCACTGCTGCCACTGACAATCCGTCTGTCGTCAAATTCTACACAGGCAATGCCTTTTTCGTGTGCTGGGATCGTTTGCTTGCAGACTTGCTCTGGCCAGTCCCAGACTTTGATCTGCCGGTCGCCAGAGACGGAGACAATGGTTCTGCCTCTAACTTGAATTGCATTGACCGCAGCGCTATGTCCGTCCAAACGGCCAATCATGGTGAACTCGGGCTTGACAGGTAGCTCATGTGCAAGGTCAGGTTCATAGCCATACGGTTTTAGGGTTGTGGCAACAGTCCCAACTGGTTCGTATCCGAGGTCGCCATAGCGTAGCGGTCTTCGGTTAAAGATTTTGATCGTCTTGTCCTTCGATGATGTAACAAGAATTCTCTTGTCGAATCGGACATTGAGAACAGACTCTCTGTGCGCCCGCGTTATTCTCTGCAGCAGCTCTCCAGTCGAGAATTTCCAGATGAAGATATTGGAGTCGCTGCTGCCGGACACAAGAAGATCCTCTTCAGGGTCTGCGTCGAACTGGAGGCAGAGCACAGATCCAAGGTGTCCCACCAGCGGTGCCCTGGCAAGTCTGCAAGTCTGGATATCCCAGATTCGCATGGTGCGGTCTCGGCTGCCACTAACGAGGTAGCGTGAGTCAAACTGGATAGTATACACGCACTCCTGATGGCCCTCTTCGGGGTGGTCTGGGTGAGGAAACATGAAGGTTGAGAATTTACCCAGTTCCCAGTTAGACTCTAGACGCCGCCGCATACTGTATAGGTACTTCCAATTGAGTCGGTATCTGGAGTTAGACGGATCCCAGGCCCACAGGTTGGATCGCAGGTAGGCGTTGGGATCTTGAGACAAGGTTTGGGGAGTAGCCGGCCCAGGGCTACTATCAGGGGCTTTCCGCTTCGCCCGCACGTCAGTTGACGGAAAGCTTCTGTCTACCCCCTTTCCTTTGTTGAAGTAATTGGACATGTCGACATCGGCCAGTGGCGTTATGGCTCGACGGCTGGAGGAAAACGAGGTCGCAGGCGATCCGAATAAGCTCGGCCCGGAGAAACTGTCTTTGGAAGCTTGGGTACGCTCTGTGTCAACCATTTCCATATCCTCGTCGTCATCGCTCATGATGGCGCGGACCTTGTTGACAGGACCATCAGCAGACTGCATCTGGCTAATGGAGCTGTTCATGTTCTCGTTGATTTTTTTTTCCTCTGCCTCTATTTCCTTAGACAGTACTTTCCATCCCTCGAGATGGTACAGGCGCTCCCAGAGCTTCTTATCCAAAGCCAGGTCGTACCAGGCACGGCATGTCTGCAGCACGTTGACAAGAGAGATGGGATCGAGGTAGGAGAGGATCTTGAGACATATTTCGGCAGGAAGGTGATTGATGAAGTCGATGTAAAGTCGAGGTCGGAGGCGTTGGACAATACCAGCAATGGTGGATGTGGGGAGCTCCTCCAACAAAGCCATGGTGAGTTCTGCGGCGGTCAGTAGATTGGCCAAGTTGCAGCCTTCGCAACAGGGTAGAGCACAGCATACCAGCTTTGACGGGGGTTGGGAACATGGAGGCATTGCGTGCTATCCATACTGCGAGATCGGAAGGCGACTGGAAGCTTGAAAGAGATGCTATCAAGGCGGAGCTATCCTGGGGATTGAGAGGGTCCTCGGAGTAGCCTTCGTCGGGCTGTTGGACCGGGGAGAAGGGATCCATAACGGAAAGCGAAAGGCACAGGCCAAATGCCTAATGTGCGGATGTAAAGGAAGGGTTTCTGTAGGTTTGGATGACGGCGTTGGCGTGCAGGTCCACGACGACGGACCTTGCACAGGGATGGCTAGCCTGCTGGGTTGATGTGGCGGTCGCCGGTCGCGTGGTGAGGGAGCAGAGGCAAAACAGGAGGGTAGCGCGCGCGAAGCCGCAAGATCGACAAGTTCGGCGGTGCGGCAATGCGGAAAGAATCCAGCTGGCTATGATGATGTGCCGCGAGCATGGACCGTGATGGCATCTGCCGCGCAGAGCAGTCGGTGCTCGTTGGGGGGGCGAGGAGGAGTGGATGACGGGTTGATTTGTTGTGAAGCTACCGGCTGGGGTAAGGCAGATACGATTTGGCGGCCGAGTTTCAGCAAGCAGTGGGCTGGGGTGGCGCTGTTGGGCGGGGCAACTATGTATGTATGTATGTACATAGGTTCTCTCTTTTCAACAACAGGGGCACGAATTAAATCTTTGTAAAATGCTTGAAATTTATAATTACCAGAATCACCATTGGCTATCACGAATTTTCTCTTCTCGCTTCGTCATATACTTTTGTCACATTCGTAGCGGAGTTACTGGCAAACGATTTTATTATGGTTGCGAGCCAGATTGTACCCGCGATAAACCTAGCTGCCGGCTCTAGCGGAATCCAGAAACGGGAAGGATGGGTGGCCACTGCGTTGTTGTGGCCGTGTAGCTGTTATTTACACGTCAGCTATCAACATGCAAGAATTATAGTTGTACACGTGGGGAGATGATGATATGCATTAGGCAGAAATCCTTCAGTCAGGTTGCAGGAGGCGTAGTGATGCAGGTAACCCAACGCCCAAACGGGTCTGTCTGTCTTGGTTCTATATGTCGCCCAAGAATTCGACAGTCTCGCTCAGCCAGCTACCTGGAAAACGAGCTGTCCCGTGAACTGATTCCAAAGCGAGAAACTCATTCGGCTATTGGTTTTGTTTTTATTATGCCAGACACATGAGTGATTGATGCCTGGGCAGTCCCCATCGTATTTGTCAGTAACCTTGCGAGCCCAAGCCAGGCGCGGTGTTTCAAGTTGACCTCTTCACCGGGCCCGGATTACACTACTTTTTCCGTCTTATTACATGGTTCGTTTGAACTTTGAGGCGAGAGCCAGCGGGTCCAAGAAATTGTTTGGCATGCAGACGACGGACACGGGAGAAACGGCATGCCGTCATGCTTTCCGGCTTGTTTGAGGAGAGGAAACAGCGTTCATTTGTAAGTAAGTGACTACGTATTTGCAATTCGAAGCTTTCTCATAGAGTTCATTCTTTGAGTCGGCCGGCAACTTGTCCTTGCATTCGATATCAATCGGCCAGACTTGGCCATCTGGTATACGTCGCTCGACTCAGGCAAGACAAAGGCGGGAAAACATGAAGACAAGCCGAACTGTAGTTTACAACGCGGGGATTATGGATTATAGGCGGAGAAAGTATTAAAAAAAACACTTTGTTGGCAAATACGTGTAGCTTGTGATGCGGCTCACAAGGCGCTTACATCGTTATCTGATGGTGAGGTCGATGAAGTTGAGCTAACAGAAGGACGGCAGTTAAAGAACCAGCGCCCGCAGCCTCAGCCTAGTGTCACAGTTGGCTGCAAGGCAGTGAGCTGAGATTAAAGTGAGCCCAATAGGCTATAATAGTTACGCAGCATGCACGACTTCGATGACGGACATATATTGAAAATGCACAATACGAGGTGATAGTTCAGGGTAGCATCCATGCGTGGTGGTGGCGTAGGTGTAAACCATTGAAGGGCCGCGATAGGCTACGACTCGTCGCCCGAGCAAAGTTTACGCGCCGTTAGATCAGCAAAGGCTAGCAGCCCGTTTCTACTGGGCAGGTCATTGTCGATGCTGACGAGCAAGACGTGCCAATCAGCAACCGTATACTGTCCAGAGCCTTTACGTGTCAGTGTCTCACGGCATGCAGGTGAATGTGCTCGTGCCTCGTGGGGAAACAACTCTTGATAGACCCATGCGCCTGAGTAATCGGAGCAATGTCGGGGACTGCATGCTAGGATATAGGATGATAGAGAGGCATCGAATGATTTGCGACGAGCTGACGTTGACTCTGCACACACAGAGCGTGACTCGGCCGGCAGTGCGCTTCAGTCGCGGGCGAAGCTTGGCGGGGCAGAGGAGTCGAAGTGAGGAGGGAGGAGAGGGTTCAAACTAGAAATAAGCCACATTGTCCGTGCAGGAAATGGACGTATTAATCGTGTCTTGCAGGCGTCACACAAACTGCACCACTCTAAATGTGCCTGTGCACACGACCTGACGTCCTTAACAGGAGGTGGTACAGAAAACTATGTTGAAGGGAGTCTAAATATTGGCGCGTCCGAGTCATGAAGAAGCAAGACGTCGTGGTCTAGCGTTGGAAAGAAGAGCGGGAAAAGGAAAGGAGGACAAGACAAAGGAAAAAATGAAAAGAAAAACCACGCCGTCTTTTTCTTTTTCTTTATTACCAGGTATGGTTCAGCGGTGTAGATGCTTAAAATATGATCAAGGTATCACAACAGCGCATCAACTCACTGTTAGTTCCCCTGCAGGCTGCCACCACTTTGTCGTGATGATGAGGGTTAACTAGTTAATAAACTGAGGCGCTGGTCGTTGGTGGAGAAGAAGAGAAGAGGAGAAAGACCCAGTAATAAAGGGAAAAAGCGACCCCTTCTTTTTTCCCTTGTTGGATGCTAACTATGCCGCCTGGCCTACTTGCACTCACTCAGGTTTCCAGCCAAGCAGAGCCAAACAAGTTTACTGTGTCAATGTGTCTAATCTGTCATATGTATTCGATTTGTTCGACTGGGCCAACCGCTCCCACTGGTACACCAATCAATCCCCAGTGGTATCAAGAGGTCGCACCATGAAACCGGCTCGGCTTGTAGGCGGTAGCTAGGCGATTCACCAACAAGGGAGATGCTCCGTTCCTTGGATTGCACAAACTGCTACGTTGTAACCTGCAGCCAGCCGTCTAGATCGATGCTACATTAGTAAATCATGTCCCGTGTATGCGTGGTATACGTACTTCTGCTTTGTTGATAGGGCCGTCGCATGTGAACATGAAAAGTCAGCTATCACCAGCAACGAGTGATGCCATCTCACTCCGCAGCAGGTACCAGTACATATGGAGCACCCTGCAAGCCCCGCAACTTTGGCTTGCAGCAACGAGATCCGGAAGTTGCGATACATGTATCTGGTGGTGTGGGTGCATCGTGTGGCATCGTCGGTACTTGGCAGGTTTGCACTGGTGGACTGCACCGATGAGAGACGCTCACTTTGTCACTAGTTGGGTGATGTGTTAACTAACTAGTACAAGCTGCTGTTACAGCAAGAGCCGATACGCCTCTGCCGTGGCCAAACCATCTAGTTACAACTTGCTGGGTTCCATTGCCTGGGTTGCTTCGCTAGAACCCCGTTCTCTCCTCTCCTGCATAGGGCCGTTGTTTCGTCCGTCGCTCCTCGTCCACGGTACAGCCTCTGTCCGTCGCTGCCAACCCCTGGCTGGCCTCTGTCCGGTTTCGAGAAGCAGAACTACCGCATCTCATGTTTCGGACGACTTGAGAGAAGTGCTTGCTTGTTTGTTTACTAGCTGCCTACGAATATGCATTTTGCCCGATCCACGTGCCTGTGTCTCTCCGAGCCTCAAGCCAAGTGCCAGTGTAGGTACCTCAGCGGTACTTCTCGCAGGCCCAGCACTGTGAACCACTTGAGTTGAGCCAGTTGAGCAACCCTGCTTTGCAGCTCGTGAGAAATGCACTAATACATGCGCTAAAATGCACTGAATTCCACCTCGACCGGCGCCCCTAGAAAAGAAAATCCACCAAGAATCCGCCGCCGCCACATTTCAACGGGGGTCTTCAAAGGGGCTAACTCAACAGCAAGGTTAAGGTAAGGTAAGGTACCCTAAAGTAATACCCGACTTGGCTGCTGGGTACCTTTGCATACAAGGTTAGGCTGGAAGGTACTTGAGATACTAGCCGCTGCGGGCGGTTCAGATTACCTTAGGTCTATGCCTTATCCCCCCCTCTCACCCCTGCCAGTCTGTAAACTGGAGACCGCCAATTGCTGCCTCCCCCCAAATCGCCTACACCCGCCGCCGCTCCAACATTTCCATCTCATCCTCGACCTCTCCCACCCTCCCGCATTACGACCGGCTTGCATCCTTCGCCGTGCCTCCTCTACACGGCCCGTGCCTCCTTTCATCGACATCGAGTTCGTCGATATCATCCCGCTTTCGTCTCTCGCCGCATTCCCGCCCTCGTCAGCCAAACACGCCGTGTCAGCATTGCATTGCACAACACCACAGCACAAACCCCGCCGGCTCTAGCACCAGTCGCTCGACCGACGCACACGGCGGTATTTCTGCAGCACCTTCGCCATCTTATCCGATCTTCATCCATACACCATACTGCGGCTCAGTATCATCGCCCGTCGCCCTCATCCCTCTCCTCTGTCGCGATAACGTGCTACCCCCTAGCGCCGACCAACCCACCAGACACCATTGCAGCCACTACAACGCACTCGCGCACCACGCTGCCTTCATCTCGCCTCCCTCACCTGCCTAGCGTCTTCGCAACGTGCTTCTCCAGCACGCCTGGCGAATGGGCTCATATGAAATGGCACATGCTATTTTGATGAGAACCAACACAGCCCCGGTTCTGCAAACCAACGGCGTCGTAGGCCTGTCCAAGATGACCAGTGCCCCACGAAGCAGCCAGCTCTCAAGCGCCACCACCTATGCAGGCTCATCCGCCTCTCTCAGCTCCCTCAGCAGCACCGCGACTATTGTTCCTCAGAATGGCGGCCCCATCATTGCCACCGCAAATATCATAAACCAAAAGGCCGACGCCTCCCGCTCACTCTACCAAATCTGCGTCTCCCTCAAGCAGCGCCTCGCACAGGTCCCCGACTTCCAGCCCTTCCTCGACCAGCTAGATCCTACCGACCCCGTCGATTCGCTATGGCACCTCTTCCGCTCAGGTCATCCTCTTCTCGTCATCTACAACTGTTTGCAGGGCGAACCCCTCAAGGTGGAGGACCCCAATGCCTCCGAGGCCAAGAAATCAAAGATTGCCATATTCAAATTCGTCCAAGCCTGCCTTAAGGAGCTGCAACTGCCCGCTGCTGACACATTTGTCATCACTGACTTGATGGGAAACGACACCAGTGGCTTTGTTAAGGTTCGTGACCCCTCGCATGTTCCTCACACCTTTGTTAACCCGCCTCCGCTTCACTTCAGGTTACTCAGGTTGTCAACTATGTGCTCGACCTCGCTGAGCAAAACGGGCACTTGCTTCAACCACAGTTCTTGCCCGAAGAGGACTCCACTGCGCCCGCCCCCGGCGCTCAAATGAGTTACAGAGACCACATTGTTAAGGAACTTGTCGACACCGAGCGGAAATATGTCCAAGATTTAGAAAACTTGCATGACCTCAAGAAGAGATTAGAGCAGAAAGGCGACGTCCCCGGCGATATTGTCCACCAAATCTTTCTCAACATCAACGCCATTCTCGATTTCCAGCGCCGCTTCCTGATCCGTGTTGAAACAACCAATTCCATGCCCAAGGACGATCAGCGATGGGGTGCCCCTTTCTGCTTCTACGAAAGTGCCTTCGACATTTACCAGCCGTTCATTGCCAATCAGCGTAAAGCCGCTCAAATCGCCAATCAAGTTTTTGATAAGATTCAGCTATCAGAGCACCCGGTCGCGGCCGATTTCAACACCCTGGACGGCTTCCTACTTAAGCCAATGCAGCGCCTTGTCAAGTACCCTCTGCTTCTCAAGGACCTCAATAAAAAGAGCGAAGACGAAGAGATCAAGGAGGACCTCCAAATAGGCTGCGAGGCCGCCGAGCGAGTCCTCCATAAAGCCAACGATGCGGTTCACCGCGCCCTGCTCGACGAAGCCCTCGACGATCTCATCGTCAGGGTGGACGACTGGAAATCCCATAGAGTGGAGCAATTTGGTGTCCTGCTTTTGCATGGAATCTACGGTGTGATAACAGGCAAGACCGAGCAAGAGAAGGATTATGAGATCTATCTCTTTGAAAACATCTTGCTATGCTGCAAAGAAGCGTCCGGCAACAAGACCAAAGACAAAAAAGACAAGACGCGGTCCCAGGGCCCCAAGATCAAGAACAAGAATGCTAAGCTGCAGCTGAAGGGCAGAATTTTCATGACTAACGTGACAGATGTTGTGTCTCTTTCCAAGCCTGGCTCTCACTCTGTCCAAATTTGGTGGAAGGGCGACCCAGGCGTGGAAAACTTCACCATTAAGTTTGTCCACGAGGAAATGATGAAGACTTGGGCCGTCGGCCTTGAGACGCAGCGTAAGAGGAACGCAATGCGCATGTCGGTAAACAGCGAGTCTGCGAACCAAGACTTTGCCTGGACACGAGACCACGGCCTCGAAAATCCCTACCTTCACCAAGATGAAGATGAAGACGACGAATACAGCCCCGCGCATTTCCCAGCACCATCAGGCTCATCACTGCCTCGCACATCATCAAGTTCGAACGTTCGTCAACGATCTATGACTGGAGAGAGCACACAATCGCTGGCATCTATTGCTAGAGCACCACCACCTAGGTTCCCGCTGCCGTTTCCACCTGCTCCCCTCAGCCTGCAAACTAGCAATGGCGCGCCCTCTCCCGGAGCTCGAGGAGGTGACTCTTACTTTTCACCAGTCGCCGACTCTCCCGTCTCTTCCCGCGCCAGCACGACAAGTGGTGTCTTCCCAGGCCCGCCATACCAGTTCCCTAACAAGAATGGCGGTTCGTCCGGCTCCGGCTGGGACGAAAATGCCAGATATACAGCGCCTGCCATGCCTCGCGCGCCATCCCGTGATGGCCCACCCTCATCTTACAATAAGCCTCCTCGCGGCCCATCACTGCCGGTGATGGCATCAAATTCTAGCTCAGCCCAGCAGCAACGCAGCCGCTCTTATAGCACCCCCGACGCCGGCATTCCTGTTCTTGCGCGGCAACGACAACCCAGCCAAGGAAATATTCCAGCAGTTCCCGGGATACCTCAGCACCTGCATGATAGCCAGATCGCGCGATCCCAGAACGGCTCTCCGCGAAACGACTTGCCAATTCGAACAAACAGTAGCAGCCCCGGCGCCTCACGGCAGCCCATGCACAAGCATTCCGGCAGTCTAGGTGGCAGTCTCGGCGGCACCATGTCACACTTTCCAGCCCAACCACTTTACCCACGCCAAAATACACCGAGTAGCCAGGGATCTGCGAATCTTCGTGTTGATCCTGTGATGGCCAACTCTCGAAATGGCTCGCCTGCCCTACCAAGCGCTCCGCTTGGCCCGCCGACGGGCGAATCTTACTCGAGCGACATGCCATTGCCGACGCAACTCAAGGTTCGGGTCAACTGCGATAGTGGCAACTATGTCACGCTCGTTGTGGCGTTTAACATCAGCTACCAGTCTTTGATTGATCGCATCGACGCAAAGCTCGCGCGGTTCATGAACAGCAGTATCAGCAAGGGGAACCTGAAGCTCCGCTACCGTGACGAGGATGGCGACTCTGTCACCATTGAGAGCGACGACGACATTCAAATCGCCTTTATGGAGTGGCGAGAAGGCGTGCGCAACATGTACTCTGGTGGCGTGGGCGAGATAGAACTGTTCTGCGTGGGTGACGGTTCTTAGAATGGGCAATGCATACCCGTCTTGCCTGCATTGGTCAAAGCGCGCGCGATTCTTTTTATACTATATACGACAAACGCGGATACCTGGCCAACTCTACATAGGCCTCGATCTCTATTACCAGGACCAAAGGTCTCACTAAGTCCATACGCTCCGCGACACCACGGCCCTCGTTTGACAGTTCCTATTCTCTTGTTTTTCAGCACATCGTTTGGGGCCTCGGCATTTATACTCTTATTTTATACACCACACTCGTTAGGTTTTCTTTTCAATATGGGTTGCATTTTGGCGCAGGCGACTGCAAATGTCTTACGGCGCGGGTCTGGAGATGGGTGCATTCAGCATTTTCTCTTGTTTTTGCCATTTCCTCGTTTTTGACCTTGTTCTTTTCCGTTACCAGGAAACTGCATAATTGTCTTTGCCCCCTCTTTTCTTTTTGGCTCATTTTTTTGTGTTTCACAGCCATGCGCGTCCACAGTCCACGGGCTATGGCGCACCGTGATTGCTTTTGACAAATGGAAAGCGAAGACACGCATTCTAGAAGCAAGTGTTTTCTCTGATTGTCGAAGACGCGAGGGGGAGGGGGAGTGTATAGCTCCCACATTTCAACGCTGGATAGACTGTCGTTTTTTTCTTTTCTCTCTCGACCTCTTCCCTCTTTCTCTTTTCTTTGACGCAGCTAGATTTTTTTGGTCGATACCGCTGGTGGGCTGCAGTGTCGGTGCAGACTTTGACATGGATGAAAGGAAGCTGAATTTAAAGAGACATATTAAGCTCACCGACCTTTTCTCTGGAAGTGAACCGTGATGTTGCATCATAATGTTTTGAGACATTTGTTTGTAGAAGCACCAATTCGTTGGACGGCTCAAGGTAGGGGTATATGTTTTATTATACATGACTTTTTATATGATGAAACGCTGTAAAGACTCTGTAGACCGTGGTCCCGGTCTATGCCAACTTCCTCTTGGTAATATTGTACATGGTGTCATTCTGGGGCACCTTTTCCTGATCCCCCAACAAGCACACAACGCCGGTATTTCGATACTCAGTCGAAGATGGCCTTTTCCATGCAAGGCTCCAACTCCCCCATTTTGTATTCGTTGCATCGCTTGAGAACACAAGAGCATGTGAGACTGTAGCCGCTGGCCGCGTCGCACCTCTCCCTGTCTCAGTAATCTTCCCACTCGCGCTCCGTTTCGTCGTCGTAGCTTCGCTTCGCCCCCTCCCGCTTTACGTCGGCTTGCCGTTGTACGTGATGTGCCGGCCGAGACGGCCCATGTGGTGGTTGATCGTGTTGGGCGGCGCCGGCTGCGGCTTGGGGCCGTCCATGCACTGCCGCAGCTGCGACTCGATCGCGGCGCACCCGGCGGCGTTGTATCCCGCGGACGCCCAGCAGGCTAAGTTGCAGCCGGTCAGCAAAAAACGAACAAGAATGACCCCCCCCACCCCAGGTCCTCATGGAAGGAAAAGGCTGGAACGGTTAGGGGAGGAAACGTACCGAGCACGCTGGACATGACGACCGTGCAGGGGTTCTTGGGGTTGCGCTTCGGGTTCTTGACGCGCAGAACCTCGAGAGGCGGTAGGCGGATGGGTTTTTGCGGCATGACGACGGGCGGGTCGCTCGGCGTTGCAGAAATAAAACAATTTGTCGCAATTGGGAGCAAGACGAGGAAAACAGCCGTGTAGTTGACTTTCGCATGAAGCTCCTTTGGCTGTTGGAGATCGGAAATTTGAGATCATGTGCTCGGTCACGTGCAACGACCACTTCATATTAAGCAGGGGCCCGCGCAGAGCGTTTTGCAATGCAGTCAATCCTATGAAGAGGGGATTAACAGCGCACCCGAACTTAACGACTTTGAGCAGGACCAGCTCGGAGCAGCGCAGTTAAGTTTTAAAGAAGTTCCAGCCACGGAAGCTATTGCAGCGTCCAAGGTGTTGGTAACCATGACGGGGTGACGCGATGTGACCGAAGTCCTTTGAAGCACCGCTCAAGAACAAGAGACTTGAAATTTTTGAATGAGTATTATAACATAGAAGGCAGAATATCCTTGTCCGACTTGCGATATGCCGCCGGCGCCGGCACCGGCTTCAGGCGCTCCGGCCAGCCAAAACCTCTCCAGCGCCTGCGCTTCCGTCGCCCACGGCCGCGCCCCCCGTTCTTCCCCGCGCCGCCGCCCTTCTTCTTCTTCTTCTTGTCGCTGGCGGCCTTCTTCCGAGCTCTTCTCCGGCGAAAGTACCAGACGCCGCCGATGAGAATCAGCAGTACGGGGACGCCGATGCCGAAGCCCAGGATGAAGCGGGTGCTCCGCTCGTCGCCGCCGCTGTTCTTAGCCGCGAGGCCGCCGGCCGCGATGCCACTGCCCGCTCCCGCAGCGCGCTTCAGAGACTGCTGCGAACATTCCGCGTTAGAGAACACTGCATGCGCAGGCCTTTCGCTGTGGATGAGGGCTTACAATAGCATTAAGCTCGGGTGGAATGTACATGCTTGCTAGGTAAGTATTCCGTGTGAATGATGCGCGTGCTTCGAGCACCGCTATTTCAACTTGGATGCGCACTCTTCCGCACGAAGAGAATCAGTTTTGAAAAATGCATTGATAGGAAATTGTAGTGTTGGTTTCTGCACGCTTTCGGTGACTTTTCATGTCTTGGGCAACGCCAAGCGACAATGACGTCCACAACTCTCCCTCATGATGTTGCCGCCCCACAGTCCAGCCTTGCGAGTTATCATCTCCCAAGATCGATACCAGAGGTAGGCAAGGACGTGATGGCCGTACATTCAAGAATATGAATGAATAAGATTAACCTTGAGGCTCTTGCGGGCCGTCGGCTACTCGTGGTTGTGATTCTGAAGGAGGCCGAACAAAGGAAGCATTTGTACAAGCCGCCTCGGCGGTTACTCGAAACAGAAGGTGTTACTGCGATTCGAGTGTCCATCCTATGCAGGTAAAATTTTCCCTTTCGGCTTCATACCGATGTAGAACAAGATATTCTCTTTGTCTTTTTCCTTTGTAATGCTTTCCTTCCTGAGCCATGTTGTGGCGGAAGCGCCAAGCCTGGGCGCTGGTAAGCTGACTGCCAAGAGGTCAGTTGGTGATGGATGAGAGGTAGTGCGAAGATCGAGACAAACGAAATGCTTCAGTTCAGAGAAGGGCGAGACGACTGTACCATAAATTTTGGTGCATATACTTCAAAGTCCCAAGGCAGATTGCGGATCAAGTTTGTCAACCTGTATTGACTGGAGAGACTCGGGCCTCGCTGATCGGGTAAAATATTTGCACGTTGCCGAATTGGAGCCAGTTACCGCACGAAAAGAAGCAAACAATCCAGCTTGACTTGAACAGGCAATGACCGTGGAACTTGTACTACAGCTGCTGTAGCGTCGCAGGGGGCTGTCCGCAGCTGCGATAAAGCTTCATTTCGTTGCCTGCATCTAGAATAGATCAACTCGTTGTAAGTCGCAGATTATGAAGTCTAGACTCTTTGCCAAGGAGAATCAAATGGAAACCCAAGTGAGGAAGCTGTCGCGACGTCTATATAAAGCTGCCGCTCTACCTCGTTGACACAGTGGTGCTGCCATTCTCATCATCCCCAACTCAATCCTTCATCTTCCGCGGCAAACTATTTTCCACCGACCACTTTACAATGCGAATTCAAACCCTCCTCGCTCTCATTTTCACTGCGGCCGTTGCCGCGTCTCCCCTTGAGGCGCGCAAGCCGCCTACACTGGCAGAGTGCTGCTGTTGCAACGGGACGCCCGAGCTCGGCTGCGCAGTTGACCAGAACTGCTCTTCCATTCGACCTGGAACGTGCGGCTTTACACGGTGTCCTTTTTAACTCGCCGTCTATATGGTGGAAACATTGTTGAGACCATATTCGCTTGGTTGAATTGTTTCTGCAGCTTAGGAACCCTGTTCTACCCTCGAGTTGGATTGAAGCTCAAAAGAGCAGGACGCGAGTGCGTTGGGATATGATGCTGATAGCTGATATTGGTCCTGACATGAGAACTCTGTAATAATACACTACGCGGATTGTGATTGCATCTCATCGCGAAATGATCTTAATTTCTGCCGTCAATCTCACGCAGCGCAGGTGCCCTCTCTTATATACATGGTATTGACGGTCCTTCCTTAGCCACTTGACGGAGTCGTCTCCCTGTGCCATACTTTTACTCACTCAAGTATAATGCAATAATTTTCTTGGAACCAAGCTAATATGTAGTAGCCGTGAACTGAGTTGTGCCTGCAAAAGTCTATTTACCAAAGGCAAATATTTGGGGCATCAACTCAATCCATCATCAACGTACCGAGGCCGCTTTTCAAGTTCGCGTCTACTGCTATAATCTTACTTCAAAATTAGATATTTCTTATATTATTATCCCTCTTATTGAATCTATAATTTTAGATTATCTGTACCATTTTAGCTGCACTCTATCTAGTAATTTCGTCTGCCTGCTCTTAGAATTCGTACAGACGACTTTTACCTGGTGCATCTGGCATGCGTGCTATCGCAGCATTGACTGAGCCATCAATTTGGAAGGCTTTTCTTTAGAACTCATAACCTATGGGCCTGTCGATGGCTTATTTTGCGAAAGATTTTAAGCTGGGAGGTGTTAGGGGTTGTCACAGCTAAGCTTATACAACTCGTCTGCTTGAGCGAAAAGACTCGTCTACTATGAGCCATATTCAAGCAGTAGCATTGCAAAAAGCTAGTGACCCAAGCATGAGAGAAATAAACAGTCAATTTCGCACACTTTCGTAATGCAAACAATCTGTGGCGATAGAGGAAAGGGGCAGCGGAGGTGTTGGTTCGTGTCTGATGGCTACCCTATAGTAAGGCGTGCTTCGCGACACCCAGCTGGATATCATTCAGCCGCAGCAATTTATGCTCGAGATGATTCAGTAGCTGGATTATTTGTTTCTTGTGTAAATGAATACCCTAGTAGTCTCAATCTAATTTCTGGAATTTCTATCTTTACAAGTGCAGCTCATAAGTGCAGCCTATAAACACAGGCTGTAGGTGAGATTCACCCGCCTCTTCGCCCTGCTCAATGACTTCTTGCTAAAGCGGCATGTAAGGAAAACGTGACCGCCTCGACTTGATTGCTATGTTATTCTATAGTAAGCTATTGAAATGGGAGTCATGTTCTGGTATTGCATATGCAGCATAACTGCAGTTGGTGCAAGTAGACGATTCTGAGACCCGCCTATGCTCGCAAGACCATGAGGCCAGCCTGTTTCGGGATAGTGGTAGGGCTCTACGATCGCAGGACAAAGAGCTACAGTAGGCCATGCGATATGCCTGGTCAGCTACCCAAAGCGAACAGGATCGGAAGGGAGGGGGCGTGTGCATGGCCACACGATGGAAGCACAAGGTCCTTGCCGAAGGATTGGATAGCGCCGCCGTACCCCGCCCACGCCTCTCTGATGCATCCAGACTTGCCGTTTGAACGAAGTGCGAGGTTTGAACGACTCGGCAGATAAAGGGTTTTATTTTCCGAGGATGGAAGTGGCCGAGCATGCGGCAGCACTCGAAAGCGGAGTACGTTGCCTTACCACGACATGCCCTTGCGGTTGGATGGAATAACTATTCAACATATTACCCCCCCAGTACTGATTATCAGAGCTTGAGAGACCGAGATTGTTATATCATCGTATTGATATGTACACGAGGAGGAAGAAAGGCCGAGTGTGAGACTGTGAGCCCCCCTCGAAGCGATTCATGGAGGTGGCGTCACGTCAGAGCCTGCCAAGGCAACATATATACATTCAAGTCCGATTGAGATTGCATGTGACCGGAAATATAATTACGAGTATCATAAATCACCCATGATCAGCATTTTGGCGGCGTGTTAGTGCAATTGGACCATGTAACTACGTGTTACAGTCGCGAACGCAAGCTACACAAGCTAGTCATGATGCCAAGAAGTAGCATCAAAATGCGTGAAGAGGTTCAAAGCTGCCGCCGTTTTCGTTAAGACAGCCCACAAGGCTCGCGACATGGCTGCATAGTGGAGGGCTGAAAACTGACAAGACGAGGCTCTCGGGTCCGCCACCGGCTGGCAATCGGTCATCGAGAAGCACAAGCATTCCCATCGTACAGCCTCATGACCGGACCGTCCCACAACAAGAAATCTTTCTCCGGTATGTTTCTAGAGCATGAGACTACGCGACGAAAAGGTGGGATAGAAATCAGGGAGTCTATGCCAGAGCCTTGCTACCACCATGTTACAAGAAGGATTTCTCGTTCCACACCGCCGAAGCTACCGCATATTATATCTGCAAGCTTCAGAATACGGATACAGCCCCGCTATTCCTTGAAAGAAAAAGTTCCAAAGGTTCTGGAAGCGTACTGTAGGGCTTATTTGCGGCCAGGGGGAGATCCGACGTGTAAGACAGGGCGGGAATCCCGACTGCTGACAACCCGTCTTACAACGGGATTACCAGGGCAAGGGACGGCTGGAAGCACAAGATCCGGGATCCTGCAGATTTTCTTTTTCCGCCATCGCAGTTTCCATCAAAAAACTTCTTGAACGAACAAACGATGCGACTATACAGCCCTTATGCAGCACAAACATCGAAACCTTGCGCGCGCCGCGCGAATGGGGCGATCCCCAAAGCCTGGCAGCGGCGGTAGGGCAGAAGAACGGACGGAAACAATATCGATTGGAAAGTTGATTGGAGATATTTACAGGGCCTGATTTGCCCGCCCTGAATCGGGGTTATCCCAAACAAAGCAATGACGCCATATACAAACCTGGTTGTTGAATGCTGGGCACAGCGCCATCAACTGCCGAGCTGGCTTGTATGTCAGCTTCATGGGCTGGCTGACCAGCTCTTGTAGCTTCGTCTTTCGCGCCTGAATTGTATCTTGGGCATTGCTGCAGGGTTCCGGTACCAATATCAGCAGCCCTTTTTGAATGCGGCTGCGGGCGTTGATTGTTCAAATATTCAGCTTCCCACAAGGCCGGTGGCACGCCGTGCGCCACCAACGCCAGTGAGCCACGCGGAAAGGCCAGCCATCCTGTGGCCTTGCGTCCTCAACTCAATTTTGCTTCTCACGACTTACACCGCTGCGAGCTGACGGGGGTTTGCAGGGTGGACAAGCCGGTCAGGGCTATATGCGAAGAACACGGGCAGCTTACACTGTGACCTCCAGTCACTGTTTGAAATCTAAACGGCCATCTACGTAGAACAAGGCTGGACTGATCAACAGACATGGTTGTCTTTCTTCTGCGAACCAGTATCAACGAAGCATGTAATCGGCGTCACGCGATAGGTCACATCACATTCCCCCCTCCATCACCGCTTACCACAAACCCTGCCAAGATCTACAGACCGCACAATGCTCCGCTGCTCCGCTGGGCCGTTTGCTGCTAGAGCGCTGGGAAAGTCAAATAGGGTGCTGACAGACGAGCCTGGTGATGTGCGGCGGGGTCCCCTGTTTTTCCGTCCGTTCCATCACGACGTTCTTCTCGTTCTGGATAGGGGCATGCGAGGGCCGAGAAAGGGTAAAGAACGACCGAGAAAAACATGCGACAATAGATCAAGAAGAAGGAATCTTGTCGTCCAAGGTCACGGCATGTGGGGCTCGAGTGAACGGCTTTCAACCCCAACAAACGTGTCTCTTTTTGGAATAAAAACGTTGTTTTCTGTGCTTTGATGCGCACCGACGGAGCCGGAGTGGGTTGGGTGTGTGCTTCTTACCGCCGGAGATGCGTTCGTCTGAGGGGTCCTCCTTCAAGGCTGCGCCGGAGCCTCTCGCTCCTCGCATCACTAGTTAGTTGACTTTCTACTGGTTGGTTGGTTGGTTGGTTTCTGTAAGGTTTTCTTCTCCAGTTCAGCTTCCGTCTGTGCAAAAAAACGCCACATTTCGTTCACAAGGCTCATTTGGGGAAGAGAACAGTAAGTTGAAAGAATAAAACGGGGTTGGAACTTGGGTTGTTGCCGGCCGAAACGGCACCGTCGGCCGGTCGTGGCGGTGGGATGAGGCGACCAAAACCCGCAACGGCCGGGCCTTTCTGACCTACAGTATCTCTCTTTTTTCTCGTTCCCTCTGTCCGGCTTCTGTCCAGAACGAGGATCGGCGCACATCTTCTGCCTTACAGGGCAGCTGACGGAAGTGACGGAGGGCGGGGAAATACACCTGCGCCAAGCCCGGCGACAGGTTCCCTCTTCTCATTCACTGCCCACTTCGCGCAGCCATCTTTGGAAGAAAGGCGAGGAGTGCTGACCAGAAGCTGATGAGCGACCGGAAACAATAATGAAAGCTGACTCGTCCCCTTTTCAGCTTTATGAAAAGGGTATCTGCGGCCTGCCTGCCTGCCTGCCTGCTTCCCATCTGACAAGATGGGCGCCACTCCACGCTTTCCGGCCAGCGATTGTTTATTTAGACTTTTGTTTCTTTTTTTTTCTTGGTCCGTGGACTTGTTCGTCATCAGAAAAAGGCCTTCTTCTCGGTATCGCTCCATTCTCGTCCCATTCGTTGCGTGAGGATCCGCAGTTTCAGCCCCAACGGCGGCGGTGGCGGCTTCTGGGGGGAGGGAGGATCAAGTTCTTGCCGGCCGGCTCAACACCACGAGGCCATGGCGCAAATCATCTACACTGAGTAGGTAGAGAAGCGGAATGGACAGAGCGGCAGCCTAAATTTGGTAGTGATGGCTAGTAAGCTAGCTATACTAGCGCGGACTGAGGAAGGGTGCGAGATCCCGCCAACAAAAGTCAACTTCGGAGTCGATTCCTTAGGACAGCCCAGTCTTTGCGCGAGATGTCACCGTCCAGAATAGGGCCAAGTCCGCCGACGTACCATCAGTTGTCTGATTACCCACCAACGAGAACTTTGACGCATGTTCTAGGGTGTCGGGCTTGCTTGCTTGCGTCTTGTTCCGTCCTGTTTTGTCCCTTGCTTGCGAGGGGGCTGGGTTAGCGAACCAAGTATTAGCTTCGGGACTTGGAACAAAAGTAGAAAGATGGCGCGCCGTTCGCACTAATTTTGGCTCCAAACCCCCAGCCGTCCAGCGGGATGCACGGAAACTCCATGGCTCTCAGACGAAGCACACGTATGGGGTTTCCTCTCTCCCTGCGTCATGCGGAAAGGGAGGGGAGGGGAGCGGGGAGGGAGCGTGGGTTGGTCTTCTGAAGGGCTTGTGTGTATGCGTACGTGTAGAAGCCGGAAAGGGTGAACATGATCAATTGCTTGAATGATGTGATGATGATAGCGTCGGCGTTAAGGGGATGTCATCGTGTGCGCGCTTGGGAATTAGCTTCTCAATACAAGGCCCGTCCACGTTGATGAGCCACGTAGCCGGGGCCGACACCGTGAGCGAAGTCGGCGACTTGTATTTTTCAACAGTCTCTGTAAAAAGAGTAGAAGGGTATCAGCAGATGGCTTCAGCAGGTTCCCAGGTAAAAACGCGCGGCCTGCATCCCCTGGTCTTGGACGCGGCAATTGCCGTCAAGTGGGTAGACAAGTTGGGTGGTGGAGGAGGGAGGGTTGTTGGTGGGAAAAGAATACGCGTAATCCCCCCGAAGTTCGGTAAAACCCTCGGAGGTTAAATTCAAACGTCCCATATCGCCAACCCGGCAATTGGACACGGAGCCGGGCCTGCCTTGATAGGAAGCGATGACTTTGCAAATCTTGCGGAAAGGCCAAGAGCTTCTCGGCTCAAATGCCAAGGGACTTTTACCCCCCCCCTCGTCGTATTTGAACAAGGCGAAACGACCAGCCTAATAACTAGCCTTGAAGAAGAAAATAAGCTCAGCCCTAGGACAAGGCGCTGTTCACTGTCAACAACTACTACTTGTGAGGCCAGGCCAGTTCGGCCCCGAAAGCAAACTGGTCGCCGAGTCATCATAAGAACCTTGTCGCACCTGGACGAATCAAATTGTCGAGGTTTATTTCCCGTTGGTCGTTCTCTCTTGGTCATCCTCACGGCGCGCGCGCGGCTCGCCCTCGCTACCCATCGCCCAGAGTTGCCCCTCCCAGGAACGCCTGGAAAATACTCAGCCCAATACCGCCTCGCTTAAACGAGTTTCAGGCCTATTCGCCATATTTCTCCGAGCGCATGCAGCGTGTACGTTTGAATTAACCTGACCTGAGAGCGCTACAGTTGTCCTACAAGCATAGCCTCCTCCTGCCAACACCCAGCAAGATAATAGTTTACCGCATATATAATATAGATGGTGGATGGTGGGAAGACCGCGGGCCAAGACAAAAGGCGAGACGAGGCTCGGAGATTGGAAGCGCCCCCCCCTTCCCAAAAATAGCCCAAAACGCTCGCGACTTCGGGGGCTTGCTTGCCTGGATGGTAACTCAAGGAAAGGCACGCTGATGATATGATGGCCGGCTTTCCACCTGTCAGATCGGGGAGGGATCACTATTATAGGCTATAGGCTTACGCAACGGGACTGGCCCACGTCTTGGCTTCCAAGTTTGAGTTCCGTCTTGTTTTGCAACGACTGTCCTCGGCTGCAAGGGCAAATGGCCCATCCGATACACACACTCACACACAAGACCGCCAGTGACATTCAAGAGGCTCGGCTGCCATTCTTGGAAACGGCAGCACCTCACTACTCTTGCACAGCCTGAATACCTCATCCCCTTGAGCATATAATTTGTCACAGCTTTGTAATTAGAAATGTCCTATTGAATGCAAACAGGACTGCCATTGGACAGTCGGCCTGTATTGGTGCTCTTCTTCCCTTCAACACCACCGTATCTAATAGCAAAGGAATAAATAAATTCACTTGGGTATCCATATGCTTCCATCAAGATGGTAACCGTGGTTTCCTACCCTGTTACCCTTGTAAGCCAATTTGCCCCCAAACAACCAGAATAAAACAGAGACAAGAAAGTACAAGTTCCATTCTCCATTGCCTAATATATATAGATTCACAAACGCCGTTTAATGACTTTGATCAACACTGCCTTGTCAAAGATGTGTCGTAATATTCGTTGCAAAAGAGCGCAATATGTGCAGGGTGCCCTCTTTCTGGGTTATTGTTTTTTTGTTGTTGTTGATGTTCATGTTGGACTAGGACAGGTTCCGTCTTGTCTAGTTTCGGCCGCCTGGCTGCGCCGGATCCTCGTCCATGAGGCACGCATTCTCGAGCATGTTTGTCCATTTGCCGCTGGTGCCAGCGTGGCTGTGCTTGAGATGCTGACGGAAATGATCGGCACGGTAAAACTTCTTGGACGAGTTGCATTCTCTAAATTTGTGCACCTCCTGTAAGTGGCGAATACGTTCGTCCCAGTCATTGTCGGTAGGGCGTTTCGGGAGCACGCCGCCACTGAGGGCGCCAGTGCCAGGAGTGACACCTGTGCGAGCAAATTCCTCGCCACAGTAGCCACAAACGTCAGCCTCCCCTGGCCGGTTCGTCGACTCATGAAAGGCGCGGTCATAGCCTGAAAGGGCCGAGCAAGACCAGCTGTGGCGTCGGACATGCAGCGAATTCTGGTGGCGTTCTGCCTCGTTCTTATTCTTGAAACGGTTGCCACAGTAGTTGCATTCGTACTGCTTCTCTGCTTCGTGCGCACTGTGAAGAATTAAATCAGCTTGGTACGTTATGCCATGTGGTCGTATAGAAATCTTACGCTAGCTCTTCCGCCGAGTCAAACTTCTTAGGTTTCTTGGGACAGCATTCGCACATATAAAACCCCTGCAACTTTGTAACGGCAGCCTTGCCAGGCTCGCCAACCTTGCGAGGACTGCTGGCTGACGACGGTGCCCTGCTATGGACGGAGCCACGCGAGATGGAGCCACGAGGGCTGGGGTTGGGCGATATTGCAGTGGTGTAAGGCGAGTGGGAGTTGGAGGGCGAGACACCGTTAGGGGAAATGCCGCTAGGCGATCGGTGACCAAAGCCACCTATACTGCTCTGGGAAGGAGGGATTGAGAGAGTCGACAGGTATGAGTTGGCTCGGGAACTAGCAGCGGAGGCGAGGGAAGAGCCCTGGGGAATTGTAGCAAGGCGACCGGCTGAGGAGGAACGAACACCGCCTTCGCGGCGACGCATCGCTTCGGCGACGCCAACAGGGCCATGGGCAGCGTACTCATCAGGAGGGCTTGGGGCTCTGCGCTTCTGACCGGCGCCCAAGTGCGGCTCGTCAATGTACAGCCGCTTCAAAGAACTGGTCTCCTCCATTTCCATATCTTCGGTGGCGTGGTAGTCATAGGACCCGTGGATGGCGTTGGTTTCATCGCCAGTGTTGCGGCGGGAGCGGGTGCGTGGCGATGAGTAGTCGATTTCGGAACCGTCTTGGGGTGACCGGTCGTAGTGACGATAGTTGGAGAAGGAGGACTCACGAGAGTCTGACAGTCCACGCTCACGGCTATGAATGGCAAGCTGAAGGGTATGGTTAGCGGGAGGTGGAAGGCGAGCTTCTCTGTGTGCTGCGTCGCTGAGCATGGAGCGAGATGGTGATCGGTCCAGCGGTCGCAGGCAGTCGAGCTTGGCCTTCATGCTGTCGCCGTGGCATTCGGCGGCGGACTTGAAGCTGAAATTGTTATGCTGCAGGGCGACAAACTCAGTGGGAAAGGCCTCGCGGGAGCTAGCAATGGTCAGTTGGGCAGTCAAGATGAGGGCAGTCTTTCGCCAAGGCATACCGGTTCGTAGATGCATAGCTGGCGTACCCTTCGTCACCAGTCGTACTCCCAGTGTCTCGGCGCTTGAGGCTAGGTCGCTGGTCGGAACAGGACGAGCTGATGCTGCCGTAGTTGCTGGCGTAACCACGACGCTCTCTCTTGATATCCTCGGCACGGCGGTGCTCAGCAAATGGCTCGGGCGGAGGAGGCAGAGCCGGAGGAACATAGTGGCGAGGCTCAATGCCGGGGATGGGCATCGCGCCGGTGCGGCCAAAGGGTATGTCGTAGTGTTCGCCGGCGTGGATCTTGATGCTTGGTAAAGGAGGAGCAAGCTCGCGATATGACGGAGGGCAGGCCATTCCGGCGTCGTCTTGTTGACTTGTATGCGGAGGGTCGGGGTGTGGCGGTGCCAGGATGGGCAAGTAAGGTGGGCGAGTCGCGGGAGTTTTATGTAGTAGATGAATCACGACGAAGGTGTAAGCCGCATAGAGTCAAGAGTAGTGACTGTCGATCGGACCATTCGAGTGATCAGGCGACGACAAGTTATTTTTGACAATGTATGAGCCTCCGTGATTGATGAGGCGTCGATTGGGAACGGAAGGCTGGCAGTGCAAAGCTGTCGCGGCGAGGTGGCCGGGTGGTTGACAGCGCGGTGGAGAGGCGAGGTGATGACGACGACTTTTCGCGGAAGCGGCGCGGACGTAATAAGGAGGAGCGGCCAGGAGGCGAGTCGGCGGCGCCTGTGGGATGTAAGAGTCGAAGAAAAATAGTCGACGGTGATTACAGGAGTCGAGGAGGCGAAAAATCAGGACAGGCAAGCGGGTGCGAGTCGAGATATGGCGAGGGTGTCGAGGTGTTACGTCGAGCAAGCAAACGGAGGAGGATTTATTAGAGAGGGCATTTTTCGGGACGGTGGGAGAGTGGGCGGGCTGGCGTAGTTATACCAAATCCAAAGGCAGACGCTAAATATACCACAGTGCTGAAGGTAGGGGTTATCAGGGTTACCTGTATTTAGTACCTGGGTTGCTGGGGACCACCTATGTACCTGCCTTGGCTGGCAGAGTCTTGGTAATGCCCTGTACCCCCTCCTGAGCATTCTACCTACAGGTACGATAGAAAGACGAGACCCTGTACCCAGTAACGGGGGCATCCATTAGGCAGCCCAATATCTCCTATAAAGTTACGACGGAGTACCTGTAACCGTACCGTGACCTGCTATAGCCAAGTATGAAGTTTCCGCGGCTTATTACTTGTAGTATGTTGAGCCTAGAGACGAGACACTTGCGCAGCCCGCATCCCGCTGCAGCCCACTAAGCCTGGCCTTGTACTAAGGTAACGAGCCACCGCACCCGAGCGCTGGGGGGGGTGAGCGCTGCTCCCGCCGCTACTACCCAGTAAAGTTTTTACCAGTCGGGGAGTGTGCTAAAAAAGGGGCGTGCCCTGTGCTGAGAAGAATAATAAATGGCTGCTGGAAATGGGTGTGCGTGGCTGGTGGGGGCCCTCTAGCGGTAGCCTCATGGGTGCTGCGCAGGCGCCCTGTAGGCTGTAGCTTCCTGCTTTCCGGCCCTGTAGTGCCATGCGCAGCGCTGGGCGTGCATGTCGACCATCCTCCAGTGCATTCAAGCCAATGCCGCTAATGCAGACAGACCAACCTGCGTGCCCGTGGGAGCTCTCAACGGTCGACAAGACCAAGAATATTGATTCATCGCCACCACACCCCAGATACATACAATACGTCCAGATAAGACGGTTAGCCCAGGCCACATACGTGGGCTAGCCCTCAGTCGCTGTGGTATTGGTGGTGGGCGGCGCCGCCCAATGAGTGGGGTCAATGTGGTGAACCACTCTCGCCGAGTCGCTGCCGTTGCTAAATAAATACCGTACATATGTACGGCATTCGCATGTCTGTCTGTATGAATGGATTAGTGCACAAGTGACCACCTACTTACCTCCCTGGTTATAGCCAACCGGCTCGACATTGCATCCCCGTGCGGCGCCGTTTTTCCTGCCACCGGCCTTGCCGTGCCGCACTGCCTGTCTTGGAATGCACCACTGCGAGAGGCCGTCCCGCTCCGGCGGCCTTTTCGAGCATCTCCGCCCAACCAAGCACCCGCAACCTCGCCATCGGATGGTGCCTCAACGTCCAACAGATGCCGGGCCACCGTAACAGCCACCAGAGCCTCGCCTGTTTCTCATCCCTACCAGTAAATAAAAACCATCTCTATTGATAATCAGAGATGCACCCTCGTTTGTCTAGGGCTGTCTCTGTTGTCCACACGCAATCTCACGCAATCTCGCTGCTTGGCGTCTTGGCCTCGCCGGCCGAGCCCTGTGGTCTGCCACCTCGACTGCGACCACCTTCTCCTTCCTTCACGCTTCACAAGGCTGAAGCGAGCCTGATCTGGCAGAACCACGCGGGTCGGCGCAACTGGTCGGCGCCATTTGAGCGAAGTGATTTTGCAGCCCGACTATTCATATCGAGACTAATAACCACTTCTCACGCTGCAGCACGTACTCTAGCATCTTGCTTCCTGAACTTGTGCACCTGCCTTGCAGCAAGTTGATCTTACTGGCGCTTCTAGCGACGCCGGCGTTATTGGTGCTACTGCAAATAACGAGGTTATTTATTCATCACTGCTTGCATAGTAGTCTCCGACTTTGCCGGATAATGTTTAGGACAACGCAGTGCCCTGCCATCCGTTCAAACTCTGCAAAGACGTCGCACATCTCCTTGCATTGGCGTGACGTATGAGTAAGACGAAAAATATCCAGGGCATGCCGGCTGGACGTGGGTTCTTGATGCTAGACACAATATTCGGAACTCGTGGCACCCGCCCCGCGTCTTTGTTTGGCCATCCATTGCTCCGGCACAGGGTCTCTCGTATAGTTTCGGCCCTATAGGGCACGCTGGACACCAGACGCTATGTGGTAGTATCAGTTTGGTATAATCTTTTGCCAACCAAACTTGGATCCAGGCCCCTTGAGATGTAATTTATCATCGACTCTCCGTATATTGGTTGATTGGCTGGGACAAGAATAAATCTCGGTCCACATCAAAGTCCGCTGTCGGGGACTTGGCTGTCCTGTCACAACTGAATCCCCCCCTCCCTGATAGGTTATGTACAGAAGCTGCGAGTGCTCCAACTTGCCCTGCAAGCCACGCCACTCGGAGCCCAGGAGTCTCTATCCAAGAAGGGCTGTGTACGCCAAGCCCTTGTATTTCAACCCGCTAGTACCTCCCCAAATTGCAAGTCTCGAGCAGTTGCTGGGCTGAGATGCGCTGTCCCCACTGCCCGGAATCCGGACCAAGTTTGTGCTTGCTCCTAGCCGCCTCCACCGGCTGAAGGCTTGCGTGGCCCTGCAACCGAGCGAGACCTTGCCAATCCGTTGGTCTATTGGTGCGGGAGCCACGGCCTCGGCGGCGTCGACAGACGGCTTCTCATTGGGTATTAGGCCCTGGCATGACGGCCGGCACTTGGGAGCTGGAATGTGACTGCTGCAAGAGTCAGCAATCTCGGATCTGGAACCACGGTGTTGGACCCCTCGCCCATTTGTTGGACAGGTTCGGCCGGCCGGAGAACGGCGTCCACGAGTCTGAACTGCTGCTATTATTATTTGCAGGCCGACGATAAGTCCCCCTGGTCATCGCACGGCTGCGGGCATCCTGACCTACAATGACCTGACGACGTTGGTGACTTTCTCTCCCTTGCCGGCGGTGTGTGTCCTGCGCCGTCGCGGAATCCTAGCAACTGTTTGTCGTCTCGAAGGGAGGAGGGAGGAGGAGGAGAGGGAGGTCGGATCTGCAGCAGCGTCACACGGCACCCGGTAACGAGCATCTTGTGAAACGCGCCCGCTGTTTCTCAGCTGAGAGACTTCGATCTGTCCCATGCTGTTGGCAGCTTGATTAGCCGACTGTTTCAGCCCTCCAGCACCTCGTCACCTGTAACCCGGTCGATCAAGCCACGACTCACGCTTTCTTTCTAATAAGTGACGGCGCCACATTCTCCTCATCTGCCAAATCTGATCCCGGATCACCCGAGCCTTCGCCGCCCGACATGTAAAATTTGGCACATTCTCACCCTACCAGGTCGTTGTTACCGGTATCTGTGCTGTTGAACAAAAATGACGATTGTGACGCTGTCTTTTTTCCTCCAGGTACGTGACCGCACCGCCTTTCCATTTTGGGCTCTTCCACGGCCAGCACGAGCAGCTGCGGGGCACACCAAACCCGCCCATTCTTCCCTCAAGGTCGTGCAAACGGCACTTCATCCTCATCATCTGCTCCCGCCGTAGACGCTAATGCCCAATTGTTCCGCCCAAGCCAGTCATCCTCAGCAGTATGACAGTGATACAACCCTTCCTGACCCTCTGCATGTGAAAACCACCAATACGACACCCCTCCCGGCCCTAGATCATCGTTCACCCGTTGAGTAGACCATCCCGCCAAACTCTCGTCTGTAAAGGTAGGGCTAACGCGAGATCATCAGCACCAGTAAGCCCCAAAGCTGTGGTCATGCACAGCGATCTGCCTTACCTTACGGGATCCAGTTCTCACCCTCCTCACCTGTGCGATTCTGATCGCGTTCCACAGACACTAGCCTCGATTCAAGTCCGTTGCTAAGCTCACTACTGCGAAATCCGAACTCCGTCAAACCGTTGGCAGGGCCCTTATCGAACACGTCAGCATTAGGGCTCACCGAGGTTCTCAGTCTCAGTGACTCTATACGGAAGTATTGACCGCGTTGCACTTCTCTTAACAGCAAGCTTCCTGGCTTTACCCAATGAATGCTCCACGTCGAGATGGGTTGGTGCCAGTATTGCGATGTTCCTCCCTGCTGGCAGCATCTTGCCATCCAGTTTCCAAAGTTCGGAAACAAAATCAATTATCATCATCAGCCCGCTCTCGTCCCGCTGAAGCGTTTTACCCCTACAATTGGTTGTTTTGCGGCCTGCTGGCACGTGTACAATAGACGCTCGGCTCGATCCCGACTGCAGCAATATCTCAAGCACCGCTTTACCCCATTACTAGTCGATTCACATATCAACAGACGCGGCAGGCGAAATCACCCAACGAATGATTCACTTTTCACAGATCAGACTGGCCGCACAGTTCACAATAGTGCGGCTTGGCATAACACAGTTGGCCTGCTGGCAGTACAACTGAGTAATGGCTAGCAAGCAGCTCCTTGGCAATTATAACTCAAAGCGCTCGGGTCGAGACGCATTTCATTTCAAGCCACCTCCCTCACGAGCAAAAACCGACGGCACATACCCTGTGACAGACTGCTTCTTCTTGCTGCCTTCACCTCACTGTTTGGTTTGAAGCGCTTATCGACTCATCAGCCCTACCGCATATATA